GTAGTAAAATGTCGGTAGGCGGAATAAAAATATAATTTTAGAGGCAAAAAATATGTCCGTCGAAGATTAAATACATTTAAAAACCGTAGTTCGCTAAAAAAAAATACAAATATTTAATCTGTTTAGACATTTTCTTATATTAAAAATATACTATAAACATATTATAAACCTACACTTTAATACGTATGATATACTGAGTATAGGAATTTAGTTAATAAACTGAAAACAAAAGAATGTTGCAATATTTTTAAAAAATTGTTCAGGATATTGCGGAATGTTCGACCTTTCTAATTATAATATTTAAAAAATTGCACCAACAATAACCAGATAATGTTATTAGATATCTTTAAATTGAATAATACGTCGATTTACTATAATATTCAAACTAACACCACAAACTATTGTCCTTTAAATGTTCTGAATGTCAAAATCTTGAATGTGAAAACCTTTAACAGCCACATCTTAAATACAAGGTGTCTGATTTTGGAGTTAAATTTATTAATCGGATCGATAACGACTCAGCGATTAGTTAGGAGTCAGCGTAATACCTAAGTTCCGAACGAGACGAGTTTAATCGGCGAATCGCATTCGTTATGTGGCAATGTTAGGCACGTACGCGCTCGGCTTTGTAATATTTTAGGCAAACAAATAAAGTCATATTTTTTTTAATATTCATACAGCAGACACATTTTTATTGAGTAGCATTTACTCCTCTCCTAAACAATCAATCAAATCATTGCGAATGATTGTAAACACGAGAAAACCTTGTGGTTGCCTATAGTTGCCGTTTTATATTTGTCATTCAAGATATTGGTGTAATTATACGCATTCAAAATTTTGAATGTTTCGAAGCAAGTTCAAAATTATGACGTTCAAATTTTTCCATTCTATTGAATGCCTTTTCGGTGTTCCAAATAATGACTATGATTCATTTCAAATTATTGATTTTCAAAATTTAGCAATTCAGTCATTTGTTTGTTCTTAATGTTCACGATTTTTTTTTATATAGTTCGATTTTCTAGTAATTGCTGGTTCAACATTCAAGTATTTGATGTTCAAGACAAAAAATATGACATCCTTATACAAACGTATGACATAACAAATTTGCGTTTATTTGTAATTTTAGTGTTATATTTGGTTTATTTTTTTATATAAATAATAATAATAATATTTACATTCTACGGGTATAAGAACAAAACTGCCTATATCTTGTAGCCCTCCTTATTTAGATCTAATTAGGTATCTAGTTAACCTATAGTTTATACTTTTTATTTGATCACAAATTATTTTTTTAATGTTTAATAAATCTCAAATGTTTTTTTATAGTATTCAAGCATTCTGCAATATCCTAAAAGATAATGTAAAAACAAATTGCGCTGCTAATTCAATTTTTATTATTATTTCATTATTTTGTTTAGTTTATTAATTAAATACATATACTCAGTATACTTTGGTATATACTTATATACCAAATCTGGTACACTTTTACTACTTAAGTAGTTAGCACTTAGTTTTATGATGGGTACTGTAGCTAACATAATTATTTTGTTTTTGATCTAACTAAAACGTTGTCGATTATTTATCTATATCTAGATAGTTAAATATTTTTATTTATCTTTTATCTTTATTTAGGTAATTATTCTAACATTTAACTATTATCTTTATCTAAATATTTTAAAATGTAAATATTTGTATACATAACGTGGATAACCAATTATATATTTTTAAGTTCTTATTCCTTATTCCATAGATAATAACAATGTATATTATAGTTAGATAATATAAAAATATGTAGACAAATTATCATTTCATAAATTATTTTGTTGTACGATGGCTGTAAAAATAGATTTGCTTGTTTTAACGTCATTTATTAACAAAACAGTAATTCAAAAGCCATTATATATTATCAAGTCTAACGTTGAATAACATTTGATGGCATTATAATAAACTCGAATTTGTTCCTTAAATTATTACTTTTTATAAAAAATAAACCTAATCATAAGCAAAATAGTAAAAAAATTGCATTTCATAAAAATAGTAATTCATATTTAATAGCAGTCTATCTTTTTATATAACCTACCTATACCCACTGTCAATTTCTGTCTGTGTAAAAACACTACACCGGTGTAATAATCAGTTTCTCTGTAATATTCGAGACATAATCTCCATAGTTAAATAATTCGACTTAAATAAGAGAATGTATGTTGGATAATTATATTTTAAATCATATTCTTTTTATCAACGATATTTACAATAATATTTGAATACCAACTATAAGAACGTTAAAAATTATATTATTTTAAGCCCCACTAACTCATATTATTTCATTATTAAATAGGAATATTAATTCCTACGTTACCAGAAATGTTGATAATTTAATATTGATGGCGATTTCTAATAAGATTAGGAAACGATATGATAACCTACATATATGTCTGTTGCTTATTGTCTTGTAATATCTACTACTTACTTGTTATCATTTCCTGTATTAATTAGGCAATGATGTTATCAAAACAATCATAACCCTGTTACCTATCCACAAAACAGAAATAGATTTACGCAAAGCCAAATCACTCGATCTGGCTTCTGTGTTTTAGAACAAACAGATTAAGCAGAAAATCTCACTTCAAAAGACAATGACCACAAATATCATTTTAAATAAAATATTATATTAAGACTGGCTTGTATATAAAATACAAATTTTAGGGGTGCTTTGAATATTTTGGGGGGACATTTCAAGAAACATTTCATATTTATTTTAACCCTTTGGTTATTATTATTTTTAAGCTAGGCTGATTTCTATAACAGATTTGAGTGAAAAGTAAACGTTGTCGTCGTCATCGACGTTCATTTTTGGTGATGAAAAATAATAATGGCTTAACGATTTACCGACAAATAATAATTGGTTATGCCCCGCTGGTTCAGTTCGTAGGAGATTCTTATCTTTTTATGTGTTTTACTATTAGCTTCTGCTGCCCGCTGTTACTCTCAGTGTTCAATATAATTAGGTAAGTACGATGATAACGAACGCTGCACGGCCACGACATGGTGACGAAACATTCGAATTTTACGTATAAGTAACACGAATGCTGTTGTTAATACCGCTGCAACTGAAATAATAATTATTAGACTATAACAATAACGATATAGCCATAAGATAATAATAATAGTTTCATTATTAAAAGAAAGGCAGAATTTTAAATCCTGTAACTGTTGGAATGCTTATTTGGTCGAGCAATAATAATTACAGGTTGTAAAGCGGTTAAAATAACATTTTTTTTTCCTGTGGTTAAACACATTTTTTGGACCAATACATGTGGAGAGTCAAGAGTATCGTGGTTACAATCGATCGGAAAATCAAAAAAAACCTTTCAACGATTGTTCGACTCCTTAAAAACAAGGCGTATAGCGACTTAAAATCTAATGCACGTATGCAATTTAGGTACACTATGCAGGGTGTCCCACGTGGATTCGACAAATGCAATAACTTATTCCTATTCAATATTTTTGATATACATTTTAAATAATAAGTATGCTTCAGTGCTACAGTTTATGTATGAACATTTTTTTTAGGGTGAGGGAGACCTAAAATAAAAACTTTAAAATTTAACTATAATTTTTTTTAAAAATTCAGAATAACCATTTTGTAAAATTGAATTTTAGAAAAAATTTTGATGGCTAAAACTTTTATTAATATATGATCTTTTATTTTCTATGATTTTTTGAAAATTTGATTAATTTTCTTTTCAATCATAACAATATTGTTAATCAACGTAAATTATCATTATTGATTGATTAAAACTACCTAATAACTTTAAGATATTAACTCATGAAATCTAGAATCTTAACCTGAAGATCATTTATTAGATCAACTTAAACTGTATGAAACACAAATTATTTTATTTTATTTCTTTGTTATAGCTGAAATGCTGGTTTTTATCATTTTCAATTTTATAAGATATTTTTCTTTTATTTATATATGGAATTTCAACGAGTCACATACTTTTTCACATACCAAAGACTTTTTCATACAGAGATTCATATTGATTATCATCAGTTCTTAGGTCGTTAAGAGATTTTTTTTTTTTTTTTTAGGCATGTATTATAGACAGACATAGAGACTCCAATAGATTCAAATCTAATGTCTTCCGTTTAGAACTAACTATACAAATTTCTGTTAAAATAGGTTTTATCATTTACAGTACAAACATAATGTTACAATTCTCAATTTGATGTAAAAGGTCGTTTGTTTCGAAATTCGTGGATGTTTCTTATCTTAGAGTCAAAACTCTTATGTATTCCAAACTTCAACCTCGAAAAAAAATACAGGTAATTATAAAATCTTAATGTTTGATGACAGTTTTGAATTTGTTTGGCCTAAATTGTATAAAAAAAAGTGCACTTCATACATTTTTCTTTGTACCGCAGTTGCTTTTCCCTCAACCTTCACCGGCTACACCGTTGGGTTTTGTGGTTAAAAAATGTATGCAAATTATTAACTGTGATAATTTATAAAAAGTTAATAACCAAAAATGAAAATGAAAATAACAATTTTATAAGTCACAAAGAGGAGGACTAAACAAAAAGAATATACAGTGTTAATTCTTAATAACGCCGAAAACAACTGATGACCTAATCGTATGTTCTTATTACCTATGACGATAATTGTGAATATTACGAACTGGACGAAAATAATTCTCAGTCTTACTATATCTGCCGCAAGTGGTAACATAACAAAATAATACGTTACTTGATTGGAGTTTAAATAGAATGAAATTTAAATAGAAGAATATTTTCAAGACCATCAGGTAGTTTTTTATCTGGAATATTATCAAATAAAAAAGTTATACAGCTAAGTTTAAAAAAAATATACAAACCAACCTAACATGGTTTTATATTATCCTCTTAAAATTTTCCTGTGTTTAAATTTTAATTTCATTCCAAACGGCACAATTCAAATTTTTTTTATTTTCAACAACAATAAAAAGAACTAATTTGGAAGCAGTTATTTAGATTTATTTTTTTAAATTTTCAACTGCATAATTGCACAACATTGGCCTGCAGATGTGAGTTTTTTAAATTTAGTATAAATAACTTAACTTTAATTTAAAAATGTAATACAAACAAGTATCTTTTACTGACTAAATATAATTGAATTAACTAAAACCTAAAACTGAAATGTACAAAATATTATTATCGCAAATATTATACAATTTTACAATATTTGGATTCAAATAGAATATTACACGATTTTAAAGGGAAATAATTTTATTTAAGTTAGATCATGGTATATTAAATATAATTTATATTAAAACAACATAATATTATCTTATTATAGACACCTAAAATACTCTATAAGTATCTACTGACTTATACTTCTACTTTTAATCTACTGAATTACAAATATTTTCATTATACGGCCCTGCAAGTTAGGTACATTATATTTTAGTTGAATCCTAATGAACCAAAATAACCGAACCTATTTGTGAAGATGTTTACTTTTTTTTCTTATTTATTTTCAATAAACAAACTTTTCTAAATAAAATTAATAATTAATAGTGTATATAATAAGATAGCTAAATCGAAAAAATATAAAATGTATACTAAAATCCACTTATTAATTAATAATCAATTAATATTTTGTATCACATACTTCACTATTATACATATCTATATTAATATATATATATATATATATTACAAAAATAGGTACAAACTAGTGATAATAACTAATTTATAATATTTAGGACGAAAATAATAATACTGAGTATCTCGTCAAAAAACAAATACCAATAGGATTTTTTAACTGTAATCCATTGGTACATTTTTACGGATTTTAAATATAAGATAATAATATTATTATATAATATATAAGCAGGGCGCAGGACTTTATGCACTTTAATTCACAAAAAAAAACAACGATCAAAAACGTAAAAAAAACTTGAAAACATAGGTACTTAAAAAAACCAGAATGGTAGAATGTTTTTAAAAGTCCCCCAACTAACGGTTCTAACTTATAAAATAAAATAATTTTTGAATATTATAAAAATGATTAACACAAGTTTTAAAATAAAATTGTAAGTATTTTAATAAAATATCTTGTGTTAATCGTTTTTGTAGTGTTAGAAGCCGTTAAGGAGGGTAGAGGATTTTAAACCCCACTTAGGGACTTGTATATGTATAAATCATCTGTAATTTTTGCTTTTAAAATATTTTTTCAGGACTCTTTTGATGATTTTAAGTTCTTTTCTGTGGATTTTTAATGTATAAAGTCCCAAGCTCTAACTATAAGTAAAGATCTTTTAACCCTCCTTGTTATTTTTTCGTTTCACGTCGTTTAATCAAAATTAATTTTCTTGAAATTCCCTTCAATGCCCATTATTGATTGGTCAGTAATTTTGGATTCACCAATCCGTTTACTAGAATCCACTTTCTTGTGTTCCATTTCAATGCACCAATTTTTGCTTTTGATTAAGTTTTCTTGCATTCTCTCTGTAATCATAATAAAGTTTAAAAATAATAATAATACCCCCGTAAAGTTAAAACCCCCAAAAGATAAATCGTTGATTCTACAATGCATAATATACACAATTTCCTCTCTATGCCTTCATTTTATAAATCTACAGAGGTATGCTAGACAAAAACCACCTTCCACCCGAAACAACATAGTTAAATTCCTATTGAAATTACGCCTACAAAACAAATCTAATCACCGTGTTTGAGCTCATTTAATCCAGAAATATCCATTAAAAATTTCTAAGAGATTCAGTAAAAAAATATTGATATAGTAGGTAATATATAATACAATACAATGAAATAGTCTCTATTTTCGGGATAAATTTGACAAAAAATGGAACTTATATTATTACAACATGTGTCCATGAGCACTTAAAAAAAAAAAACTTTTAAATATAAAATTATGTACCCAAGTGATTATTTATAAACTTATACAGTTGCAGATGACGAACACTTACGATTTAGTTCCTCTATATGACCAGCTTTGCCTCCCCATTCGTTAGGGAACATTTCTGTTGGATAATATTCTTGTAGTCCATTGAAACTCGAGCTAAATATGAGCTACGAAATAAATACATACAATTATATAATTATACAAATTGTACAACAATAAATTGCTAGATTAACTTATATGTTTACTCAATATAAGTGATAGGTACTCACCCTGTCTCTAAATTTTTGCGGGGCAAAATGTTTAATAAAATTAAGTGTAGTTTCGGCTATCGGCGATACATTTACAAAATGAACTTTTTTGATTCTTACTGGTTTCGATTCCTGAAATCGAAAAATTGTACGTTTATAAAATAAAATTATGGTTAGTTGATAATCATAGATTTTTAAAAATGTTTAACATTATAATCAATGACAATATTATTGTTAAATTTATCTATAGGTATTTTACAGTCAGTAATACAAATCGATTAATTACCAAATTTATTTTGAGTACTCTTTTCATAAAGCTTATATTAAAATGCGCCCATTGAGCCATCGTGTCCATGTTTGTCAAATCGAATATCCATACATTGCTTAGAGTCAAAGGGTCTTTTTCAAAACACCAATTCCAAATCATTTCGTTGCGTTTTAGTTGACTGTCCATGCAAAAAGCTTTCGCATCTGTTGTAGCCATCCGGTAACACAGCACTCTGCTCAAGTCCGGCGTGAGTTTAGGCAGCGGAAACATGTAACTATATAACAATCAAGTTTAAAAAGACAATGAAAAACGAAGATGATTGGTAAATGGCTGTGGTAAACAAAGAAGATTGGAGAAGATCATACGCTGGTTGGGATAATCTGAGTTGGTCGCATATACCGCGAAAAATTAGAACAATGTGATTTTTCATCATACAAACTGTAAACATTTCATTTTAAATTGATGTTGTGTATAAACCTTAACCGATATGATGGGAAAAATAAATACAAATATAAGTTGTCTGTTCTGACAATGTCCGGTTAAGTGTCAGTTAGCGTTTACTGGCAGTTATATTTAAATCTAACCAACAGTTGGTTCTTACATATGTCGGTTAAGGAAAAAGTCTTCGATTATTGGAGATTTTACGGTCGGATTTTTAACCGACGAAATTCTGCTGGTTATCCTCCGGTTAAGCTAAAGTCTCTCCGATTGTGTTACCAATCAATACTTATCAATACATTTTACGATTATTGTTACTAGTAATAATTTATTCTGTACTACTAATTTTGTATTTTATGAGTTTATCTGTATAGTATATACATTTTGTTTTGTTTTTACTTTATTTTTAGAATTATAAAAAAGCAATATATAACTACGGTTTAATTGAAAGTGATTATTTAAACTACGAAAATTAAATGTCTAGAATTGAATATTGCAATTAGAAAACAGAAAAAAAGCCGGGTAAATACTGTCAAGCGAGATCCCCTAGATCTAATGTAAAAAAAAAGCATCGTTTCGATTTTACAACTGAACAACTGAAGTTGAATTGGAACATTATTTTTGTCTTCATGTAACCGTATACATTCATGTTCCGTTTCACAGGCCATTATTAAGTCGTCCATGTAAAAATCTCGTAAGATGGCCTCCGCGGCCTTGGTATTTCTTTTTGCTATTTCTTCTCCAAGAACCACAAGACATTAAGAAATCATGAAGGATGCAGATGTTGTGCCATACTTTACAGTGACTAGAGCGTATGTTCGAAGTGCTTCATGGAGGTGAGTACTTCTTGTACCGTTTGACCGCGCTTCAACAAATTATTGAGTAAGATACCCATCGATGGTCTAGCTGAACCATCAAAAACAATTCTTGTTTTAGTTGTTAGACTTGACGATTTTATTACTGGGTAATGCGGCAAGTAAAAAGCATACTGCATGGCTTCATTCTTGGGATTCATCTCGTCCTGACCCCAACTGGCCCATTTCTATATACTCATTCATGAAGTTGTACTTTTTTCGCAAGTACTCATCATGCTGCAGTCTTCTTTCAATGCTGAAAAATCTCGAGGTTGCCATTACTAAACTACTTCCCAAATGTCTGTGCTTTTCTTTAATTGGCAAAAGTAAAACAAATTTCCCTTGCTGGCCACACTGAAACGTATCACGGAATTTTTGAAGTGTTCTCTGTTCGTCTGATTGTCCTTCAATCCTTGACCATAAGCATTTTTATCTGCTAGAATCACCTTCCAGTCATCCTTCAATAACCTACCAAATTAATTTACTCCTGTGAGACAAGTGAAGATTGCTAGCTCCCCTGTTACAATCTATCCAAACTGATTGTCATTCAAAAACGCGTTCTTGACATTCAATGATATCCGAGGTACAGAAGTAAAATCACATCAAAGAAAGCTTCCCACTGATTAACAGATCGACTATGCCTGTACTATGAAAGGATGGATCAGCTAGACGTGGCACCAACTCACCTGGAATTTGCCCACCTTCCCATGGAATTTCACACGATGGCAAATTATTTACGATTGTTGGCAGCACGTGGCACATCAAATTAACACCGTAACCACTTTACCTTGATTGAATTAAGATTTCAACATAGGATACCGATTTAACTTGGTTGGTAACAATGCTACTGAACGATAAATTAGATTTTTTACGTTATAATCACAGTACCTTGGCAAAATTAAAAAAAATTATAAAGTTGACCTGTGAGCCACTATAAAGCTCTACAGTTACACTGATTCCTTCGCCTATCAGTGACTAGAACAACAGCAGTAGCCAAAAATGTATAGTTCTGATCCAACCCACCAAGTATGGATGCAGCAGCTGAAACGTCTGGTTTATCTGTTGTAGTCTGTTGCCCTTGGATGACTGGCTTATAATCTGCAGGTTTGTTGAAATATAACAATGAGTTGTGTTTACGGTTGCATACACGACAACCATAAATATATTTGCATATACTTGCCATATGCCTCGAAGAAAAACAGTTGAAACATAACTTCGAATCTCGAATCACTATAACACATTCTCCTATAGACAAATTCTTAAACTTATTACATGAATATAGCTTATGTATTTCTAAACAGCAACTACATTTAGCTTCATTAACAATTAAAGCTGTGAGTGTTTCTTTGAAACTACATGATTAGACTTCTTCAAATTCGAATCGCTCGTTGGATATCCTGACCCTTCTTCTTTCGCGTTGGTATCTAAAGTTTTGGAACTCTCAAAAAAAATACAGTAACTTAAAATGAAATCTCGAAGCTCGATATATTTTGGCAAATTTGTGTCAGCTCGCCGCAACATCCATTCTTAATTTGTTTTCTGGTCTATTTTTCTTAGGATAATTGTTGCTAGCCAGGCATCCTTGTGTTTTATAAAATAATAACACACGAGAAGACCAACAAGAAAAAGAAATAGAAAAGAAAAGAAAAACAAAAAAAAAAATATCACGTCGAGGTCACTAAAAATAGACGGGCTGAGAACTTAAAATAATATGACGTGCACCCGGACACCTAAGTCTCAGTTGCACCACTAACACCTAGGTCATAAAAATATGAAAGAACAGCTGGATGTATAGTGGTGTGCTAGCTCAAACAGCAGTGGTCGGGAACGTCAGACAAATACTGTCGAGCTAGGTACTGCGTGTTCTGCAAAATGTGTTTTTGTGTTTAAATGTGTATGCGTGTGGGTGTGTAATATATAACTTAAAAACTATGAGAAAAAAAAGGAGTAAATAAATAAATGGTAAATTCAGATTGTAGATATGGTATTAAGATCTGTATTGCTGGAAATTAAAATAAAATAAATAATTAATCAGAACAATTCACAGTAACACAAACATGGTAATAAATAAAAAGTAAAAAATGATAATTAGCCCTTCTGGCTCAACAAACAATAATAATAAATAAAAATACGATTTGTGTGGAGAGTAGACTGGCCAGCTGTTCTGCACCTATACCTAAATAATTTAGTTACATACACACTTAAAAACTATAAACAAAATGGTAACGGTGGTGACGATTAGCGCTCGCGATTTTGACATAAAATAATAATGTTCACGGCGATTTGCGCATGCGATTTTGTACAAACCCTTTTTTCATCAATCTATTGCGCTATTCAAGCCGATATTATCACAAAAAAAAAGTGTTTATTCGAGCACACGATTTTCATAGGTACCGTATTTCGTACGACTGGCGACCAACGATTTGACTAAATTTGCGGTGGCCGTGAAAAAATATTTGTACAGTCGATGCGGTGGCTTGCAATAACGCGCTAGGTAATCTACATATTATATAACTCACAAGACACATTTAAACAAATTTAACAATAACAATAATATAAATAAAACACTTAGTGATTACAGTATGAGGCCAGCTGTTCTGGCCGTGACAATAAGTACCTACAACTTTTTGTGTTGCGGCGACAACAGCAAGAACTACCTCGAATTATTAGACAATTGTTGGTTTTGCAGCCAACTCGACCAACGTAGTCTCTTCCGCTGTAGAAAAATGACTGCTACAGTATCTTATTATTTATCGACATGTTTTAAATAGTTAAGACGTTAAATAAGTAACGAAGCATATGTCAATAATCAACATGAATATTATAACAGCGGATTTAGTTTTGTAAACAAACAAATAAACATTATAACATTTGTATTATTTATAACGAATTATCTGACTGTATAGATGAGAGTAACAATAATACATGATAACTCAAGAAATGCGCATGCATAGAACAAAAAAATTTGATCATGGGCGGTTGTTTTGGGAATCACTGTCGATAAAACGGCCGGTTAGTTATACGATCGTTAATCGAAGGTTGTAAGAACGGTTCGCCGTAACCCGGCACTTTTACCGCCACTTAACCGGACATTGTAAGTACGGCCCTTAAATGTATAGTCCAATATTTATTTTTTAACCTTAGAGACTTCGTACCTTCAACGTCTCATATTCTGTATACGTTTTGTTTGCACAGTAAACTCATTTAAATCGTGACTTCAGATGTATTCGAAAATTGAAACAAAAACATAACATTCGAGTTCGTTAAACCAAAGCCGACCATTTTGTTATTGAAACAAAAATTAATAATATTATGTACCTAATTCATAATATGAAAACCTATATTTTGATTTACTATTATATTAATATTTTATTTTTTGTTTTTTTTTTGTTTTTTTTTTTTTTTTATTAAAATCCAATAGAATATTTTTAGGTCATCGGCGTAGGTCACGTGTCTATCTAGTTTTACTGTAATTTATTATTATAACGATACGAATAATTGGTGTTACATTATGTTACCCGTATATTAAATATTTCGACACATATAACAGACATTCTATAGGTATATACTTACACTGCGTCCACGTGTTTTCTAAACGTATCCGTTGTTGGGTCTAAGTTTCCGTAGATTCCGGGGAATACATCTTTTATCGTATAGTAATTTTCCAACACGAGTTTTACTTTTTCCGTACGGAATTTCAAACTGAACAACATTTTATAGATAATTTCATCGCCTGGAAATTATATCAATTTCAATATGAATACCTCTGCACGTGATTATAATACGATAATATTATAATAATTTATAAATTCTCTTATCCTTGACTTATAAATATTTATTATTATTGCGTAAGTATTAAATTATATAGGTACTGAAATCGTATAGTTCCTTGCGTGCAAATAAATAAAAACAGATATTTTTTAACGTATAAAGTTGCTTTATAAATATGCCGGAACATATGGATTAATAATAATATTAATGCTTAATAATCATCCAATTTATATTTCATTAGTTCGGAATATAATTTTAATTATTTATATTATTCTACATTGAAATCGTTTCAAAATAATATATCGAAAAGGTACAAGAAAAAAATGTACTCTGCAGATACGCAAAATAAAAAATAAATACAGAATGTATCATATAAAACAATTACATTTATCACTATGCTCAAAAACTAAAAATACATAAAATAATAGGTGGATAATTAACGTTAAATTATTGAAAACAAAAAACTATACAATTCTGAGCAGATTTCGGTTAAACTTTTTTTGAAAAATTCAATTTCAAAATAAATAAGTATATTTTTAACGAATTTGTTCATAGATTTGAATTTAAACACTTACAAATTACGACATTATACGTTCATCTTTTATTTTTACCATCAGACACAACTTCAGCATTTATCCACGTTATAATAAGATAATGCTTATTTTATTTGCTTTAAAAATAAATACTTTAAGTGATCGTCAAATCCAATCTAAACTAATCTAATCTATTATATAGTATACTTACTAGTTTTGGGTAGATGTGGTTGTTTATCTAACCAATGTCTTACGATGGCTATATCCTGATCTATTTCGGCCTGTGACCTCGGACAAGTATTCCGGATCGTTTTCAACTGATCGTCGGTAAGTTGCAAAATCATTATTGCAGCAATTCAATAAGTGTAGTTTTTTTGTAATTTCCTTTGGTTAATTCGAGTTGATAATATAATAAATTTTCTATATAAAACAAAAATAAATAAACAAATAATAATTTAGTTTCTTTTGTGCATGGACATTTTACAAAATACATGGCACCAAAGTATTTGTATTGTACTTATAATACACATTATCTTTCATTTTTGCATCTTATTATAAAATCATCCATAACTATAATACTGTAAACCATCACTAAATTTCGTGTATAAATTTTGTATACTTTTTACTATAGTTGTTTATATTATTATATGCTATCAAAGAATACTCTATTAATCGTAGTCGTGTGCACTGTCCTTGATACGAACAACACATTTGTTTAATGTTTACATAATATTGTATTCATAAACCCGGGATATATAAAAAAGCCCAATGTTTCAAATGTTAGAAACAACTTTACTATTTGTTTACAAGTTTCTGTTATTATACACAAGTAAATGTTTAATCGATCTCAAATAAAGGTTTACTAAAAACAATAAATGAACCCTATTATAATTTATTGTGAACTTATAGTATGAGTATGTTGGTCATGTATATGTAAATTTTTGCTAAAAAATTGCCATGTAAAAAAGTTTCAGCTATTTTAAAAAAAAACATACAAAAACTAACAAGTCTTCTGTATGGTAGTTATTTAAATAAATACTCTCAAAAATATTCTCTTCTTTAAATTTCGTTATTTGTACACAAACTCTAATTTCAAAGTTACCGCCACAATTTAGTTCAAATAATGTAATTTTGCTATATTGTCCTTGGCGTTTCTTAAGCGAATTTGTTTGGCTGAAAACTATAACAAGTTATTCATTAATCGTTCCAATAACCTAACAATCGTTAATTATTATAATGTTTAAAAAAAAACGGGACAAATTTTGCACCAATAAGGTTAGGTTGGGAAATTATAATGTAAAGGGTAATTTTGTTTTATATACAAAATGAAAGATAATTAATCATTGCAAATGAAAAACGATCCTGAGTGTAGTAGTATTAATCGTGTAATGTAGTAAATGTTTTTTATAACATTTTTAAGATTAAATGTTGGTGAAAATCTTAAATATTACGGCCTTTCAAATTATGTACAAACGAATTTCACTCAGAATCGTTTATCGTTGGTAATGTTTTATTGTTGCTTGCAGATATAAATTAAATAAATTTATGTATCCTACCTTCTGAACTTCCCACCTACAACAATGGCACACCCATCCCCAGTATCAGACTGTAGATTGGTGTTCCGGGTATTTTTTTATATTTTTTTTTTAAGGTAACCCAGAAATAAACAAAAATCAAAATCAAATATAGAACCAAGGAGGTGAACTGTTGTACATTTTGATTATTATTTGAATACTATGTTTCAAATAAAATACTGCCACCCAAAAATTGCGCATTTTTTAAGATAGGTACTGTGTGAAAAAACTAAGAGTATTTTACTCACCAATAAGTGTTAAAAAAAACGGAATTTTTAAGAAATAGTATTGGAATCTCAACGTTTTTCTAATAAAGTACCATTAAGTGAAAATCCGTGTCACGCCATGAAAAAACTCTGAGCATTTTTTACTAACCGAAAAAATGATTTCTAAAAAAAAACACGTGTTTATAAAACGTTTATTAAACTACAGTATCTGAAATTATGAAATTAAAAATAATACTATAACCAAGCGTAATATTATATATTAAAATATATGCATACCGCAATATTATTGAAATACAACTATAAGCATGTGTTTACGATTTTCGTTAAATACCTTAAAATGATTTGACTTAAATTATTCTTGTTTTCCTATAGACAACAATAACATTTGTTTTTTTATCACACCGTTTGTTTACAATTCTTCTCCAAACATGGCAAAGAAATTATATTTCATCGTCGTGTGTCCGAAATAAATAAACTCTTCAATCGCGATTATGAATTCAATGCGGAAAAGAAAACGATCACGTTGATTAATTTAATAGTGTACCCGTAGTGGGACGTGTATACAGACGATTCACATTAAATCTTTAAACATCGCATCAATATTCTTGAATTATATTTATTCTTATACTTATAAATTGTGAAGTATAAACAATGAATTTTATTCGAACTTTTTATTATCATGACTGTTCCTATTTATCGATTACACATTCGAAATTTCGAATATAATTTATTTTCCGAATATTCGATTATTAAAATCTCGGTAGGAATATTTTACGTTTCTCATACAAAATCGAAAATATATGCTACATAACATTACTGAATGGAAAAAAAATTCTCTTGATAGACAATACCTAATAAACACAAACATACCTGTCCATACAATATTTTGTTTAATTTATGAGTCTATAGAAGTATTATGTATTCGTTCTATAAACTTAATGTGTAGAATTGTAGATTTATGGTTCCTTTTAGGAAAATTTACGACAAAAAAAAAAAAAAAAAAACACGGATTTAAATACTTAAAAATACATACATAAGGAAGTGTTTTTCTTACACTCGTAAGAAGATCAAAAACACTACTAACACGTGACTAAAATTAACAAAAATAAAATTACTAACCTGTTTTCGAATGTTTCTCGAAAGTGCTCGTGTGTTAACTGTGATGGTGTACGGATTGTTGCACAGGACTAATACTACTAACTATTAAATTATTATTGCAATACGAATCTCCTGCGTCCTCTTCCCTTCTCCTCCCCTCCTTCTCCTTCTCCTCCACCACCTCCCCACCTGATTTAAATAATAATAATTCTATATTATGCTATTGACCGGTTCAAACGATGCCAATATTAGCTAATGGGTTCTCCACCGTACTAAGCGTATAAGTATTAAGTATACTTAGGTATAAGTTGTTGAACATATAAACATTTTTACATAAAAAAAGCCGAAAAAACTGATGTATACATGCACGGAAGTAAAAAACAATTTACGATTTAATAATTGCAGGTTATATAAAAAAAAGAATCAGAATAATATTAGTAAATTATAACTAGATGTATGAATAATAAATGTATGTTTTTAACATATCATTTCAAAAAAACGAATACGCTTCGCGCGATTGGTGGACCATTTTTGTAGGTAAAAAGTTAATAAGGTAGGATATATAGGAGAATTTATTTGTACGCAACGATTGAACATTGCTAATGAAAAACGATTATGAGCGGAGTTCGGCTATACATGTTTTAAATTACTAAAATTCTTATAAAAAAATTCTACATTAAAATCAATTTGTCTTTTTTACCACTAAGTACGGCTTATAATGAACCTTCTGTTGAATTTTTAATCATTTCTGTTTGGTCGAACAATTTTATTCACAAAATACCTACCTAATGACGTAAAAAAATCGCAAATTTGAAATGTCTATATTTATAGAGCTTATTTTTTGAGCTATTTAGCTCAAAAATAACTAAAATGTTTTGAATATTTGACCATATCTAAAAAATAAAACATATATAAATGCTCTGTCTGAATTTAAAGTTTCTGCGAATATTTTTTACTAAATTTCAACAAGAGAACAAGATTAAAAATAATAAAAGCATTACCATTTTCATAAATTTTTTTTCCCAATTATTATGAAAACTGCTTGAAAAATCAAAAAAATTATCTATAAAAAGTACCACCCAGATAAAATTTCTTTTCAGAAGAAGTTCTACACTTGAAGATTAGAACAAGATTTTGGGTAGAAACTTGTTTACAGATTAAAAATAAAAAATATCATTATATAAAACCAATACATTCCTCGCTTCACTCAGAATCTAAAAATATAATATATATATTATATGTATATACAATTTAGTAATAGGAAGACTAGTTAGTAGTTAGTATACTAATAAATTAACCATGTTTACTTATTATTTGACTATATTATTCTTTTTAACATCATTATAATCGCCAACACGTGCGTTTTGTCATAACTCATAACATAATACGCTTATTTTACAACATTAGTCTACATTATACAATTCAAAATAATTAGATTTTTTATGCCTATATAGTACAATTATTGTATTATAAATTATTATAATAACTTAACGTTTTTAATGTCAAACAATATATTAAGGATAAACGCAGAATATTATTTAAAACTCATACAGATACTATTAATAATATAGTGTCATAATATTTTGTTATTACAATAAAATAAAGTCTGTTTATGATTATTTAGTTCGCGTACATGAATTCTAGAGACAATGGTGTTATTATTAGACTACCCATTGAAGAATAAAAAAAAAACGTTAATACTTCAGCATTCACTCAGTCACGTATTGAACAAAAATAAACCAAAAATGATACCGTTTTGGTTAAAAACATTGTATCTGTATAAACCATTATTGTGTTAGTATTTAAAATATTAATAGTATCGCTAAAATTGTTTTGATAATTTGTATGATCTTTCTTTTTTAAATTTGTATAATAATTATTTTATAATTGAAAATTGTGTACCGGGGGCCATTAATTTTTTAACCGTAAACATAAAACCAAGGAACGTTCAAAGCGACCTGAGTACATGAATTGTCATTTTTCCGTATCAGGTATATATTAAAAAGCGTGTTTTCAAATTGTTATCGATTGTGCGGTTTAATTAATACATAGAGTTCTCATAAAATGGAACACAGTTACCGAAAACGTGTCTCCTTTACAGTATCTTAAACCAAAATTATAGTAACTTACCTATGCCATTTCTAAGTGGAATGCGTGCACGTATCTATCAATCATCAAAGAATTGAAATCCGCCATAATCTAGTTTTAATAAGAATGGTAACTTATGTTGTTTCTCAAATGATCGGTTCAATTAGAAATTAGTATTTTTAGTTAAACAGAAGTTTTAAGAATATTATTATTATCTACGTCGTACATCCTGCCTATATACTATCCATACCTATTTAGCTATTTAACTTTCTACATGATGCGGAGTATGTCAGCTTTTTCAAAATTAGATTTTTCTGTTAATTAAATGACAATTTTTTACTGGGCAATTCCCAATTTCCAGTTTTCTATAATTGTTATTAATTTGATATTTATATTTTGTAAATTTTCATTAAAAAATATACATATATAGATAATACAGCATATCGTTTGCGATGACTTAATTGGTAAACCCAAAAGGTTAATATGATTTATACGTTATATATTCATTAGGTATATTTATATTTTATGGTATAGAAAAATATATTTGTTTTACAATGATACTTATTTTTTTTTTTTTTTTAACTGTACTGATATTATTGTACATTTTTGTCAAATAATTGTTGAATATAATAAATTATAATCCAATGTCGTAAAGGTATGGTTATCGAACAGAAACAGATAAAATAAACAACTAAAGTTGTAAACTAAATCTGTTATTGATATTTAACTAAGACTTCCATTATTAATAACTTTTGTGATAGAAATGGCCAGCCCTAAATATCAAAAAATGCTATACCCACACACTTAGAATTTTTACGAATACTATTATCGAAGTATGATACTACTAAACCATAAATTTTGATGATGTAAATTGACAAATTGTTTTAATTTTTAGTATTATGAATGAAATTTAAAAAAATATGTAAAATAAACCGGACATTTTACAAATAATTTAAAAATGTGTATTTATGACTAAATATGTAAAAGACCAAAATATTTCACACGATGGGTGAGCCACTGTTGTAGGTGAGTAGTTGGAAAGGTTGGATATAGAGGAGAATTTAATATATATATCTGTACGCAACGAATAATCTTTGCTAACGAAAAATGATTCTGAGCGGAGTTCGGTTAGACATGTTTAAAAGGACGAAATATTTACGATTTGAAAATAATACATTTCGCACATTGTCCCGATTTTCCTACGTTTTATCCCGGTTTTTCTCTTTTATCGGGAAAACTCCTGAGAAAATCGAGAAATTACCTACCACCCCAATCAAATTTCCTTTCAGAAAAAGTGCTATATTTGAAAATCGGAGCAAAATTGATGGTGTAAAAGTTGTCAACAGAAAAAAAAATAAACATCATTGCAAGACCAAACCAATGCATTCATCGTTCCGCTCAGGATCTAAAATATGTTACATAAAATACATCTTATTTTATTGCAAATCACCTAAAAAGAATTTATCACTAGCCATAATTAATTTATCATATTTTAATAAAGATATCTGTTTACATATACCTAATTCCCAGTCATATAGATAATATTTTTTTTTCTTTTGCAATTTACTAGGGAGAATATTTCCCAGTAAAAAATCAACAAACATTTTTATCTATTTTTTTTTTACTTATTTACTAATAGTTTAAACGAAATATTTTTATTTGCACGTTGAGTTGATATTTAAAATAACATCATACAAATCATGATGAGTATTAATTATTACCATGTATTAGGATTGAAAAGAACTTGTTCGAAATTTGATGTAATAAAAGCGTAAGTAAGCGATTACAATAATGTATAATGTGTACGTTACAAAGTGTTTTAAATCAAAATATGTAAATATCTTAAAAATATTAACATCTTGAACCTTAACCATATATGTTTGTGGTTGTTTTAACATGTCTTAATTCTTTTCCCGTGGAATTTTTCAATTTTTTAATTTTTGTCCTCTAATTTCATATTAATTAAAACACATAGTGAGATTTAAATCGATTTTTTTTTTTTAATAAATATATACAGATTTCAAGAAATTGTTCACAAATTCGGTATGGATGAAAAATTAAACGACGAAGACAACGAACGTAGACTTATTGCATTCGAGGCATATGACGTTATAAGCAATCCGTTTTGGCGTGAATTGTACGACAGATACGGTGATATCGCGATTAAAATGGGTGTGTTTGTCGATAGCACGAGTAAACATAAACAAGAAATGAAACAATATTCGTACCATGGTGATATATTTTTAACGTACAAGTGAGCACAAGTTACCACCATTCCTATACCCAAAATAATCCTATTTGAAAATTCTTAGCTTAGTACTTACTAACAAGGGTGGATCCATTGGGTAACACTTGGGAAAAGTGCCACCAACATTACCAAAAAAAAAAGTACTTTATTTACAATGATTTTATAACAGGTATATCGTGTATCACATATCATGTATATTATAATATCATCAATGTTCGGTACAATACCAACGTTGAAATATATATATACATTTTGTATAAACGACATTTTTGATTGCTGAAAAGGATAAAATAAAATGTAAATGGTAGGAACAAATTCAGTTTGGAACTAATTCACATTTTTCATGTTTTTTCTACAAAACTTGTCTTTTAACGTTTGTTATTTTATTCAAATTGCGTCCTTATTTTGTTAATTTTATCAAAATCTTTGTGGATTTCGCAACCAAAATTGAGCAATTTCCTAACTTGACCTTTAAATGCGGAATCAAAAACCACACAGTTCGAAAAAAAAAATTGAAAATTATCGTCTAGTCCCATAATTGTGCACATGTGAAGTGCTCTAACCGTAAAAAGATAGAATACTGGATCTGCCCTTATCCTACAGGTATAAATATTGAATACCATTAAACTTTTTACTTAAGTATTTATAAGTTATAACAGACATGAAATGTTACAATTTAAAATTAATTTCTATGCATTTTTTTTTTTTTTTATAAAATATCATTATAAATCACTAAAATCGTAGATTGTATAACAGCTCATTTATACTATTTTTTTTTTTTATTAAGATCCGTCTATGGATCTACAAATCCATACGCTCATATAATGGCCATGCTTTCACATACATGTCCTCCGATTGACTTAGATAAACCGATCGTCAAAAAGATTCCAGTATATTTGACATTAAACGAAGTGAGTGAAAACGTCTTGTGTTTTTATTGACCGAATATACTTACATATTATTTAGTATAATTATAAATTGCGTAGATATTTTTCGGAACGTTGAAAAAAATCAACGTCCCTGATAGCGACGGAACACAACGCATTGTAAACGTAAAAATATCGAAGGGTTTACCTGTCAACAGTGAGATTGTTAAGGATTTCCCCGACGGAAGATCAGTAGGTAAGCAAGTTAAATAACAATAATGCATCATATGTAGATACCTATATATTATATAAAATGTCTACAAAAGAAATGTACAATCCAGTTTCATACCGATGTTATGTTTTATACGATTTTCAATTTGTTGGTAACTATAGTTTTTATAACCTATGATTTGCCGCATAAACAATTTGTAAGGAACGGGCGCAATTTGATAACCACATACATCGTGACGATCAAAGAAATGATATGCGGTGTTCGGTGTGTGGTAAAAACTTTGGATAACAAACGACTGACGGTTAATATCACCCAAGTAATAACGTACGTATTTGTTTTATAAAAAGTTTAAAAATATAGTAATGCATATTACGTAAAAAATTTAAATAATAAATGTTTATTGCCGATAAAAAGTATTATAGGTACCTCCTATACCTGTAATACTTTTTATCTTTTTATATCAAAATAGTCTTGAATGGGAGATGGGCGTAAAAAAATTCGTCCAAAGGCAAAAATAAAGCTATAAATAACACTCATCTGCAGTTTCCCATATAAAAATAATTGCAGGTTTAACCTACTAATAAAATGGTATCTATATATATGTATGTAATATATACATTACTAAAAACATTAATTTTTTATTAAAATCCACATCTTAGTTTAATTGAAAAAAGCCTGGTAGTATCTATTATTATTATTTTACGATAAAATATAACAGCGGATAAAAAAAGCACTTGTAAAAGATAAATTAACTAATTCTAAACACATACCTAACAAAAACGTATAACACCTATAGTAATATTATAAATATTAGTAATTTCTTCACCATCACAATGAACTAATATTAAATTTAAGTAGGTGCCTATCTATTATAAGTTAACCAATTCATACCTTTCAAAAATATACCTCACGCAAGAGGTGGCAAATACATATTAGGTACCTAATAATTAGCATTTTGATAATTATAATTTCAAATTGGTATACCTATAACTATTTTATACCTTTCTGTTACCTATTTGATAATAATAACAAAATATTAACATTGGTATATTTATACGTTGTTATTTAACGTGTTTTGATGAAGACAAGTATGCGTATGTCCTTCGTGTTGATTTATTATACAAAATAATAATTTACCCATAATATACGAAATTACGACAACTTTTACACGACTGTATATTACAATCATTATTTCGGTTGGTTCTAAATTATTATTTTCCGATTATACATAATAAATATGCGTCAGTTTAGATGAATATGAATACTTTCTAATAGTTACTTAAGAGGACTGCACGCCCGTATTTACTATCTCTGTCTATCATTAATGCGGAATCATAGCAAAAATGACATTCTTTAAAAGGAAAACATTTTTGACGGCTCCGCTCAGAATCTAAAACATGTAATATTGTAATAGCGACAATTTGACTTTAGTGTAACGAAGCTTTGCTGCTTATGTGTTATTATATGAAATATAAAGATATACAAATTATAATTAGAACCTAGGATAACAATTTATTTTTTTTATATTAGAGAAAAATGGTCTAAAAATGGTTGATACATATATATTTTTTATTTTGTTAAAGAGGGAAATAGACGGCGGAGAAAAATATTATTTCATTTTTGGAAGAAAATTACTACTAAAATTAATATCACATTATATTATTGCGTTATTTTCAGTAGTCTTATTGTACTAATAAAACTATTATATTTTACAACATTTATACAGGCCGACATATGAGAAAACGATACGAAATGAAGGAATGCCTGCATTTCATCAAGAAAATAACAGCGACGGTGATAATAAAAGAGGCGATCTAATATTGAAATTTAAAATTACAATGCCACGATATTTTGTCTTGAATAACGACGACGAATTACGTAAAGCATTATCGGAAACATGTTATTAAATGTTAATAAGGTTACTTGTTTTCAAAGCGTTAATTCTGATTTTCTTTTCATCCCTTGTGTCGTGTATTCTCGGACATCAGATATGTGTATCCGCGGCCACGTTTAGCTTTCCTAGTAAGTGTTCTATCTCTAAGTCGTATTCCTGTAGTACAAGTGCCCAACGGGTGAGCCTTTCGCTCGTCAGACGACATTGTTAAATAAAATTTAACGCGTGGTCTGCTTCATGCTTGTATTATAACCAATGAGATATTGTCTAAACTTAGTGCAACGATATAGCACTACCAGCGCCTCTATTTCTTTCGTCGTGTACAGCGTTTCTGTCGATTTTAACGTCCTGCTTGCACATCCTAGTGTCAACAACCTTTTGCCGTCTAATATTTGGAAAAGTTCAACACCTATCACCATGATCGATGCGTTGACGTTGATGTCTAATGGTTGTATGAAATCCGGGAATGCGATGAATATTCTTTCGAGAAAATTTGTTTGCTCTTTCAAATGTTTTTTGATGTTGATTTTCCTATTTCCATTCCTGGTATTTTCGCATCAGCTCAATCATTGGTTCAATTTTATGTGTGAAATTACCAATGAACCTGCGCTAGAAATTTAATAAACTTTGTAATTGTTTTTTTATTTCCTAGGGCTTTGAACTCCTGTATCGTTTTAATCTATTCAGTGTTCATTTTTGTCCCGTTTATCATTATAACATGTTCCAAGAATGTCCCTTCGTGGTGAAAAATTGACATTTTTCGCGGTTGACCGTTATATTGTGCCTAATTCTTGAATCTATTTAAAACCTCTTTATATTTTATGTTCGTTGAAGTTATTAATATATTATCGTCAATGCATATAGTTACAAAATCATGGGTGAGTGAACCCAATTCCTCGTCCATACTTTTCTGGAATTCTGCTCCACTGATGTTTAGTCCAAATAGTAAACGCTTGTAAGATTAATTTCTACCGTTGATTGGGAATAAACATTGAGCTTTACTCTCCTCAATCTACAGGAGTATTTTCTAATAGCCTTAATAATACATTTTACGTTTTTAAGTTTAGCGAGTATAATGTCAATAAGATCGCTCATCGTCTGTTATGATCAATTCGTTAATAACTCAGGCCCCCACATCCCCCTCCGTGTATCTATGGGAACAGACTCACTCAAACAAGTGGCGTTTGTATTCTAACCTAGGTTCGGGAGGTGGACTCAAGAAAGCGCGTCTGTGGACCGAGTGGTGACGAGGTAGGGAGATAAGTATAATTTTAGTCTTACCATAAAATTAGATAAATCCATGTGTAAAATTTTAATAATTGAACCTATTGATTTTTTATCAATAACCTTCTTTTTAGAAAATTAAATTATGTATCATTTTGTATTAAACATTGTTTTAATCTTCAACCATTTTATAAATATAATTAAATAACCTTAAAAACATTAGTTTTACTAAATACGTGAAATATTTTGTATTTTATAATTTTTCTTGGGAAAAACAGATTTTAAAATAAATTGTATATATATTAAGAAGAGCTACGAAAAGGTCTTTTATCATTTTATGATCAGTGATATAGTTATTGAATTATTTGCGAAAAAACACAAAATTACCCTATTTCCTCAATTGTCAACTGTCTTGGAACACGGGAAGGGGGTGAGTTATCATAACCAAATTTCACACAGATTACTATTACACGCGCGGTAATTAAAAAAATAGGGGGGTCCAGCATCAAAAATAATATATATTCAAAAATAAGGACCACCTTACTATATAGTTACACAAACAAAATATTTTAATTAAAGGACACAGAAATTGTAAAGCAAAAATATTTGTAGCAAAATGTCAGATTTTACAAAATTAAAATACTCACATTTGTAAATTGCAGTAAAAAATGTAAAAAGAAAAAAAAATATCTTCATCTTTTAAGTACCTATCAAAATATTATGACATCAGTGAAATGTACAAAATAATTTTTGTCCCTACAGAAAAATGGTAATGACGGGCCTTGAGTAAAATTGCATGTAATATGTAGAAGGATATGTATTTATTTATTTACGGAAAAATAAGCACACGTTAACCGTTCATCGATTTTAAAATATTCGCTACTTATTACATTATAATATTAGGTAGGTACAATATATAATAAAATGTAATATTTTATAGTAGATACCTAGTCAATGATTTTACTTATTACTATAGTATATGACGTTGCCCAATTGCAGACGCATCATCAAACAAGCCTATTATAATTAATAGCCTACAGAGTGATGTGCAAGATCGGTCACAAATTCTAAAGGTATAAAAATTACTACGGCCTTGACATCAGCTACAGGTTATACGGACTGTGCGATTTTGTTCACCTAATGTTATGAACTTATTACTAGTCGACAACAAACAAAATAATTTTGTGAACACGCACGAATTTAAATAATAATACAACTATATTTTTAATAAGAAAACAAATGTTAATTACATAATATAAAATCTGATACACGGAAGTTCTGTTCTGAATGATCTGCTACAAACCAGATCAACTAGCCTACCCGGGGTGACGGGGCCGTGTCGAGCTGACGCAGTCCAATATATGCTGTTGCAGCAAAACCCACGTCGACTTGACAACGTCCTGTCGTACGGTGGCTATTCATATAATATTTTATAACAATATAATATACTCGGGGGTTCTTAACACTAGTCAGTAGATAGTTAGGTACTTAACTTTTTCGAATTGATACGATTTGCTGTTGGCAGAAAAACAGTCTAGTTTCTACAATATATGAATGCTATAATATATACACAGTCTATACAGGCACCTACTTCGTACATCATAGAGCTAAGTGATCTAAGTAGAACCATTTGGTTTTATATTCGCGCAGTTAACATTCGAGAAACCTGGAGAAATGAATCGTCAAACCGAATTCATACTTTCCTAGATCTGAAGAAATCATAGGTATGTCCACAGCAGTAACGGCGCAAGTGGCCCCGGTGACCCCTGCGTTAAACGGGCCCGTAGAGTTCTTATTATGACGATACCTAGGTACCTTGGTAACCCGGACTATATTATATAGGTACTCGTTTTTATCTTCCGCTATTGTGTAAATCCTTTGTCAGATCTTGTACAACATAGATCTAATCTTGTACGAGATTTACATGTCTTAACTACGATTATGGTAATTACAGACTACCATTGCATCAAAACGTCAAAATTTCTAATTAACGTCATAGGGAAAGCGTTACTACATTTTAAACGAACGTATAAAACCTTGGTATGAATAACAATAATAGTTATAAGTTAGGTACCAAGAGCTAAATAAGAATAACAATATAAATGGTTTAAGTTTTTGATTATTCATTATTGGTTACTATCTAATATTAGCTTTGCGACCATTGTAATCACTAAGGATACATTTTCTTTTGGCACCTACCTACTGTAATATATAATAATTTGTATATTACATATTATACATCACATTTGCCTTATGGCCTGCAAACGCACAGTAAAAAACGTATTGTTAACAATGACCGTAGGTAAACTTATGTAACGTCATTTCTCCATTTTACAATAACTATACCTACCTACCTTATAATATAAATTGTACAGCATTGTTTTGTTGTAGAAATTATTACAAGGGACGCCCGCGGAGGATATTAGCTCAGTGAGTGCAAAATATATTCACCTGCAGTTTTGTAGACTTGCGGTAACATAAGTCTTTGGGGGTAGGGGAAATTCGATCCTTCCCCAACAACCACATTTGTTTTAAATCTCTTCGTATTTTAAACTTAATAAGTACCTACCGAGGTGTATTTTAACCATATAACATTTGACACTGTAGTACATTAGAGATGTTTTTATATTTACATTTTATTGGTCATTCTGTATATTTAAGTGAGATAATATAAACGGTTTTTTCAAAACACCAAATTACCAAAAACAGTTTAAAAATATTTCTGTAGGTTACCTATTCTTATTCAATACGACAGTGTTATATCACATAATAAAGAAGTGGTGGGAAAAGAAATTAATATAAGTAATAATAAACTAATTTTAATTAATTTTTTATTCTACCTATAAGTAGATACCGATAATTATTTAGTATCCAATCAATACATCACTATATCCAATTCAGACCATAGATTTAATGAGCCAATCACTTTTTTTTTTCATATTATTTAATATTTTTTTTAACATAAAAATAGGGTATTTATAAATAATCTTTAATGAGAATCATATTTTACACAACCCTGACAATGAACATGATGAATGATGCATAAAACACTTTTTCATACAGTTTACACTTGAATCTGTAAACCATTTAAACAATTTAAAGCAACTTATGAAAATTACCATTTGACTGTTGGACATCCTTTAAAAAATATTAAATTTTTTACTTATAAACATGATTAAGTCATATGTAACGCAATCAATTTATTAGTATACTGTTTATGATGTGAACCTAATTTGCTTTGATATTAATAATTGTGTTTCCAATATTATTAATTATATGTATATATATATATTGTTTTCTGTTTAGATTATCTCATTTTTTTTTTTATTAGTACTCCAATTTCACCAGATATGAGGTTTTCCTCAGTGGTTAATTTAGTTGGGCCATTATACCTACAATCTGCATTAAATTTTTTACTTAATTATCTTTGGATGTATCTTTAGATAGCCAATAAATTACTATTATTATTATTATCATTATTATTATTACTACTTGGCATTATTGTAATAATTGCTTGAGAGATTATTTTTTTTTTTTATAGCTTCTAACGAATAACTATTATAGCTCAACAACTACAGTACTTAAAATAACAGAAAGATAAAACAACATAAAAATAGAAATATATAAGTCATTAACATGCGATTAAATATACTTAAATATTAAATAGTTTAAGTTAAATACAAAATAATCATAATGAATAAACAGGTATCACAATCGATAAATAGAAACAAATTTTCTGCAAATAAAGAAATCTAATCATTATGAATACAATGTTCTCACAGACAAAAAGGAGAAGATATACATGGACCATGCCAGGAGGAAGAGCAAGATATCAAATAGATTATATATTAGTAAGAAACAGATATAAAAACCAAGTGAACAATGCAAAACTTACCCAGGAGCGGACATTAACAGTGATCATAATCTAATGTTAATGGAAACAAACTTAAGCCTGAAAAGAAAGGAAAATAACGAGAGTACAAAAAGAAAATGGTGCATGGATAAACTAAAGAATGAAGAAATAAGAAGTGATTTCAATGAAGAATTAAATAAACTATTACAAGAAGCAAATAGCAATAGGAAACAGGATAATGTCGAAGACGAATGGGAAAAATTAAGGGATACGATAACAAAAGCAGCGGAAAAGCATCTCAAATTCACTAAAGAAATTCCTACAAAACCATAGATAGATAACAAAATTATAGATCTCATTGAAAAACGAAGAAAATAAAAAAACGCAGTTAGTGAAGAAGGAAGGTCAGAATACAAAAAGTATAGAAACTTGGTCAATAGAGAAGCAAAGAAGGCCAAAGAAGAATGGTTAAACAATATATGCAAAGATTTCGAGTCTTGTCTAACAAAAGGCTTGAGTGATAAAGCGTACAAGAACATTAAACGATTTTTTAGAGAACTCAAAGATAAAGCCACTATACTTAGAGGAATAGATGGTAAAATAATCACTTGGGAAATATTATTAAATATTATGAAAACCATAAATATAGATATTAAAGACAGAAGAATTATTCATAAGTTATATTTAAATGAAAAGGCTGTGATAACAGGCAAAGGAATTAAATCATGGGAAGAAGCAAATATTGAAAAAGGAGTTAGACAAGGGTGTAACTTATCACCAACACTATTTAATCTGTACATTGAAAATACTCTAAATCAATTAAGGGAAGAAGAAATTGGAGGAATAAAAATAANAAACATGAATGATAGCTGTAAAGAGTACAAAATGAAAATAAATAAGAGTAAAACAAAAATATTAATATGCAGCAAAGCAGGAATTGTTTTCGAACATAACAATTGAAAACGAGAAGCTGGAAACTGTTCAATGTTTTACGTATTTAGGAAGCAAAATAACACATGATGGAAGAAGCGAAATGGACATAAAAAGTAGAATAGCACTAGCAAAACAGGCATTTTACAAAAAGAAGCACCTATTTACGACAAACACTGTTAGCTTAAATACCAGGAAAACTCTTATAAAGAGTTTTGTGTGGAGTATAGCCCTTTATGGGGCAGAAACATGGACGATACTCAAAGCGGAAAGAAAAAAAATTGAAGCATTTGAAACACGGTGTTGGAGAAGAGCACTAAAAATGTCTTGAACAAAGAAAATTAAAAATGAGGAAGTATATCTAAGAATGAACGAACAAAAAACAATATGGACGATAATCAGAGAAAGGAGGAAAAAATGGATCGGACATATTATGAGAAACAATGAATGGATAAATTACGACAATAACGACAATAATAGAAGGAAAAGCTGAAAGAGGTAGACCAAGAACACCATTTATGAAACAGATCATAGAAGACATAGGGAAAACCAATTATAAGGAACTAAAAGTAGCTGTAATGAATAGAGACAAGTGGAGAGCCATCGAAGGTATTTAACCAATCTAAGGATTGAAAAAAAAAAAAAAGAAAGAAACATAATGATGATCAAATTAATGACGTAGAGATAATTGGGCTATGGAATTTGCTGTTTGTGCACTGCGACTATAAGAAAGGAAATGATGGGAATTATTAATGCGAAAAGTTCGGAAATAAATTTGAAAAAATTTGGACAACAACGTTATTGGACGTTATAGGATATTATAAGAATCGGCGGCGGAGTCGTAAGAAAAAATTTAATTTATACAGTAACTGAAAACTGAAATATCACCGAAAATCACTTTTGTGAATATGACACGTATACATTTATATGTGTACGTTTAGTATTTATGTGAAACAGATAGATAGGTAACATAAATTAAAATGCCCTATTTAGACAATTAGTTAATCTATAGGAAGGACATTGATTGGTAAAACGCAAAACTTGCAAACGAGAGGGGTGTATAATATTATCAATATTATTGAAAAAAAAATGAAAAATGAAAAAAATACTGCGTTGGGGGTGTTTACTCATGCGTTTATTGTAAAAACGTCAATTACAGAACTTTAAAAATTTCAATGGCGCCCCTGTAGTTAAAGCGCCCGGTGCGTGGGCACCTCTCGCACCCCCCGAGCACAGCCCTGGATCATCATATTCAAGCTATTTACGTAACGTTTTCCACAATTTGTGCCAAACTATCAGCCCGCGTGCATATTTAATAGTTAATAAATAAATATTTAAGTATCTGGTATATATTATGAATAGGTACTCTAATAAAATAGCTTAATAGGCAGGTACCCAAGTTTTCGAAGTATTTATAATATAATCCAATCACTTGTATCAGTAAAATGTTTCACTATAGAGTAGGTACCAAATTTGTAATATTATTAATTGTACACGTCATGTTTACAAGTTTTGCGTTTTTCCCATCAGTGCCCCTTAAAATTGCCTAAATAGGAATTTTTAATTTACATTGCTTTTTCCGTGCCCCTTTAAAACGAATATGTTCTATCCAGATTTATACGGTCTAGATTTGTAGTGTCCAATATTTTACGACAAATGTATCGAAACCGTATTCGTTTATAATATCCGTTATTTACTATAACTCGGCCATTGTTTTTATGCATTTATTATCCTGTGTTCATTGAAAATTAAACACAAACAAAAGATTATCATCACGTATATGCAAAAATATTTAATCTTATATAGTGACTTACTTTATTTTATTTTATTTTTTTGTACCCACTTCAGAAGAAATGTTTTAAAGGACAAATAAAATTTAGTTATATAAATAAACCTTGTATTTTATCATTCTTTCAATCATTTTTTCACATTACTAAATTCAATACTAATAACATATTGCATAAATATTTGTTAAACTCATTAGCACTATTTCCGATATTTATTTATTAATTTCTTGGAGTGCTTAAGTATGCGCCAAGCACTGGCGTATTTACGGGAGGGGTCAATGGGGTCCGGACCTCTCCCATTGACTCGTGCATATTAAATTTTGTGTTTCTACATGATTAAGAAAATCAAATTTTATCACGTGATACGAAGTATTTTGTACAATTTTTTCGACGCTTCAGTCATCAAAATGTTTTATATCGTGATATTTTTTGTTATCAATTTAATACCAAACATGGTTGAAAAATACCGTGTTATTGATTGTTGAATAAACGCTCTACTGTCATAAAAATTAATTAATTTTATTTACAACCAGTTAAATGGGATAATTCTTTTGTAGAATTAAACATTTGGAAAATTAAATTAAACAATGGAGGTATCAATACCAAAAGTGAATTAAACACATTTATAAGCTGTTCGAAGACAGATTACAAATTTTCCAAACATAAAGTTTTTGTACATTGCAAGTATCTACAGCTACTTTGGAAAGATCTTTTTCAACCTTAAAAAGTTTTAAAACTTATCTTAGATCAACTATGAATGAAGTAATGTATTTAGGAAATATTTATTATAAAAGTTATAACCTAACTATATTTTATTTTTATTTTGTGTTTAAGATAGACTAAATGGACTGGCATTGATGTCAATTCATCGGGACATACCCCTCAATGTGGATGCTATTATTGATGAAATTAAGCATTTAGTTCTAGGCGAAATCTAGATTTTCTAGATTTTGTTTTGTTGTCATAGAATAAAATGTTATGTAATTTGTTTTTCCATACTGTTTTTGTAGATATGTAATTTTTACCTATTTTTTTATTAATTTTTAATATTATCTTAAACTAATTGTATCAGTTTTTCATTCAGTGTAATCGCTAAATTGCCATGGTATTACACAATTTTTACATACTTTTAAAATATAGTGTATTTATTTAATAAAGAGTAATTGGATGGTGTGGGGTGGCAAGGCCCCCCACGGCTTTGTATTTTATAAATTTTCGGGACCCTCCCCATTACAAATTCCAAAATTCGCCACTGATCCCAAGCACCCCAACAAAAATACCACTATGAAAGACAGTAATAAAACTGATAAAATGATAATAAGACATAAAATAATAAATACAATTTTCTTGATTTGAGAAATAAATTGTATTCCTTATAATTATATTAGTAAAAATATACATATAGTTTTATGGCTATTAATTATCACATAATCACAGTTTAAAATATTAGTACAATTAAAGTAACATTTTTTTTTTTTCTGCAAAACGCCAAATTCATTACATAATATATAGTACTATGTTATACGTACAATTTATTAAGTTGAAAAATGCTTATCAATACAAATTATACATTTTTTTTTTACTTTTCTAGGTTAAAACAATTCAAACGTCATTATATTTATATGGGAATAAGTAACGTTATTTTTAATTAGATTTATTTTATTTAATTAAAATAATATATAAATACTAAATTAAACAAGCAACTGTTAATATTTGGTGTTAACTGAATATATATATATATATAAAATTGAATTAACATGATTAATTTATTTGTCAAACAGTAATAAATAATAATACATTATCATATAATAACATATTTAAAATGAAAAAGGTCTGTGATAGTTGACCATTATAAGAAAAAACACTGTTTAAAATTGACGACTTAAGTCATGAAATGTAATTGTGAATATTTAAATGACTAGTTTTCAATAAGTTTAAAAATAAAAAAATTGTTTTAAGACATTTTTATCCATATAAGATGCTTATTCAAATTTTTGTTTAATCAATAAGTACTATGATTATTATAATGTTATAGCAACTTTTAACCAGAATAAATTATTAATATTTGTATTTAATGTATACTTTACTGTTAAATATAAATTAAATAATATATCATTATTATCATTATTTATACTACTTCTCGAGTTTTTAAATTTAAAAAACATTTATAAAAAATACTATACAAACAAAATTAATACTTATCAAGATCAAATTTTTAGTTAAAAATAATATTATAATGGAATCACATAACTTACTTAAAACTATTAAACTTGAATCAATAAATTTAATTGAAAAAAAAATATTATCACTGCGATTATATTTAAAATAAAATCTTTTTGAACGTACAAAAATATAAATAGGAAAGAAGAAAGTAAAAACCAATTACTCGAAATTAGTGATGGAAGTTCTCCTCCTATCACAATTACTTCAATGGAAGGAATTCACTCATTTTTATATGCTAAGTTTGAAGGAGTGAATAAAAAATAACATAAATTAAAACTGTTTGGATAAAAATTGTGGTTGGCGTACGCATTCTGTACCCAGACACTTCTTGTTCACAGCCATAGTTAAAGGAAGATTAACTCTTAAACTGGGATACTGGAATTTCTGGAAAAATTTTTAAACAATGTAATAATATATTTTTGAATTAAATGTTTAAGTATGTAAACCTGATCATTGTATTTTGCATCAATTTGAGTCAAATACGGTTCAGGAATAGCTACAGAGTCGCCTATGATTGGTCCTTTACCCTGAGCCAAGTTGTAAACTGATACGGCAATACATGTAAGTTCTTTGTCCACCATGCAAAATGTACTAACATAAATTACAAATATTTTTAATAAAAAAATTTAGATTTTACACATACGTATTATATTTTATTGTATAACCTTATTAATTTTAAGATAAGATAATAATATATTGGTCAGGTAACGGTTAAAAGATTTTTAAATAGTTTAAATTAGAGAGTCTATAATAAAAGAATAGTCACCACTGTCATCATTTCTTAAAGATTCCTGTCATCAATGATAAAGTTGTAACTAAAAAAGTTATGAATTAATATTTTAATGTTATTCTAAGTTTTTAAATAGATATTATTTATGTTATGGTATTTGCGTAATTTTACTATTATTCTTCTTCATAACTAATAAACCAAAATTTACTTTTTTTATTTTTTAAATATATTTACATAACTTCTGTAAGCTTAATTGATTATAAAACACTGGGAATAAATTAAATAGTTGGAAACTGATAATTCATAATGTTTAGGTCCGCCTCTTAATAGCCCAAGTTATGTATCTAGCTACCGATAACTAGAATTTAATTGATGCTGATAACAATATTAAGATAAAAATTTAAACCATATAGTGCTGTCTGTATTCATTGAAAAAAGGTCTGATGACCACTCTCATATTATAGGCTCTCTAGGTTTCTAGGTTAAATCATTAATACTAATAGAAATAAAATTATAAAAATAATTTAGTGCAATTCACAACTAATGTTTTTTTTTTCTAAAGAAAACTATACAATATTGTAGATGCCATATAGGTTTTGTTACTAAGTTCTTACTATGGAACAGGTTCCTGACTGTACACAACACACACCACTCGACCACATATTACTTTACAAAAATTTAAACCAGTTTGAAGTTTCGACAATGGAATAGGCTCTAAAAGTACTTGACCAGTCCTTGTTTTTATTGCTTTACTGTATAATCCTAAAGAACTTGTGTCCAATGACTAAACAAAAAAACGAAAATAGGCCTTAATTTATTACCTTATTTGGTTGAAACATAATTTGAAAAATACTTGAGTCATTTGTTGCAGTCGTTTAATTTTCATCTGTCCCTTACGCTGAAATAAAGTTTGTGTTGAGGTCAAATACTTAATGAGATCTTCAAAGGTATCTTTAGCTATGTTCCACATTGGATCTAATTGTGTGGCTTTTTCAAAGCTTATCAGAGCATCTGTATAAAATTCCGCATATTTTAAAGCCTAAATGATATTATAGATTAAAATACAAATATGTATGTTTCATAAATAATAACAGTACTAGACTTACAATGCCTCTATTAAAATGGAGATCAGCATTTTTAGCAGCATTAGGATCTTTAAGCTAAGTATAAATTTGAAAATATACAATTAAACAATTATATTATAAAGTTATGTCAGGTAAAATAATATAGTAACTAACAGCTTTTTCAAATGAATTAATAGATTGCCTCAATAGTTTATCATCTTGTTTTTTGAAAAATAAAGATAGATAGGCATTTCCAAGTATCGCCCATGATTCACCATCAGTAGAATCCATTTCGACAGCTTCTTTTGCATATTCAATGCCAGCTTCAAGACTCTCCTTAACGTTTTCATTTGTTAGCAACTGAGCTTCTCGCATTATAATAGATAAGTTGCGTAGAATTAGTTTACTTTTACCCTGAAATAAATAATAAATGTAGCTTATTCACAGTCTTGCTAATCAATAAAAAAAATACAAAAATATATATTTACATGTTTCAATGATGCAATGAAACAATGTTTAGCTTCTGAAAATCTTTTTAAATGTACTAAACATTCGCCTAGCAAATTCCATGCTTGTAAATGTGCTGGGTTGAGTTTGATCGATTTGGATAACACATTTATACATTCATCATTCACCGGATGTCTAACACTCCATGTTTTACCTAAAAGGTAATAATACTGAGCTTTGTTTTCAGCAATTGCAGCTTCTGTAAAATATTAAGATACTTAATATGAAGATAACACTATAATAGTTGTAAAAAATAATAGCGCTGAAAGTGTATAAGGTTATAAATGTTAAACATAAGAAATTGAACAAAAATATATTTTAATATTAACTTATAAACTTGAAATTAGTTTAAAACGCTTATAAGGTTAAGTTTTGGTAATTTTGTCATGTAATAGGAATTTGAATACCTAGAATGTAGTTTTCCTAGTTTTTTTTTTTTTAATTGTGTTCACATTGCACAGGCAGTTCAGGTTCAAGTGTACACATTTTTAAATTTTCAAGTAAGAAACGCTAACGCTTTTAGGTCCAAATATTTTTTACCTACCTTCTTTTTCTTTTACCAATGCAATTATTTCATTAATCTTTTTTCTAAGCTTTTCATTGTAAGGTGCTTCTTCAGTGCAGTTTTCAAATGTATTCTTATTAAACGTGAAAAGATCTTCGATACAAGACTGATCAAATAATGAAATGAAAATAATTAAGTTACTAGATATTTTTTTAAATAAAAATATTTCCATTTATGGTACCTGCAGGTAATCCAGTGTAGGTGTACATCTGTTTTGTTCGGGATTTTCATAATCTTTTTCCAGAGTTGAACTTTCAGATTGTTCACCACTCTGATCGTTATTTTTCTCCAATGCTATTTCATCCGTCTGCCGTTTTTCGTTCATTTTTAATTATGGTAGGTACCTATACAATTTGATCATATAGTAAAATTTGTAAAAACAAATGTGTACACTGATCTCACGCCTACCTTCTTGTTTCAATCAAAAGCAGTTGTAACATCTGCCATTCGAATTTCTAATAGGAAAAGAACAAAAACAAGGATCAACGCAGGATATTTTTAATACGGCAAATTTTCAATTTTCGTTTAAACGTTTGCAGCGCACACGGACATCATAGATATGTCGTCAAGTTACAACTGTGATAAATTGTTATTATTGTATTGTATTTTAATATTGATAATAATACGTTCCCAAAATATATCCGTAGATATTATATCGCACCGTAAATATAATAAAGAATGGACAGGAATATTGTGCGAGAAAGACTATTCCATAGATTTATCGTCTCTTTCTAGTCACTGAAGGTATTTTAAGGTTAATAATGTGTTCAAACTAAGATATTAGATAATATTCAATATCCATACACCAATGTTATAATAAACAGGATATACTGGATAACCGTGGATATCTGTGGCATGGTATCACGGTCTTGGGAGATATCTTACACGTTTGTGCCTTGTACCGATTTATGCACGTTTACGCTCCGGTCAAACATAGAGGGCGCATTTTAATGACTGAACGTACGTTAATGCAACATTACCGTGTTCTTACCACGTTATTTTATCCAATTGTGAAATAAAATAAAATACATTATTAACAACGTCTTAAATTACATTAAACAATGAAAATGGAATAAAAATCACAATTTGTGAGTAGCGTAAAAATCTGGAAAATACAAATCTTGAATACACAAATTTAGAATTTACAAATCATAGAGTAATTATTATTACCGATCCGGAAAATCTGGAAAAAACACAAATATAGATAATCAACTAGATTGTTAGGTTCCGTATATTAACCGTATAAACGTTTGAACTTATATCCGCCATAACTGATAGGTCGTTGGTATTTTATCATGTCATAATTTTGATAACTCAATTTATCATAGATATAGATAAAATTAAAATGTATAATCAATGTCTACTTTTCGTGGAGTTAACCAATTCATCATTTTATTTGTTTCATTTGTGTAATCATTTATTGTTGTCTAATTGTCTAATTAATTTAAACTTGTGATTGATTTCGTGTTATGTTTTGAATGGAATTTGGGCATGCATTTGAACAACTTAAAATGGCGGATAATAACTTCACATCTTATCGTTAGATAGCATCGCGTTTATAGATAACCGTGGTTAGTGGTCTAATTTATTATCTATATCCGTGGGAAAAAGATTTTTTATACCCATGCAGTGTAACCAACTTTAAATAAAAAGTAATAAATCATTTATAGTATGTTATCACAAAACTTTAATCATAGCTTAAATATTTTAATAAATATTCAAGATTTAGAGCGAAGCGTGGCCGCGTGGGATATTTTATAAGTCTATGGCATGAACATTAGAGTACTCTAATGTTCATGGTCAGGGCCTGATTAACCATTAGGCTGAAAAGGCTGCAGTCTAGGGAGCCGTTAAATGGTAGAGGCGCAACAAATCGATTTTTTTCAAACTAGTATTTCCTATTTTGACCTGTTTTATGGGATATAGAAGAATTTGTCATCGCCAGCCTACTGATAGAAAGTACATTAATCAGGCCCTGTTCATGGTCTATTGTCACGCACTCACACCATAGACATTTCACTAAGTTAGTAAAAGTTCTATGGATCACACCATGATTAAAATATTTTAACATTATAAAATAACCTTGTACATTTCAATCATGGGTTACACGGTGTGAGGCACGATTATCTATACTATTTATAATCGTGATTCAAGTGATTTAGCAGTTATAATTTCTAAAAAATTAATCAATTTTAAGTTTTTATTTTATGAAAATTTCCTCATTCCGGAACGCCGGTGCGTACGTACGTATTAATTACTTTACTACTTTAGTAATCTGAAACTGTGCTTGTAACCTATCCATTAATGACGACTCAACTGATACTATTTGTGTAATAACACTGCCTTAATTCTTTTGCGTAGATAATTAAAACTTGAGACACAAAATACAGTGGTACTTATAGGATATTTTTTTTTGTGGTGACCAAAATTTGATTGAAGTTTACTTGAGATCTGTATCGGGACCACCGTAAGGATGAAGACTTAGAGGGAAAATTTTGAAATAAATTAAACACCAAATTGAGTTGTACAAATAATTAATATTAATATTTCCTCACAAAAATATACAAGTCCAATAATTAAATTCGCAAATAAATACAAGTCCAAATAACAATAGAGTGACTCGAAAATTGCTCGCATTTGATCGTGGTGAACTCTTCTGGTTTGACGGTGATTCGGGCGGAGTGACACAAAAATTGTCATACACAATCTAATATTCTACTCTATTTATCTTGTCGTGAAGTGTTTTTATTTTAATTTTTGTGTCTGATGATACTTTTCTAGCAATAGGTATTAAATTGTTGAACCTATATAAAAAATACCTACACAAATTAATTGATGAGAGGGGGGAATTCACACCCCGCCGCCCCTCCTCAAATACGCTACTGCTTTCATGTAGTGTACTACATCGGGCAATGTCCTAGAGTCTAGACGACTAAAGATCTAATGTCAACGGCTGTTGTATTGTCTCTCCTTTGTACCTCACAGCGACCCTGAATAATACTGATTTGTCTGAGTATAGTGCAATTTTTTAGGTAAATATTTCGTTATTCATTTTTTCATTATTCTTATATTAGGTATATTTTTTTTTTTATTATAGAAGGAGAAGGAAAAAAATAGAACCTACAGAATAATTATATATTGTAAAACAAATAATAATAAATTTCTAAATTTAAAGACATTGTTAAAACTTAAGATGTAATGAATCAAGATTTCTTTATTAGAATTTTTAAAAAAATTAGTTCCATATTTTTGTATATATTTAGAGTTATTTTAGGTACTAACAATTAGTCCTGAACCTAGTAATAACTGTTAATTTGACTGAATTCATTATACAAACTTAATTGTTAATATGATACCGATTCGTCACAAATGTAATGTAATATAGATAACAATTATCGTTTATTGCTGTAGTGTAACATCGACTAGAAAGAATAACTATAACTATCAATACAGTAAATTAGTAGTATGGATAACCATCAATATTTATATTTAAACGAATAATTTTATAATTTATAAATTAAACCCTTTTTTTCACATAATTAAATTTATTTTATTAAAATGGTTTCAAAAAATTTAAAATGGTAATTTATTAACAAAAAATAGGTTTTAAGCATTTGTACAAAAATAATTTTACATATAAATATAATAAAATACTACGTTAAGCTTAACTATGGACGAAAATCAAGTTCTTGATCATTTTGCAAACTCAAATAATTATCAAGAATCTCAACTGACCAAATATATCCATGCGTTTTTGTCTACATAAGTAATTATTAAAAAAATTTAAAAAAGACAATGTTAAATTTAATTCTTTTACAAAATTGAATATTAAATATTATATGTTTTTTTTTTGATATTATATGAATAAAAGATAAATCATTTGACTTAAACACTGTAATAAATCATAATGTTATAGGTTATCAATAACCATTTATCAAAATATTGAGTATTATATTATATTACGTTACATTAAATTTTAAATTTCAATTGTTTTTTAATAATCATTAACGTAAGTTAAATATCTAATATACCTACCTACAATAATTATAGATAATATTTAAATATTTATAAATACATACAATGTTGAGTTTTTAGTGATTAAAAGGATACTAATTGTCTAATATCAAGTTTCAATCAGTACGTTTTATTTACATGAAACTATCAAAAATAAAAAATTGGACACGAAGATTATCATAAGTTGTATTTACTGGTCAGAAAAAAAAAATGAACAATTAGTAGTTTTCTATTTGTAGCGTTTTAAGTCCATATTTTGACAAAGGTCATAATCGGTTTTCAGTTTCAATGATTTATCATTGCGTAAGACATAAATTTTATTTGTCTATATATCCTACTTTCCCAACTTTCTACTTACAACAGTAGCATATCCGTCAGCAGTACTTTTCGCTTCTTTTTTGTGTTAATTACCTATCAATATTTTAAAGTTTAGTGAGAAATTAAAATATCAAAAGTTCGCGGGTCCAACTTCTGTTTAATAGTTTAATATGTCTGAATAGTAAATTTAAAAATACTCGTTAGTATTGAATTGTGTTTTCTCCTGGCAGGCCCGGCTCGAACGTCAAAAAAAAAAAAAAAACACCTAAACAAACTTAAGTTTTGCTGCCGCTCCTTATACATGTTAATACCACGTCAAACATTTTTAAATACCACCCCTGAAAAATGCCGTCCCAGGCGTGGGCCTATCTCACCTACCCCTTGAGCTGGACCTGTCTCCCGACTGGCGAACCATAACAGCAATATTTAAGGGGTTTACCGTATATCAATTTATGAAAAATCGTGAATAGACTTCCGACAATGTTATTTGTGTTGCGCATTATACAAATCGAGACTATACGATAGGCAACCAAAAATGCATAGGTACTAGTTTTGTCCAATAATGATTTTTAATCCACGTTTCCAATTTCGAAACTCCAGATTTTCAGATTTCAGAAGTTTCATAGTCACCCGATTTAGCACTAATCTGCACTATGCGTCGGATTGGAATATCGGAAGTTTGGAACAATATTTGTTGTCTTCAGCTGTCTATATTCGTCTCACGTATGGTGTCCTTGACATTGATATTGTGCGGATAAGATCAAAGTTCTCAACGACAACGGTCTGCTACCGTCACTCACTTCAGTCACTATTGGTAATGAATTATGATAACAATTAACAAAATATTGTGAGAGATGTGCACAAAAATGTACTACTGTATAAGTATTGTGATAAAGTAGATATTTTTATTTTTTTTTTCGTATTTTTAGTACTATGTTTTTATTATTTTTTTCCGGTTTTTTTTTAATTACGAATTCACAACGAAATGTATGCAATTAATGAGCGATGATTTGCCTAATGGTTGTCGAACAATCATGAGTTTTTTTGCCTTATTAGCCAATGATTGAACTGACCAAACACTCGAACTATTTTTTTATACATAAAAAGTAAGTCGACACATCATTATTATTTATTATGCTTACGATTTAATTTTTTTATTATTTTGTACAATGGTCATAAATAGTATTCAAACTGTTTAATGTGATATTTATTTCTGACTTCTTTGTAACTCTGTATCTGTTAAACAATTCTATTACTTTGATTTGGATATTGTTTCAATTATATTATTACGGTGTTGATTCTAAATATTTTCACTATTAACTTATTTAATATGTGCAATGCCGTTGGTATAAATTGATATTGTCAAGTGTATTTTTAAAGTTTTTACTAAATTTAAATTGGATAGAAATATAGGTATTGGTACATTGTTTTTAATATATGATGATTTTTTTTTTTTTAGTTTTTCTGAATTTAAATGTTCGAATTGCACAAAATGAATTACCTACTATAGGTATATTTCACTAAAAAACTTGATTGTTGATCCTTTTTAAGGTGTCCATTAAGTATCTAAAATATGTGCATAATTTTAAAATGCCAATTTACAAAAATAACATTTTTTTTAAATATTTTTTTTGATAACAAAAATACTACTTAATTAATATAGGTACCTTATAGTAGGTATTTAAATTAAATATTTAAAAGTGTCAATAGATACTTAACTTTTACTTAGTTACTGACAATAACAATAACAATATTAATAAAATAAAAAAAAAAAATCTTTGAATTTCTGATGGAGAAATCTTAAAATATTACTTATTTGTTAAATTATTGGATTTTTAAACTTTGATTTTAATATTCTTCAATTGTATACAAAATATGTGGTTGGTATTGATAAGTAATTTTTAATTAGCAATTTAGTATGCTACCTATATATTTTCCTTAAACTTTTCCTCATTGTACTATTTGACCAAAACTAAAATTAAATTACAAAACTAATTTTAATCCATTACTTAGGTAATTGTCCATTATTGCATATTAGAATAGGTATTATTAATTGAATACAATTAAACTTTTAAACAATTAAATTTGTTGGTAACATTTTGTTGTTGGGGTACAATTATTATATACCAGATATTGTAAAATTATTATACAATATCTAGTAATGTAATTTTATTAAAATATTATGAAAATTAGACATCGTATATATAATCTTATAAAATTTTATCATTATAATAAGTGGGTACCCAATTAATGTTTAATTAATAATACTAATTACTAATAACCAATAAAAAATATTAATATAAAATAATTTTATAATGTGGGTGATTTAACTCTGGATTTAAATGTTATAGCTTTTATACTAATAAGTTGATCAATTATTTTAAATAATTAGAACCAATTACTTTAAGTTATGATAATATTTATTTGTCTAAAAATCCTAGGGAAATGTTATATATATTAATTACCTAACTGCTATCAATTTTTCAATTTATATTTGTTTATAATTTTAATCATTTCATTTGTCTAAAATCAAAAATATATTATACAACACACATTCCATATATTGAATGAAAACTATTTAAAATTAAACAAATATTAATTAAAAATTCTTAGTTACTTATATACATACGTAGTTATATTAATTTTCAGTACTTAATCAATGAGTTCAATTATGTTAGCTATACAATTTAATATGGGATATGGTGAAGTTATTTTGTAGTTACTATAGTCATGAAAAGTCTCAACGTATTCTGGTTATGGCAATAATTAGTGAAGTTAAGATTTTTTTATTTGGATTTGAATTGTATTAGGTTTCTCATATGAAAACTAAATATATGAAATTTAAAATACTTAGTCTTTTTCTCACACAATTATAAAGTCTAATACTTTTTAAATAAAGAAAGTGTTAATACATTTTTAAGAAATTAATTTTATGTTTTTTTATATTAATTTAAATATGCCGTGTCTATAGGTAATTTAAACAATATTATTTTGCTACAATAATTATCCATTGAAGTTTGTTAGATTTATTCCTTAAAGGTATTTGTTGCCTGTTAAATAAATTACAGTATAAAAGATGCATATGCTCACAGCTGTGCTAATAAAACATGATTTTTTTTATGGGACCTAGTTTTTAATGGCTGAATATTTTATTTGTATTACAGAAATTAATAACATACCTATGTAATTTTAAATTTTACAATTAAAACAGGCATCTGTCTACATAATGTGCATTTATTTTATTATAATACCTATATTGTTTAGTTTAATAAACTTGTAGTACTTACTTATTGCTTAAATTTGACAAAAATTATTGTAGCATTAAATTCAGCTTAAAATTTGAGTTTAAGATTTGTTATTCGTCTGATGATGTCTGATGATATTAGTATCCATGAGTGTTGTAGAGAGCAAAAAATAAAAATAAAATAATTTTTCATCAAATATTTGTGTTTATGCATATTATATTAAAATGAATAGTGTTATGTAAATTGATATGCTTATTATAAAACTATGTTATCAATATCCCATTGTTTATATTTTTTATATAATATTATTTAATTCAAAATAGTATTATTTATTTTGATTTTTTTTTTTTTATGGAATTTAAATAGTTAAGTTATTAATTTTGTATATTGTTGAATCACATTCCAAATTTAATAAACTGTTACGATTTAGTAATTTTTTTTTTGTTAAGTGTATTTTAGTTAAACAACACAACATGAAGTCTACTGCTAAATCAGATTATGACAGAAAATTCCAAGAAGATCTTGAAAAAGCACAAGCTTTGAGCTTGGAAACATTAGCTCTGGAAGAGTTTCGTAACCGAAAGTTACAATCTGAATCATCAACTTGTACTGGAAATACTGTAGTATTGCCATCATCATTACCATCACGCTCAATGTCTCTTACAGGTTTATACATTAGCTATAATAAACATTAAGATTATTGCTTTATACAATTATTATAAACAGTAGGTACTTAAAAACCAAAAAAAAAAATATGGCATTTAAAAAAATTGTATATATATATATAATGAAATACAGAAATAATAATTTAATTACATAATAAAATATAATTTTTAATTTTACATTGGTAACTGTTTAGTTATTGAGTTATAATTAGCATAATTTATAGTTATTATTGTATAGTTTAGAGTTATTTTTTTTCTTACCTTGCTCAATGATTAAAAATATATGGGTATATTTAAGCAAATTACAAAGAAGTTATTTTTAGACATTTAAATTTTGCGAATTTTTTCATAATTTTTATTTGGTAGGTAGATAAAATTGTTAGACCTAACAAAAATGCTTGAAAATTTAACAAAATGTTCATTATAATGTGTATTTTGTGATAAAAAAAAAAAAAAAAAACAATTAACTGTAATGTAGAATTTTTTTTATAATATTTTAGCATCAAATTTTGACAAAAATCGTAAACATTACAGTATTTCATAACATGAATAACTAAACATCGCTCAGAATCGTTTTTGTTAGCAAAGATTAATCATTTCATACAGGTATACTTTAAATTTCCCTCTATATCCTACCTTAAATTCTCACCTACAATAGTGGTTCATGCAACGTGTGAAGTATGTCAGTCTTTTTAAAATGATGTGTACATTTATTGTTCATATATCTAGTTATAATTTAAAATATTTACTAACATTATTCTCATTTGGTATTAACCATTAAATTTTAATTTATAATTATTATTTAATTCTAGAAAAAACTGTCTATTGTAATGACTTATCTAGATCGCGGCCTAGGCCTGGGTCGTTTAACACAGGTATTATTTACTAAGGTTTTATTGTTTTATATTTATACAAGTTTTAATGGTCTAAATAAGTGTAATCTTTTGTATTTATGAATTCTCTAGGAGAACCTTTATTACCACGTATAAAACCTCCACCACGGCGTAATACTACAGTCATTCCAAAAAGTTGTACTAACAATTCAATTAAAGATTTATTTAGCCTGGATTCACCACCAATTGATGATCTCGTGAATAATTTGGAACCATTTAATTTAGATGGGTAAAATCAATATATTACATTTATCTAGTGTATCTATGTTTAATTTTTTAATATGATGAAAATTGTATGAATATTTTTAAGTTCAGTTTGAGATACCATAAAATATCTGCATCTCGCTATTCTATGCTATTAAAAATTAATTTCTGATTGAGTACTGTTGTTTCTGAGCATCCTTTTTTATACCTAATTTTTCAGACTTCCTATATAAATTAAATATTTCCATACACTTTAATGTTGATTCATTCTATTTTTTCTCTCTGTGTAATCCTTTGTGTTCAGACAATAAAAAATATGATGAATTATTGGACAGATATTTGAGAATAGCTTGAGGTGTGATAATGTGGATAAATCTTGCTGCTACTAATGTAATAAATACATTCTGATTTAGTATATAATAAAGCAATAATTATAACCCATAGTGAGTATCATAGAAATATATTTTGCTGACTAACAATTTTGTATTGACAGGAATAAAAAGCCTTTTACAAGTGATAGTAACTCAACATTCCAGAATTCGAGTGTTAATACAAATATATCAAATATTAGTTTAAATAAAAGTCAATATAGTGGGCCACACGATCTTAAACAAAACTTGGATGTGTTATACCAAGGTTGTTTTTCTCCAAACAATTTAACTGGATATTCACCTACTGGTTACCAAATGACAGTTCCTCCTCAAACCTTTTGGCAAGGGCATACCGATAGTAGCTGGTCTACAAGTAATGCTGTTCAAACTCAACCGTTAACAAGCAGTATAACTAATACACCAACACAGCCTTCTCTAGTTGGAATGAAATCTGATATTTTTGCTCCAAGTCTCATAAAAAAACAAAATAACAATAATCTCATTGATTTAAATTTTTTCGATACTATTGAAAGTCCCAAGGAAAATTGTTTAAATGTTAGGACTAGTGTTCTAGAAGCATTTGATCCACTTCTTCATGGTTATTCAAACACAAGTACTTCTACTATAGTGGATCAAGGTATATTTTTTCTAATAAATAATAATTATTAAAACTAATTAAAAACAATAGTTGTTTCTAACTTTTTAGTGGATAAAAATGAGTCATTGTATGCCACATATGATCCGTTTGATTATATGTATTCACCATCAGTTTCGTCTCAATCCTCGGATCCAATTTATGCCGCTGTCATAAAAACACCCATCAATTCGCCTCCACCATTACCGCCTAGAAGTTCTTTAACTCCGAAAGAATCAAAAGTAAACATATTAATAAATATTTATTTGAAGTAAACAATATTCATATTTTATTTTATTTATAAGTTAAAATATATTTTAGGTATGTAAAAGTATAACTTATGAAAACATTGGTTTAGTTAAACGATCTTCAGTATTTTATGATCCTGATATGGTAGCATTTCATAAGATGGTCAAGGAAGTCAGAAGTATGTAAAATTGTAAATCTTATTACCACTAATCAATAATTATTTAGAATTATAGTATGCAAGTATTAAGTAATTATTTTAAATTTAAGGAAAATTTCTATATACTGATTCAAGTACCAATAATGGGATTGTTGTTTGTTCAAAATTTGAAAACAATCTTCATCAAAACACCAGTACTAAATTTATAGTTCATTGTGAAACAATTCGGAAAACACCAATTATATTTACTTGTGATGGTATGCTCATTTTTATTGTATTTTCATTTTTGATGAGTAATTGTTACTTATATCTTTTTAGTTGGAAGTAGTGTTGAGCATGTCATATCACATGTAATTTGTGAATTAGATTTAGAGGATGCGCATCCAAGTGATTATTTTCTCAAAGTAAAAAATTATTCTGAATTTATGCTACCAATGAATACTCCGGTCATCAATTTTGAATGTGTTCATGAATGTATCAAACTTGATGTAGATGTTGAACTCTCTCTTCTTCATAAAGACAATGTTGTGCACATTTATGCTAGAAAGGTAAAACAAATTTTGCTAATAAGTAATAAGATTTACTTCTTAAAAAAAAGTAAAATTTTCATCTTTTTGTCTTCTTTTGATATTTCACTCCTTTATTTCTTAGAAGATAGAATGAAATACATATATGTAAATACAATAATTATTTTATTTTATTTTAAATGTTATAGAGTGTTTATTTCTATAATAAATTTTATTTTTTCAATTTTCAGCATACATTTCTATACTTAACATTTTTTTGTTTAATAAGCATTTTGTATTATTTAAGTATTAATAAACTACAGTGTATTTATTTATTACTTTAAGGCTCAAGATGATATTCATGATAACGAATTGGAGTTAAATAATTTATGTCCTAATGAACCGTCCCAACCAATAACACATGATACTTTAAAAATTCTTCTAGGTAAAAATTGTTACTTTGAAATATACTTATATACTTTTGTATATTATGATATTGAAATTTGTTTTAGATACTCTTGATGGAGAAATGCTAAAAATTCAAGACCATACTGTTTCATTGTTTAAAAAGCGAACCAATACGCCCTTACAACCTAATGGTGTACAACAAGCAGTAAAAGCTTTAACATCTTTTTTAGGCAATATTGAACCATTGGATTTAACTTTATCAATAAATAATTTTATTTTGTCGTGTAATGAAATTTCAAATGTCATTCAGGTAATATGAAATCAAAAAACTTATCTTACATAACCTTTTTAACTTCTATAAATGGATCACCTGGTACTTTTAAATTTCATGTATTGATTGGTTTAATTGTGTTTTATTCAAGGATAATTCACGAACTGAAGTGATATCAGACGACGGTTCTGATTATTCTGTTGTGAGACTAAAGTTTAATGAGACTGAAAAATTAGATCATATCACGGATGTATGTTTAAAAATAAAAGAAAATGTTCAGACATTAATTGAAAATTATTGTAAAGCCTTTAAAGTTGATTTTCAGATAAATTTTAATTCTACAAATTTAACAGGTATAACAAAAACCTTAATTGATATAATGATATTGATATTAATTTAATGTAATCATAATATTTATATTTTGCAGAATCTAAATTATCTTCAAAAGTTTTAGATAATGTCGTAATTTACATTAGCTGTTTGCACCGATTATTTTCTTCATGGAGTCATGATGAATATTTAATAGCTGCACAAATTTATCATGGTACTAGACCAATTGGAAATACAGTACTTTCAAAAGCTGTATTTGCAGAACAATCTATTTATAAAAGAGTAGTTTTCGAGTCATGGTATATTTTATTATGACAAAGAATATATATATATGTGTTATTTTATTCTTTATTAAATTAATTGTTAATATTATTGTACTAGGTTGGAGTTTGAAAATATGAGCTTGTGTTTGTTACCCAGAGAGAGTCGTTTGGTTTTAGTTGTTTATGGAAGAACATATGATACTGAGAGTCAAGATACATCTACCACAGTTTCTCAAACAGAACTTGGGTGGGCTTCCATACAATTTTTCAATGTTGATGGGTTTGTTCACAAAATTATAATTTACGTTCAAATATGTAATTGTTTATTGTATTTTAGAGAATTTTCTCAAGGGAAACAATTGTTATCACTTTGGCCTCTGTGTGCTGACAAACGCCTCGGTCCAGCTCCACCACCGGGTACTCATCCTTATAGTCATTCACATCCTGTTCTTAGTATGTGCAATTATTTAAACAATTATAATTTTTCTTTTTGAGAGTTCCATGACAATGTTAAGTGTCTATTTTTAGGTATTGAAATTCAAGAATTTGACTGTAACATTATTTTCCCCCCTACATTTGAAAATGAACATGCTATAAAAAGTGATAGTTTTGATTTTACAAGTTTGGACTTGAATACACAAGAACAGTTATTAGATATAATTTGCCAAGATACTTTTACTAGGTAACACATTGCAAAACTTATCAAAAATAATTTTAATAATACCTGTCTATTATTGAATTATCTGTAGACCATTGTCCGAGGACAGAGAGGTTTTATGGGAAAAAAGGTATTATCTATTATCAAAGCCCAAAGCTTTACCTAAGGTGTTATTGGCTGCTCACAGTTGGGACTATGCATGTTTGGCTGATCTGCATTCAATGCTTAATTCGTGGTCTCCCATAGAGCCATTAGATGCACTTCAATTGTTTTTACCATGGTATTTAAATATAAATCAGGGCGTATAGTGATTCAGTGGACTAAACTATTTTAAATTATATTTTATAGCTTTCCTGATAACGAAGTGCGTCGTTTAGCTGTCAAGAGAATACGTTTTCTGAGTAATGATCAACTCATTGACTTTCTTCCTCAACTAGTTCAGGCTATAAAGCATGAGACTTATGATAATTCTCCATTAACTGAGTTTTTGTTGGAAAAAGCTTTGTCATCTCCTACTATTGCTCACAATCTTTATTGGTTTCTCATCCAACCACTTCCAGGACAATCGCCTCAGGTTTGTATTTCTAAAGAATATTTATGTTAAATAACAAATCCATTTATTTTCTTTAAATTTTATTAATGATTCAATTAAAAGTTATATTTTAAAATTAATATATACTTTTAATTTTATTAACTTAGAATTCCTGTGACGTCCATAGTCCCGATGATAAAACAGTGAGCGAAGCACGTTATTATAGAAGATTGCAGCTTTTATTAAGGGCATTAATTGCAACATGCGGTGAAGCACTTAGAAAATGTTTTTTATCTCAACAGCTTTTAATGAAAGTATGAAATACAATTTAATACCATATTATGTAGCATTATGATTATTCATAATATTTTTATGATTTTTTACAGGAATTATATGATACTGCAGAAAATGTAAAAGCGAGTAAAGAATCACATAGAATGAAAGTACTTTTACAAAACCTAAGTAATATTGATCAAAGTCTGAAAGATATGCCTACATGTCTACCACTTAGTCCGAGTATGCAAGTTTGTGGTATACAAACACAATCTTGTTATTATTTTCCATCCAATACGTTGCCCTTAAAAATCAATTTTAATTGCTTGGAATCAAATGTCTCAATTCCGGCTATTTTTAAGGTAAGAATGTATAATGTATCATATATATTATATATATTATACTATTAGTGTTATATTAAGTATATAATAAGTATTTGCATGGTTTTTTAATTTCCTTAGGTTGGTGATGATTTGCAGCAAGATATGTTAACAATCCAAATTATAAGGCTAATGGACAAATTATGGTTAAAAGAAGGATTGGATTTAAAAATGGTAACATTTGCTTGTATTCCAACTGGTGAAAAAAGAGGTATGGCTACTTAGTTTGTTATTTGAAGATTGACTGTATTATACTTATTCTTGAAAAATTATAGGTATAATTGAAATGGTTACAAATGCAGAAACTTTAAGAAAAATTCAAATAGAATTGGGTTTAACTGGGTCATTTAAAGATAGACCAATAGCAGAATGGTTAGCAAAACATAATCCTTCTGCACTGGAATATGAAAGAGCAGTTTCCAATTTTACTGGTAAAACTTCACTGATAACACCAATCAATTTTAGTAATTTAAATTAATTTAAAGATTAAATTTATGTTTTAGCATCATGTGCAGGTTACAGTGTTGCTACCTATATTCTTGGTATATGTGATCGTCACAATGACAACATTATGATGAAAACGACAGGACATATTTTTCATATTGATTTTGGTAAATTTTTAGGAGATACTCAAACATTTGGAAACTTCAAAAGGTATGATGTTTGTATTCTACATACGAATATTATGCATACAAAATTTTGTAATTCAAAATATAAGTGATATCAATATGTTAAACCATTTTTATGAACATATAAAACTGTAAAAAAAAGTTTTTGAAACAATTTTGTGTGGTATTTTTTGCAGGTTGTCCATGACAACCAGTAAATTCTATTATTTTTTCTTTTTATTTAAAAAGGAGACCCGGTCAAATGACCCTATAAATGATCATAAAATAATGATTTTTATTTTTTGTTTGTATAGGGTCTTCTGGCAGTGTTATTGGATGATTTGAGATAGAGTTAAGAATGCGTATGTGGTGGTAGTGTTAGGGATAAAGGTCATATGTCCCTCATTATCAGCACAACCTACTATTTGGTTTGAAATGCATTGTTGGACAGATGAACAACACAACTTTGCAATTGTGAATTGTTATAAAAATGGCAAGATTTAAACTTTCGGACTAATTTTGTACTGTCTTTATAACAACTTTGAAAGTTCTTAAGAATTCAAATTGTTATCTCACTCTTGCTTTATTTTTTTTAGTCATCAATCAGTTCCAAACTTAAGCAAACTGGGAACTGAAAACTTTCAATGTAATTTTAGACATACACTGCAAAAAAGTTCATAGAGTAGAACTCATACATTTTGAGATAACAAGGCTTTTAATTGCAAAGCTGTGTGGTTCATCTGTCCTACTATTCATTACAATCTAAACGGTAGGTCGTGCTAATGAGGAGCATATGATTTTTGTCCTCACCACCACTATACACACTCTTAACCCGACCTCAAATCATACTGTTTCACTGCTGGAGCCTGTATGTACTATCAAATAATTTTTACATAAAACAAGTTAAGAATAATTATTATTTATTATTTAATGTCTTTTAAAAAATGAATACTATTTTTATCAAATTTGCTATTCGATATTAGTATTTGATTGATGATAATTCAATATATATTTTATTCAATATCAGGGAGCCCAAAAAACAATTGTTTTTCTTAATTATTGACTTTCACAACAACTGTTATTTGAGCTACGAAAGTTTATACTTGTATATACTCATCTGTAAATATATCATAATTATCTTACTTACAATTACTTTTTGTTTCTTTTGTTTGCACAGAGATCGAACTCCATTTGTTTTAACTTCTGACATGGTGTACGTGATTAATGGAGGTGATAAACCTTCCACTAAGTTTCAACATTTTGTTGACACCTGTGTTCAGGCATTCAATATTGTTCGTAAACATGGAAATCTGTTATTAAATTTGTTTGGATTGGTAATATAATTAATAACTAATTGTAGTTAATAAGTTTATAAGAATTAATGCAATAAATTATTTCTATTATTGTGAATTGGACAGATGGCGTCTTCTGGAATTCCTGGTGTAACAATGGATGCTGTAAATTATGTACAAAAAGCTCTTCTCCCAGAATTATCTAACCCAGAAGCAGCGGCTTCTTTTGCCCGTATGATTGATGACTCAATAAAATCACGGTTTACACAGTTTAATTTTTTCTTACACAACCTAGCACAAATGCGATTTAATAATGAAGAAAATGGTACTGAACTGTTAAGTTTTGTTCCAAAAGTCTATACGTATGTTATATACTTAAGTTTTTAGTTAAAATGTTATTTGTTTAATTATTAATGATGATTTATCTTACCATAGAATGGCACAAGAAGGAAAGATTGTTCGTGTTGAAGTATATGGTTGCCAAAAAAGATATGATCCTGAAAAATATTATGTTTATATTCTTAAAGTTTTCCGGGAAAATCAGAGAGATCCTTCATACCTGTTTAGGTCGTATAAAGAATTATCAGAACTGCAACAAAAATTGCTATTGTTATTCCCTTTGGCAAAATTTTTAAGGTAAACTTCATCACTACTTATTAAATATTTCAATTTTGTAGTATAATATTTATTGGTATTTTCTAGTTTATTAAATACTACTATTCATATGGGACGATCCCATATTAAGCAAGTAGCTGAAAAAAGACGAGTGGAAATCCAGAGTTTTCTAAATACATTATTCCAAATGGCCCCTGAAGTAAGTCATTCAGATTTGGTGTATACATTTTTTCACCCTCTTTTAAGAGATCAACAAGAAGCCAGTATTGAAGATACCAAATTGAAAGGTAAAAGAAAATCTTGTTTTTATGTATTTACATTTGGTAGTTATGTTAAACTTGAGATACTTAAAAAATTTGAAAGTAATTCTCCTAAAAATGTAATTTTTAACTATTTAATATCATTCAATTATTATTTATTTTTAATATTATATACCATATTGACAGAACCAAAGCAATCGGGTTTTGTCAGAGAAAATCGCATAGTGGGTCAATTAAAATTGACATTACATTATCAACGTGGAGCATTTATGGTGAGTAACATGGTTTACGTTTTATAGGTTTGTTTTAATAATAATGAACATCATGTCTTTGTTCTATATTCTATATTTTTAATATCATAGTTTGCTATAATTGTTTTCACAAGTGAAGAATTGAACATTTAAATAAGAACAAATTTCCTTCTATTGACATAATTGATGTTTTCTGGTGGCTTTTTAATATAGAATAGTGTTTTAAATTAGAATTGATACATTATTTTGTTTAATATCTTAGGTTATGGTACAACATGCCAAAGACTTACCACGTATTGCTGGAAATCAAGAACCATCAACTTATGTAAAAGTGTATTTATTACCAGACCATAACAAAGCAACTAAGCGTAAAACAAAAGTTGTTCGAAAAAATTGTTATCCATCGTTTATGGAAATGGTAATTAAGATTTTGGTAAATACCAGTAGGTCCTTGTCCATATGTTAGTAAAATCATTTTTTTTACCTCTACTAGTAATAGATAAGATTGTATTGATAAATTATGACATATTATAAATCTTATGAAAAACATTATTGAAATGTTTAATTGTTAGAATGGGTTTTTTCTAAATATTTTTATTTTGAAGCAAATTATTAAATTTAAAAAAAAATAATAATAATGCCAACAGTTAATTTAAAAGACTTAAAACTTAATCAAGCCTCTAGAACTTGCATTTTTGAAAAGGACAGGAGCAAATTTGGTTGTATTCTACATGTGTACAATAAGGAAAATAAATATGACTGATAGATTTTTAAGTTATTAATATTAATATTAAAATCTCATATTAATATTTAATTTTAATTTTAACATAACAAGTTTTAAACTTAATGAACATTAGTAGTTATTTAAATTGAATTTCTTATCTTATTTTCAGTTAGAGTACAGGATGCCACTGGATGTTGTTAAGTATAAAATTTTGCAAGCTACTGTATGGAGTCATGACTCATTACAAGAAAATGAGTTTTTGGGTGGAGTTATTATAGAACTGCATGATATTAATTTAACTTCGGAGACTACATCCTGGTACAACTTGTCAAATGTACATAGATAAGACGTGGTATTTTTTTAATAGTATATCTGTTTTAGATGGTAGGTATTTGTGTGTTTTATTTTTTTTAATTTTACAACTTTGTTTTCCGGTTTTAAATTGTTTTTTATTATTATTATTTTCATTTTTTATGATTTTACTAAAATTGTTATCCAATTATTTGGTATTTAATTTCTATGTTTGTTTTTTTGGTGTAAAATTATGTTTTGGTGATGGGTTCAAACTTACTTCCTTTTCTTATTTGTGTTATTTAGTGAACACATTAATTAATCTTTCATTATTGATCATGTTTGCATCAAGTAAATTATGTCCACGCAATAATATGCAAATCTCTAATTAAATAATCTTATTAGATTATTGTTTTTTGTGATTGAATATTTTTAAGTATGTTATACTACTATGAATTATTATTTATTATTTTTTTTTTTATCTACCGTTAAACTTATTTGTTAAAGATGAACAATTGGTCTTAAATTTGTCTTTTCTGTTTAAGTTGCCAATTATTCCAACCAGTCTTAATCTCTAAGTTATTAATTTATTTAATTTTATACATAAAATAAATGTGTAATCACTGCATTTATTACATCATTTTTTATAATATGATATTAATTTTTAAAAGATAAAAAAAAATGAAATGTTTAAGGAATATATAATCTCCAGGCAATTTTTTTTTTTAACTATTTTATATTATTGAATTTATTTGTTTATTATTATTATACAATAATCTTAATATATATCTTTTTATTTAATAGCTGGACTATTTAGTGATTAAATTAAGCAATATTGTGTAAATAGAGTGAATTATATTTTTATTAAATTTATACACCTAATATAGGATAAGTAGATTAAGTAAATTATACATATTAATATTATATGTAAAATATAATTGGTTATAATATAAAAATTATATTAATATCAATGATGATCATATAAAATTATATAATATTTAAATAATTTAATTTATGTTATAGTTGTCTTCATTTAGCAGTTACAGTTTCATCAATATGTTTTATCATTTTGTTAAAATGAAATTACTATTGCAGACTTTCATAATAAAAAACCAAAAAAAAATATATATACATATTAATAATTTGTCAGAAACATGAAATTGCATTAGAAAATTAATTTGGACTATTTACAAAATTTAAAATATAATATTATGATATGATAATATATTATGAACCTTAAACTTTTCTGAAATTTAAGTTGACTTTTTTAGTATTATTTTTTTTATTGTTTTTATTTCTAAGATCATATAATTCCATTGTTAAGTAAATCACTCAAATTGAATAAAGATTTGGCTTAAATATTTATATTATATTTTACATAATATTATGTACAATATACTAATTAATACATTTTCACTTAATCATTGTCTACTCTATTGAGTTAATTATACTTGGTAATATTAAAACAAAATAAGACTGAAATGTATATAAATTATTTTTTTATGTTTTGAAAATATATTCCACACTGATCTTTTAAATTCTGAACAAAGCACTAGAAATGATTTTTTTTTTATTTATATATATATATATTCCATTATTAAATTATATTATATAAAACTGTAAACTGTCTAAATAATAATATTTTAATAAATATTGTTATATTATAATAATCTCATTCAATATTTGTATTAATAATACATATCCATTATACAGGTTGTATTTTGTTTAAAAATATAGTTGGTCCATAATTTTATTTCCAAGACAACTTTAACTATAATTAAATATTATGTTCTCAATCAAGAGTTATTGCTTGATATTATATTGTATCTAATACAAATTCCAAAATGATCATGATCATTTTATTTTTATTTTATAATTATTAATATTATTATTTTGTTAATTATTGATGTATTGATAACTTTTATCATAAATTAATGTTGTGTAAAATTATACTTTATTGTTTTATGTATTTTTAATCTTTTGTTTTTATGTTATTTATATGGTTTTAATTGTTGTAAGTTTTATTTAATCATAATTAAGCATGATATAATAATTATTTTATACAATTTATATTCACATCTGATCCAATATTATTTTTAAATATACATTCACTTGAAAAAAAAAAATTAAGAAAGATAAATTGAACACATAAAAAATATTAATTTCTAACCAACAAAAATCATTCAATTTTTGTATTAAAAGTACTAAAAACCCTGTGTGATAAGGGTTTAATTTTGGAAATTTGACTATGAAGTGCTTCAATATGGTCATATCTCGGTTGCTCATCTTCTGTATGCAAATTTTCAGATCTCTATATGTATATTCAGCCATAGATTGCAAACACACAGACAAGACAGACATTCTCTTTTATTAATTTATAGAAAATCAAAAAAATAAATTTGGAAATTCACTATAATATCTCATCATATTACGTATTTTAAAAATATGTATAAATAAAATATTGTTAAATGTTATTAATTTAATTAAAAATTTGCAATTTGTGTGGTGTTTAAAATTTAAAATTAAAGTACCTACAGTTATTTGTGGCGTATTTAGAATGGTATTAGAAGATTGGCTAAAGTTTTGGATGTATGGTTGACATTGGTACGACTAGTTCAGGGGTCGGGAACCTACAGCTCTGGAGCCATATATGGCTCCTTAATATGTAATCTATGGCTCTTTGGAAAATGTATCAAATTTTAAGACATATTTTTATGATTTTAATGACTACCAATTCCAAATGAAATTGCTTAGTAAAATATAATATTAGTTGTTTTTTGTACTATGGTATATTTTTTAGATTCTGAGTGGAGTGACGAAGCTTAAAGTTTTATAAAGATGTTCATTTTTATTTTTCATCTGTATGCAACTTTACTCCAAGAAGGCTTGCTCAGAGGTATTTTAGGGAGGTCATTTTTCGATTTTCTCAAAAGTTTTCCAATCAAATTTGAAAACCGAAAAAACATGAAAAATGAGGAAAAAAAATAGGAAAACTGGGATAATTGGTGCAATATTAAACAAATATTATTGAAGAAAAAGCCTATTTAATTATTTTACTATAAAATGACATATATCGCTAACAAAGTATCATTGTCAACTGAACTCCGCTCAGAATCGTTTTTTCGTAAGTAATGGTTTATCATTTCTTACAGGTATACATTAAATTATCTATAACAGTGGCTGCACCCCTTCACATTATCATTGGACGTCTTTTATCTTAACCATTGCGTCCCTTTGAAAATCATGGTTTGTAATTTATTTAAAAAATGGCTTATTTACACCTCTAGACTAGTTGGATGAGGTGTTTTATGTCTAAACTAGGTATTCATTATGTTTATATATCCAAACATTATTTTAAATGTAATTGTTTTATCTCGTAACTTAGGAACTATTATTTATTTATTTACTTATTATATATTACTGAACTAGGTCCAATCACAAATGATAAGTATTGATTTAACTTATGATTATTTGAAAAGTTGAACAAACAAAAGAAAAAAAAAAGAAAAATGGAAAATATAACAATTAAATAAGTTAAGGTGATAACAAAAAAACAAAAATATAAAAAGGTAAAATTAATTAAGAAAAAATATATAATGTATATCATATTTATTTATAAGATTTGAAGATCTAACAAAAGAGGGGTCATTATTTGCGATCCGCATTAAACGCTTGATGGGGGAATTTTCGAGGAAATTTGTAAATGAGAGTGGTATGTGGAATGGGGCATGGGAGCAAGTTGATCGAGATGGGACTTAAAGTTAATGAGAGATAGGAGAGTAAGAGAATCAATCTTACCGTTAGGGAGATTAGATAGGAAAGATATATTACTCGGCTGCTTACGATCTTCAAGGCTTAGAAGGCCTAGAGCATACAAGACAATAAAGTAATCATGGGGAGTACAAGGAATTTGGAGTCGGTACACAATAGCACGGAGAAACCTTCGCTGAACACGTTCGATCATAGCGCTGAACCATACGGGAGCAGGATCCCACAATACACTACCGTACTCAATGATAGGCCGTACCAGAGTCCAGTAAAGAGTTTTTAGGGGCAGGACAAAATGGTATTGTATTGTCAAAAGGATCGAACGATGATCCCGAGAACTTTGAGTACCTTACAGCATATCTCTTCTATGTGTTTGTGAGGGGAGAGGTGACGGGTAAGTTGCTTATCGAGTCACCTGAGGACATAACAGGAATGTTGTGGATGTGGTATGAAAAATGTATAGGTGATCAAAGATGAGTAAAGATTATAGAGAAACATTTAGGAATATTAAGAGAGATACTAAGATATTCACTCCGGGCAACCAATTTATCAAGATCATATTGGAGCTTGTGGCAATCGTAGATGGAATTTATTCTGAGAAAGATTTTGAGAGTTGTGCGTATTACTGATATCATCGACCGTTAATGAGATGTGACTAGGAAGATTAAACTGGGAAATTGAAGAGTCTGTTGGTGGAACTGAAGGAGAACTCATTGGCGCAAATCCCAGGGGTTCTAAGGGTGCTAAGCACCCCCAAAATACAAATTAGCACCTCCAATTAGTTTCCATTGTATTCCGTTATACCTATTATAATTAATAATTTATTGGTGTATAAATCGACCGTAGTGTGAACATAATATTTGTTGTTATTTTATTTTAAGATTCCGTGTACTATTTAAATAATATAATATTACCATAGATTAGACAAAATTAATTTTTAGATGTTATTTAATGTTATAATATCTCATATCTGTGATATTACCCCATTATAGACGTGATGTCGTTAGGTTTATGCACAAACTTCTATACTAACTGTATAGTAACTAATATAGATTATAGAAGTATGTTGGTTTATGGAATATTAAAATGATAAAGATAATGATTACAGTTGATTATTGTCTAAAAATATAACGAACTATGGTATTATTGATGCATCTGTAATAATTTAATCTTTAAGATAATGAACAAAAGTAACAAAACCAATGTTAAAAATTTATTTTCGTATTTTAAAACTCTACCGAAACAAACGTCAACAATATAACAACGATGAAAATGTGGATGAACCTGACGAAGTAAGTTTTTTTTTTTACTTTCTTTTACAGCTTTCAAAAGTATGCTTTTCAAATCGGTGTTTTGGTTAAATTTTAAATTGTGTTGTTAAAGGTTATTGTTTCACATATCAATGCTTAACTGGTTCGTCAAAAAACAATTTATCAAGATCAAGTTTATGAAGATGTCACTGTTGATGATTTGGAGAAAATAGATGAGGGTCTTAGACAACCTAAATTAGAAGTAAGATTTGTGAATTGTAATTACTAACTATAGTTAGAAAAAATATAAATTGTGAGTAAACTGAAATTATTCGGAGGTGTTATTATAGCATACCCTACAACACCCGTGCGTACTTCTATGTTAATAATACTTTGTTATTATTATATGAGTATTAACTACTTAAGATTATTATTTTTTAAATTTTTTTTGTTTTATACTTTTACAATATATTACAGTTAATACTATTTCAATATTTTATTATATTTTATTATATTTTTCAGTACTTTCCATTAACATAATTTGACAAACAAAACTGTTCATTGTCATCAAAAATGTACTCAAAATATTATTGGATTGAATATATAGTATTAAAAAAGATGCTGTTTCCTGTTTTAATTGCAGACATTTTGTTACAAACTATAATGATGATAAATTTGATAATATTAATGGCATTAAAAACTGGAGCAAGGTAGTATAGTTTTTATAAGTCCAATTATATATATTATTATATTTATTATATACCTGATGCTTTTAATATTAAATTAATGATAAATAATGATAAATTGAATAAACATCAGAAGTTTATGGTATATTTGACCAGTAGTTCAAAGCATCATTCTTATAAAAAATTCCAGAAAATAGGTAGTGTGTGTACACAATTAAATACAGCTTACAAAGAACTTGTTGAGAAGAACCGAAAGTATGTCTCTGTAATTATTGATATTTTAAAATATATCACACATTAAGGAATAGTACTCAGAAGCCATGATGAATCTGAAAAAAAAGTCAAATAACCAGGGTAGGCATTTTATACAAATGTGTAACATTCGTGTATATTGCATATTATGCATAGCTAAGGTGATAAGTTGCTTTTATTTTGAATACAATTAATGAACACTTTATACAATTAAAGTAATTATCTATATTAACTGGTTCTAGTTACAATTACACTTTTTATTTACAAGGAACTTTAAAGAGCTTTGTAAGTTGTATGCAGAATATAATCCGGAGTTTTTATTTAGTTTTAATCAAATAATAAATTATTGTAGTTGGTCGATTCCAAATGAAATTTTAAATAAACAAGCATCAGTAGTAGCACTCAAACTTTTGTAATTAAATTAATTTTCATATTTCAACAGGTCTTTCAAGCAAGAACGGATGTCCCTGTGTATTAGATATGGTAATGAAGATTTAAAAGTAGTATATGAAAGATTCATTGAATTCATTGATGTTTTTAGTGAAAGAAGAGCTGAGAACCTTACAAAAGTAATCATTAATTCAATAAAACAAAATAATCTACATGAAATTCCTTTGATTGCCCAATTATACGATAGTGCAGGTGTGATGTCAGGGTCATTGTTAGATGTTCAAACCTGAGTCTGAAAATTATACCCTGAAGTGGTGTATATACACTGTTTAGCACACAAGTTAAATCTTGTTGTTTGTGGTACTTGCAATAATGTAAAAGTATTTAATATATATATATTTTTCAATTAAAAAATATGCAGTTTTTTGAAGTGCTAAATATTTTATGTTTTTTCTCATTTCTAGGAAGCAAGAAAGTTGTTTAATGCTTTAGAAACTATATATGTCCATTTTGCTCAGTCAGGTCGTAATACTTAATTAAATGAATTACTGGTTGATATGAATATTAAACTATTATCTATATTAAGATTCTGTGAAAGGCGTTGGTCTTGTTGTTATACAAATTGTGCAGCAGTACTTAATAACTTTGGTGTAATCGTTAACATTTTGGAAAAAGAAATTGATGAAAGTGCAACAGAGATACACCTCAAGCAATAGGTACAATTTTATAATTGGCTTATGTTATTTCATTTAATTATTATATTTTATGTGTCATAGTTAATTTTTATACTCAGAAATTGTACTAATAAAATATTTGTGATCACTACTGAGTACTAAATAGTAGTTAATAGTTGGTATATGTAAATTATTTTATTAACAATTCACCTTGTAAAAGAAGACAGTTTTTTAATAATTTTTCATCTGAATGAATAACTTTTAGATTTACAAGTTTTTTTTGAGTTACTCTTATATTGAATATATTTTTATTATTATTTTTTTTTTTTAGGTCTTTTAAGCATTTTAAAACAGTTGTCATTTTTGTTCTACTTGTGTATATTTTATGATATTTTACAAACAATAAATATTCTGAGCATAAAACTACAAAAAAAAAAAAATACAACTACAAAGCCACCACTACAATAAATGGAGTTATTTAAATATTTGAAAACATGAGACATTTCTCACAATATTTGACTATTTGGAACAAAGTTGTAGAATTTTACCATATGTGTATTAACAATTTCTATAAAAATGTATTTTAATTAAATACTGTGTGGGTTACTTGTCTTTTATCAGGGCCAAAAAGAAAATTCAGTGAACCACAACAATTAAAAAATTTTGCAGTCTTTAGGAGTACTGGTGCAGGATATGAATCTACTCAAAATATAAGAATGGAAGATGAACAACAGAGTATCCAGAATTGGTGCAATCATTTATACTATTCTATAATTGATTTTATTATAGACCATATAAAAAAAAGATTTCTGAAGAAAGTCAAAAACTTGCATTGGCAGCAGACAGCTTTTTAAACTTAAATTATAAGGAAGCATTACCGTTTATTAATCATTATGAAGAATTTTTCTGATTTACTTATTTGTATAATGATTGAAATTGATATATTATTTAATATTATAATTAATTTACATTTTTCAGAAACTTTTTTTAATTGATAAAAATCTATTAAGTGCTGAAATGGTTGTCGCTAAAAATGCTGTAAAAACAGCTAAACTGAATTAATGTTCAGAAGACATAAAACAAATCACTGAAAAAGATGTCTATACTAATTTGTATACATTATATAAAGTACCCTTAGTTTTGCCCATTTCTTCTGCTTCACGCGAGCGCAGTTTCTCTGTCATGTGCTTCTGCACAAAAACATGGACAAGGACTACTATGGGCCAAAATAGGTTAACAGATTTAGCAGTGATACATATTAAAAATGATATCGAAATAAATAATGAAACAGTATTGAACATGTTTGCAGGAAAAACAGATTTTTGCATCTATTAAAATATATTTAAAAAACATATATTGTATATTACATAAATGATAAACATGTTAATTTATCTTTAAATAATTTTTTTTTCGTTTAAATGACTGATATTAAAATTAAAATTTGTATTTATTAGATTTATTATTTATTTTTTTAAATTAACTTATTATTTTAATTTTTAACATATAGTACACCATATACTACCCTATTGAGAGTAATAGGGAGTATGAGATTGTCACTCAAGCCACTCACAGGTCTGTGACGAGAAATATTTGTTGGGGCTTAAACACCCCCAGGATTTATTGAGGATTTGTGCCAATGGGAAAACTAGTCGGGAGAGTATAAACAGAAAAAAATGAAGCGACGGTTTCAGAAGTATTTGTGCTGGTGGAATCTCCATAGACGACATTGGGAGGAATGGATGGTGAGGAGTGAGATTTACGGATAAAAGACCAAAAGGAACGAGGATATTTGCTCTAAATATCGTTAATCTCAGATACGTTCAGCTCTTCACAGCCTATTTTTGGTTATCCATTAAAACAGCTGCCTAACTACAATTATTATTATTATTATTATTATTATTTTATTATTCATGTACATTATTAAATACTCATTTAAATATGTTGATTTATATTTTATTGTTAGTGTGGTGTATAGTATCTATATTATGTACTTTTGGACTTATGTCATAATATAATAATAATAATAATAATAATCATAATTTAAATAGAACAATGCAAATTGATTAATTATAAGGAGAGCTGCAAAGTTAATAAGCCTTTCGAGATTATTAATAGAAAAAAAAACAAAAAAAAAAAAAAAATGATCAATTCCTTTGAAATATTATGAAAACTAATACTTATCGTGCAACAAATCATTATTATGTTATATAGGTATTTTCAATTATTACCACATCGAACATCGATACCTACGGTATTGGGCAGTATTGGGTATATTGAAATACCTTTATATTTATCTATTTCGATCACGGCAGTACAAAACGAGCGAAATTATTCTCATTGTGTGACGGTAGTAGGAGTATAATATTATTATATCGCAATAGCGAAAATATTACTCGTCATGTGACAACGATCGGATCGCACAACAATAATACCCAATCACACTCTCAAAATGTCCATGGCAAAAATGTCGGCCACCGGACATCGCCCGACGCCGCATGATAACGTAACTTTAGAACTTCTTCAGTTTTCACCGGGAGCCCGTCATGAGTGTTTGCCCGCACTAGTTATGCGTACATTGTTTTTCGCCGTGCGTCCGTGTCGGTGGAGTTCGTTCTTTTCGTCTTCTGTTTTCCAGCGAACGCGTCGGAACCACTTAAATTTAATAAAATGCCGACCGACGGTGTCGGAACACTCGGAAACTCGGTTACAGCGTCGGTGAGTACTTGTACCTTAAATCTTAATTTATCTATTTACACCTGCCTACTATTGTGTCGGCGTAGAACCAGTTGAGGACCGTATCGACTTAAAACCGGATTAATTTTTTTACTCATATATTAACCAATTACGATTTGATTTTTTTTTTTTTTATTAATCAATTTAGGTACCCCAATAGAAACGTGTAGGTATTCAATAATTGAATTCAGAAAAAAATTCGTTTGCATTTGGTCGATACGTTCCTTTGATTTTAGCCCCGACAATTTCAGACTTCGGTTTTACGGTTGAGGTTTATCATCAACGATTGGCATAAATAGGAAGGATTTTTTTTTTTAATTTCCACATCGAAAATGTAACGGTTAATACATGGCGTATAACAGTATTGTCTACGAATGTCTTGCACAAGTATTTCCTGGTTATACCCGCCCCCTCCACCATTTTACCATTTTCTACGGCGGGAGGTATTTGTCGGAGTTTTCCCGGGAGGATTAACGCTTAGACCGCCGGTCGTCGTTTCTGCCATGAATAGAAAATTTGATCACGTTTTTAACCGACTTATTCTACCGCTGTTTCTGGGACTTTATAAAAACTACGAATTAAGAACGAAACTCTATGACAACCAATTGTCTTTTATTTTTTTATTATTTTCTTGGCATCGACCTGCGCTTTTTTTTTGACAGGATCTTGTGTAAAATAAGTATATAGTTTTTTTTTTTTTTTTTCATCGCGGACGAACTACAGTATATTTACTGTTACACCTACCTCCTATAATGCGAGTGTCTACGTTCGTATTTTGTGTCTTGTTTACAATAAGGACTCCGACTATGCGATTCCGGACTTTTTGAAGGTTAGTGATGCTGTCATTGTAAATATTATAATACGCGAATAACAATATTTTAATAGGCCGCAGTCGTGTTTGCTGGTTAGGTTCGTGTCGATAATGACGAATAAATTCGGAAATAGTAATAATTGATATTTCAGTTTTACGTACTCAAATCGTTGATGGTTATTAATTTAAGTGTTGTTAAATTCGGTTTTTCGACATTTTAATGGCGGTGCTAACGTAAAACTGTGGAAAACAATAGAATTTTCATATTTTTAGCAAATTGAATAGTCACAACCGTCGTGTTCTGTTTGGCAGTAACTTTAATTTTATAGGAATGCGTTAAATTGCGGTTAAAAAAAAAAAATCTAAATTTAAAAAATAAACCCGGCGCTATTTAATTTAATCTTTCTCGTTTACATTTCAAACCACAAACGCCCGACATTCACAAACGTGTATGACTGTTATAATGTACATTGGCAGGTACATCGTCTCGTGTAGTTTTCGATTCGAAAATAGCTAGGCACGCGCAACTTTTTTTTTTTTTTCTTGAACTGACAACGCAGGGGGAACCGGTTTCCCATTACTTGCTCTAAATAGGTACATAGGCATCTAATAGACGCGTTGGGCTAGGTTGGGCTACTGGTTACCGAAGCCATTCCGTTTTTAAAAACCACGTAACCGGCATATTGATGTCTTTTCGATATGTACCGAAATTACTATTTACAGTGTGCACATCGATCTATTACGGACAAAAGTCGAAATCTGACAAAATCTAGCGGTCAATCCGATTCGGGCCGAACCGTGGCCCATCCATAAATTTCAATTTTTCCCGGTAAATGTCGTGTTTTAGATTTAGAGCTGAGCGAGGGATCCAATGATTTGGCACCGTGCACTCTCCGCCCGTGCGTTTACCGCTCAACACTTTTTTCGCGCTATTTCCGCCCGTTGTCGTGTGATATTTTCCCGCTGAAATTATGTAAGGTAGACTATGCGCTCGAAAATTTAAAATTATTAATTAACGCGCATTTAATTTATTCAAATATTGTATTACGAGTTATACAATTGGCTAACTTGTTATTATAACTTATTACATGTAACTTACGAATACATTATTTACATGTTTTTGATCTAATCTAATTTGATTTTCGATCAAACGATAGAGTTAGTAAACGTTTTTTTTTTTAAACTTTTGATTCTTTAAGAAATGGCATTTTTATTTGTCTGATACGTGATCCAAATGTATACGTATAAGTTTTTTTTCTTTTGCTTCTACATACGTACTCCAGCCTCAAGCCTTCTATCGATGATTCCGATGTAGGTATTGTATCATTTATCATTTGTTCAGAAATCAGAATTAAAACAATAATAATTCGACAATTTTATGCAATTTATGTATAATTTTAAATTTTGAACGAATAGTCCACCTCATATAATTTTGATAGGTAAAGATTACCATAATGACTGAAAGTGCACGCCATCATTGATTTTACTTTGATGTGGGTTTTTTTTTCTTTTCTGTAAACAACTTTTTGAATAGAAAATTTGGCCCAATCAAAAAATGACAAGAGAACTTTTTTTTCAAATTCCAATCTAGTTGTTGAGTAATAAAGTTGTTTTCCAAGTAGATTTTATAATAATTGACGTGGAATGAAAATTGGCAAATTTACAGCGTTATGATTTCATTATTTAAAATTTTTACGGTTCATGTATTATGTCAAGAAATATTGCTCTAATAGAAAAACAAGAAAAGATTTTTTTTTTGTTGCACTTTTAATCTAGTTGGTGAGTAAGAAAATAGTTTTTTGATTTTTCTAAATAATTGAGTAAAATTGGTGGAAGAACAACAAATTTACGGCGTACTGCGGCGTTAGCGTTTTCATTGTTTTTAATTTTATGTTTTCCACCAGAAATTTGCTTTAATCAAAAACTGACAAGTGATTTTTTTTTTTTCGTTTATATATAGTTACTGTCAAAGAAAGTGAACTTTTGTTATCCAAAGTAGTTTTCATAATAATTGAGAAAAACCAAATAACTAAAATTAATTTTTATTTACGGCAACTTAGCGTCTCGGTTTAATTATTTTTTTAATAAAATTAATAAAATGTTTTAATTATAATATTATGTTTTATTTCGTTGTACATTTTCACACACTAAGATTACCGACTTAGTAATGTGTTGTCTATGTATCAGTCAATATTTATTTTGTTATCCATAATAAAATAATCAGCAGTCGCATTTTACATTTTTACTGTGATATAGCTGGTGATGAATTTTTATTTCGAAACCGGTCGTGTAATACACTTATCATAATACTCCAGATGACGCATTCATTAATTAATTAATTTTATTTTTATACATACAATTTTATATTATGTATTTATTCACTTTATTTGTTATCTATGTTGGAAACGTCTCATTGCCTTCTCATATACTACAGCGACAGTCTATAGGTTAGGTCGAAAGACTTATATAGATCTGAAGTCTGCAGGTTCAAATCACAATTTATATTTTTTTGATCTTTGATGGTGCAGACTACAGACATTTCAAAATTACCTGTGCATGTTGATACATTTTGTTTATATTTTAGATTAATTTCGGTGCACACCGACTGCCGTCTGCACCCATTTTTATCTATTCGTGGTTATAAAAGTGAACCTTTTTATGATTATTAGGTAGCCATTTTCCAGTCGATTATCAAAATATACATTGCTTGAAGTTTGTGGCAGTTTATCGTCAATCGTATCTCTAACATTTTAATTAAAGTCAGCACAGTGCTTTTCGAACAATAAACAGAACTAATCAAAACAAACTAGATATTATCACCGACAATTATATACCATAATAAAGCTACAACCCGTAATACGATGATAGTAACTTCTACAATATTCCTTATATAATTACAAAAAAAAAATAATAATAATATCACAAAACGCCAACAAAATAATTTAGATTTTAATATTATTAATTAATATTTAAGTATATCACCAGCTTTTATGAAAAAACAACATATAATTTATCCAGGCTCTTAATCGGCCTTGTTATTTGAACGGTTTTTATTGGAGTGCCGATGTATATTATATATAACTAGACGAAAATAAACACTACAGTACAAACCGTGGAAACCAAAATAATGTGTTAGTGATTATTTGTTTAATAACGCATTATAGTGTGGAATGAAACAAAATTAAAAATATGGGGTTTTAAAAATACTATTTATATACTTATATACCTGCAAAATTATCATTTTTTTTTCAAAAAAAAACCTCGACTATCGAGACATGAACGAAATACTTGGTGTAATATTCGATTGATATTTTTCTTTAACATCTTAGTTTGTCGGATTTTATAATTTAATATATAATGATTGATGGTTAATGGTCGGAGAGAGCATCGTATAATAATATAAATTATTGTACGCACGACGTATAATCAATAAAAAATATTTTTTTTTTTTACTTTAAAAATTACGATCTATACAAAATGTACAATAAGCAATATTAATAATTTACAGACAAATGACATTAAGGAAAACATGAAAAGGAAATCGCACATTTGTGATACCTCGTAATATTTTTAAGTTATTAGTTCTTAAGTTTTTAGGTCTCGGCACCATTTCTTTTGAGGTGTCTGTTAGGGTTTCTAGGAAGTGTTAGTGAAGCTAACTCGTTGATTAGTTGGTTTGTAATATCTTGTAGTTTGGCGTGGAAGCGTTTATAGTAGATTACAGCAGTTTCGTTTATGGAAGAATGTATACTTATAGACAAAGTTTAAAAGTTACTTTTGTTGATAACATTAAACTTAATCACTTTGTTAAAATTCTGAATAACTTGATACCGACTGTACTTATCGTTTTGGATACTTTGCAGAAATATCCTTTTCAATCTTCCCAGTTAGGTTTAGGTTTTCCGTAGATATTATTTTTCAAATGCGATAATAATGTGCATTGATAATATGATCTGGCGTATTTTATAAGTTTTGTTTTGTATTATTTAATAAGTAGGCTACGGATTTATGTGCACTTGAAATCCGCAAAAAATTGCTGAAAAGCCATAAGAAGGTTACTTAAAAGTATTTAAAAATGCAAAAGTGATAGAGGGGTTTAAAAGTCCCTCCTCTAATGGTTCTAACTCTATCAAATAAAATTTGTCAACAATAAAAAGAGCTGATACTGGAGACGGGTGTGCTACTGTTGCTAGGTGGAAAGTCGGAAAGGCAGGTTACATAAAGTTATTTAATTTATATCTGTAAACAACGATAAACCATTAACAAAAAACGATTCGGAACGAAGTTTGGTTATACATGTTTCGAAAAGCTGTAATATTTACGATTTTAAATTCTAAATCATTATTTTGTGAAATGGATGCATTCGTTTTTCATTTACGAAACGGACAATTATTACATGTATAAAGTAATAGATAAAGTGAAGGAAAAATTGTATTTACCGCTTTAGTTATTGTTACTGTGATATTTTTAACGAAATGTTATAAATTCGAATTCGTTTTATCAAAAATAAAGCCTTTAATTATGCACCTTTTGTCGATGACTCCTCAGTAATTTTAGAAAATAACTCAACACTTAATTTAAAGATAGAAGTATTGATTTATTAACGAGATTCTAACTTACAAGCCCGTAAATCGAACATTCAAGAGGTATAACCCTGGGCATAACCGGGCGTTTAATGCGTGATTCACAATCCGAAAGCGGTAACACCTGGGCCTTGGTAGTTTATTATTCTTTGTAAGATCGACTTTGTAGTCAATCTCAAAAATGATGATCGATCTTATAACTAAGCTACTTCTTAAAATCTACTTTTATGAATACATAATTAACTATTGCGTATAGCATTTATCAAAAGATTAAAATAAGTAGTTTTGAGAAATCTGATAACGCAGGTGTCCTCGAAGAAAAGATCAAGATAATTTAGATAAAGCAAAAGTAGTAATTCAGATTACTACACTACCATTTGCAAGTAACTACTAACTCCGTCTATCCATCTTTGTCTTGGCCATCCTAGTGGTTTCTTTTATTAGGGATACATTTCGCAGCCTCTTAAATTGTCTGTTCTTGTGCTCTTCATATATGTCTAGCCCAGCTACTATGTTTACTATGGTTTTCATTGCTAAAAATCATATATCCCTTCACTGAATATTTTCCCAGGTATTAAATTGTTTTGTTATTCTCATAGGTCAGTTGAAAAATCTTTTGTGGGTTAAATATCTTTCATAAGACCTTTCTCTTAAATCTAGTTATCTCTTGATCATTTGCTTTGATTAGCTGTATTAATTCTTATTGGATTTCTTTATGATAATCTCCATAAGTTTTACCCTATGATATTTGAATGTGTTTACTCTTCAAAAAGAATTGTGTGCATTATTAAGTTTTGTTCATTAGTTTTGTCAATAGATTTTGCGTGATAATACCATATATTTTGTTTTTTTCTTAATTTAGCATTAGTTCTATGGGTCTATTTCTCTCTAAAAGTAATTTTGCTAAAGTCTAATCCTATTCTCTGTCTTGCCAATTAACACTATACCGTCTGCGTGTATTATTATTAAATCTCTGATTACATTAATTTGATAGTTTCTCTAATCACTGATTTCAATGTAATAATGTTGAAGAAGCATTGGATGACAGCGCGTGCTTCCTAGTCTTAATTCTGTTTTAAAATTGAAATTTTTCGACGTATAACAATTGTGTATATATGAACTCCTACAGTATTATAGAAATAATTCTGTCAATTTTCTCTTCTTTTTTTTTCGTATTTCTTTTTTCTATCGTGTTTTGTGCGAGGACAACACATATTTAGAAAAAAATTAAATTTTTATTTTCGTCCCTTTATTATTGAACTTATTATTTTATCACTTTTTCAAAATTCTCAAAATTGTCATTTTTTGAAAGGTATATAATTCTAAAAATTTTAATGTAATATACATTCACATCCAATTAATAGTTTCTTAGTAATAGTCGTTTTAATTTTTAGAAAATTGGCGTGAAAACAATGAATTTTCAATAGAATAACACGTTATGCGATAAGGAATCACGTTCAGCAATGTAATTCCTTATTTTCTATTGAATAATAATTTTTTCACGCCTATTTTCTATACATTAAAGCCAGTTATTATAGCTATAAACTAAGAAACTATTAATGCAGTGGCGGCGATAGGAATTTTATCTTGGGGGCTCCATTGGGGGTCTTTTAAAATTTAGTAGGGCCAAAAAAAGTCCCAATCCGTGGTCTTTTTTCCGCTTTTCTTTATTGCGCTTGCAATAAGGGGGGAGACTAACACACTAACTATTGTAAAAATTGTATAGTATATATTAAGTTTCCACATTACAAGTTATTAGTTATAACTAAAGCACGGATGTTAATGACTAAAATTTCTTTAAAATATGCAATTATATGCTTAAAAATGTATTAAATATACCTATTTTTCAACAAATATATGCAAACGAGTTTATACTATTTTAATTGTGCATGCATTAAATATTTCAATTTTTTTAAAAATTACAAAGTTTTACAAAAAGTTGAGTTATGTATTAATTTAAAATATAAATTAATCAAAATAAAAAAATAAAATAACTAAACAAATTTAAATTTTACATTGTTTAAATACTTTGTTTGGTTAATAGTTACCGTACAAATGTTTAATATTATATTTAAAATAATTGTTTAAAATATGCTACTTAATCTAGAAATAATCATTATATGCATTCATATGCTCAAAAATGTCAAATTTGCAAATATATGCAAAATAAGTTTGCATATTTGAAATCAGAAACCCGTAATAGAGACCTGATCAAAGAACCATTTAAAAAAGTCCCTGGCTGGGATAGCACAAGGGCTATATGGACAACGCTTAATCAAATAAGATCGGAACAAGGAAGATGCAACTACCTACTTCACAAATGGGGAATGGTAGACTCTCCACTTTGCGAATGTGGAGAAATGCAGACAATTAAACATATGGTTGAGTCGTGTCCCATTAAAATGTTCAAAGAAGGATTAACAAAACTACACGAGGGTGGCCCAACAGCTATAAAATGGCTTGAAGAACTAAATACTCGTCTGTGATTTCTATTGTTATTAGTATTGATGTTATTAAAATTTACTATACCTACTATAACCTACCATACTAACATTTTATATGTTTATATATATTTTATATCTTAATTATCATATTTATTTATTTGTTTTAATTTTACTAACTTTATCTATAACATTTCTCACGTTATCTAAAGTCGAATATGTCATATGAAATTATTATATTTGAAATCTAGACTTCATGAATCGAATTTATATCATGTTCGGGTATAATTCTGATTGCGCTAAAAAAATATGCAGTCATAAATATCTGAACTTTAGTTATAACTTATATAAAATGGTATACAAACTTCTATTTCTTATACAAACTTTATATGAAATGGCACGCATGATAATTGGTTTTCATTTCAATTGATAATAAATATCATGTATAGGTATATCATTTACACACTTAAACATAAGATATTATTTTCAACAAATGTACATTAAAAACGTGTACTTTATTATATAAATACACAAATTACATTTGTTTTTGAGTTACATTTATACATTTATATTTAAACAAAACAATGACACAAAATTATAACTAAATAAAAATATTATATAAAATATATAATGTAGTTTAAATAATATATTATTTAATTCTTATTTGCCTTATCTACTTACTAAATAATACAAAATCTAGTAATTAGGTAAATGGTTACAAACATAATTATATCATATGAAATGTTATGCATAATAATTGGTACTAATCGTTGGTGATAATGTATGTTATAAAATGTATTAATACATTTAAACAATATATAATAATTAAATTTTTGAATAAAAAGAAATATATATAGTTATGATAAATTAAAACCTATAATATTGACTAGAATTCTGTACATAATGTTAACAGTTTACTGCTGGACAACCCATTGATAATATAACCAGAGAACATAGCCACGGTCTTATAATAATAATTTATGATCATAATTATTATAATTAATCAATTTGATGACGTCATTTTGTGAATTGTGAGGATCATGATCACAATTCAAAAAATCATTTATATGTTTTTATTCGGTCAAAGAATAAAATAATTGTCGTTGCTATATTATAGAAGTATAGAATTTCAATTTTATAATCTTTTCTTTTAAAGAAAATGTATTTTTTTGGTTAGGTGACTAAGGGGTGGCTAAGACACATTTGGTGGGGCAGTAGCCCGCCCAGGCGCTGCTACTAAATTAGTAGGATATGAATGTACGGTACATTAAAAATTGTAGAATGATATATTTTATAAAATGCCAATTTTGAAAATTTTAAAAAGTTTTTTTTTTCAATAATTAAGAGATTTTTTACTACATATGTTTTCCTCACACAAAACACGATTAAAAAATAAATGTAAAAGAAATGAATATTTACAGAATTAGCATAAGGATACTATATATGGTAATAAAACAAATTATTTTGATGATCGTATTTCGAAAATTATCGCTTCTCGTCATTTCTGCAGACTGTAGTTAGACTTTTGCCGGTTCACAGCGATTGAGCGGCCATTTAAATGTTTCCACAGGATGCATCGTGTTTCAGTGCTTGAAAAACTATTGTTTCATAATAAGGATTAAAAACGTATTTAAAACGCTTAAATCAATCTCGCATATGGTTATCGTATTCATAAAAACGTAATAGTGATAACAAATTTTAAATTCGAAAGATTTAATTTTAACAATATTGTTGACTGCATCGATATTGTGTACCTATTAGGTAACTAATGTTCGTGCACATCATAGATAATAATATAATTCATTGTTCAATTCGCCTCCAAGTTTGTGTTTAATGATTTTTTTTGACTGTATAGTATCATCACTCTCCTCCTCCCTCTATCTTTTGAACTGTAATATGGTATTAAATTTCAAATATAAAAATAGACCATCATGCTCTTCCAAACAAATAATTATTGTATCTAATGTATTTTATTATAAGTAATTGTTTTACATTAACAATTAAACATCATATTAAAAATGTCAAAGCAATTCTTTTTAGACCGAAATCGGTGGTTTTTCTGTCTACAGAACAATTTTTCTACCAAAAATTTTGTTTCGATCATTAACTTCAAGGGTAGATTCTGGTAGTAAATATTTACTCCAATCGAAAACTTTATGGGAGTTCGTGTAGCACTTTGGATCTATAGTCCGAAAATCCATATATGGAGAAAGTTTGGAACATATCGTAATTTTATCTTTATAAAGAAGGTTTCCAAGAGGCAGAGGAATATTTCCGAAATATCCCTGTTTTCGGGTAAACGTTCCTTTAAAAATATTCCTAAACTGGTGCATCACTATATTATAGTCTCGAATAGTTATATGCTTTGGGTAAATACCCAAAGGGTAGGTAAATATTTTGAATTTTTACTCACAAGTATATTTAATATTTTTACTCGCCCAGAATTTGGGTAAATGTTTTTTTTATCTAGACAAACTGTTTATTCAAACTGATATTAGAGTATATAGCGAATTGATTAGAAATAATATTAAATTTACAATAATTATAGGTAGTGCATCGCCTTTTTCAGTGTGCTTTGTGTTAATTTATTAAGTATCTATTTAATTTATTGTTATAATAAGAAGTAAAAAAAAAAAAAACCAACACGTTTTCATTAATTTGTTGAATTGTAATGTTTAGATAGAAAAGTGTAAACGCACTGACTTTTATGTTTTAGTTTTTAAAGATTAAATGAGATTGTTTAATATTTTTTATCAAACAGTGAAAACCGATTGTTGTGTTTATTTAAAAAATTCTATTCAATTTACGGCCATAAGTATGAAAAAACAAAACAAAAAAAAAAAAAACAAAATACAAAAAGTTATCATGTTGAATTTATTGCTGTGCATATGTGTATTATCTACTTATAGAAATTAAATGTGCCCAATTTGCCGGGTAAATACCGGGTATCAAAAAATATTTACCGGGGCGAATGTTCGTCACCATGTACGCATCATTATACTCTCGATCAACCGCAAAGCGTCTCCCGGTACAGACTTACTATATAATCGCGTCTTCGCCGCGACGGTACGAACCGAACACACATACACATGTATATATATATATACGATTTTTTTTTTTTTCTATAGCTAGGTGCTCACACAACCGGTCCAGTGTTGGACAACGCGCCCGACAGTCAACATATATACGAGTAGGTACCCGGCGAAAACGCACGCGAGAATATTAAATGCGGTGTACGCGCGGTGCAGTGCGAGTGTGTATTTTTCGCGTGTGCGTTTAACAGTTTTATTTTACCGACAGCGATTTCGCGCACTATATGTTATAATATTACAATATTATATTATAAAATATAGGTTCGGTGAAATTTTCTTGTAGAAAAAAAAAAAAACCGTATTAATATTATTACAGTATAATAAACGCGAAGTTTCCCTGAGTGTACCCACCTATAAAATACCTACGGATAGCTACAGAAAAACGTGCGAATATAACCATGTAAACTGAAAAAAAAAAAAAAATTGTGAGTACATTTTTAAAACATATAACATAATATTATACTATGACGTATAATATTTCATAATATCACGCGCGCTCCCGCGTAAGTGACATTCTCGGCGATAATATTAATTATTATTATTATTATACTTTTTTAGATTCTTAGCGTATAACGAGGAATGTATTAGGTGTTTTAGTGCTGAATAATATCATGATGTGTGCATTTATTTTTCCGTCTGTAAATAATAACTTCTATATTGTTCCGATCATCGACTTCGGGGGGTAGTTTATGGTACAAATTTTGTCTAGTTTGTGTCATTCAGGAGGTAATAGGGATTTGGGAAAAATGTCGGAAAAGTGGGAATATTTACGCAATAACGGTTTCGGTTATTTTCGATTTTATTTTTTTGTTGCAATTCTGTTAGGAATTCGTATAGGAAATCATATAGAGACCTGCGAATTTGTACCGAATACTTATATTGGTCTTTTCTACAGATGTGGTACAATTTTCAAAAAATTCTTTTATTTTTCGAGTTGTTTGAATTTGTTTACGTTTTTAGTTTAATTTAGTGTTTTGTATGGGTACACATTTTTTGGCTTCTCAAAAATGCTCGAAATTCTGATACAAAAGTTCATTATAAATTGTTTTTATGGCTTTATACAAATATCGAAAATCCATAGTCCACATTTTTTTTTATTAGTGTTTCTAAAGTTCAAATTTTGATAAAAACATGAGAAAATTTTGGCCTTTTGCATACTATTTTCCGATTTATGTGAATAAAATGTTTGTAGTTCACCAAAAGTACTCAAAACTTTGAGACGAAAATCATGGATAGTCGTAATTTACTTTGTAGTTAAATATTAATACAATTAAATACATTTGTTAGTTTATCAAAAAATTTGTATATAGATATAAATTATATATATACCTTACCTTATATATTCTATATATTATCTTCCCAACTATTTCTACCTACAACAGTGTGTTAGTGTTATACTTTAGGTGCGATATATGTTGGTTATTTTTTTGTTCTATCCTATACTCGGTTTTTCCACACGCGCTTTTATAAATGAGTACCTAAACTAATATTTTTCAATACTTACTTGTGTGCTCAACTTCTACCGATTCGACTGGTCGGCTGCGAGTACAGCTAAAATAACTTTGCGGATTCATTATTTTGAATGCCATAAATGATTTTTGTTCACTTAACCGAATGCTCGAACCATATTATCTTGCACATATTCTGCATTATATTATAAAATATAATTTCATTCAAAATCATCATCATTCTTTGTCACCTTCTCATTCGCCTCCTTTTCTTAATATTTGGGGTCAACCGTCACATCGGACCTAAATCTCGAATCAATATTGGTCTTCCACCTATAATCTAAACTGTTTAAACTAAGCACGAATTTGTAGTAGTAACTGTGAAATATTAAAATATTAAATAAAATACTGGGTATAGAGTAATAAATTATTACAGCGGGTACTCTTGGCTATTATGTAGTGGGTAGGTCATAAACTGCCCAAAATGTGTGTTAAAATTTAAGATTTCGAGGCTTGTACAACTCAGATTTTGTGAATTTTTTACGTTGGTTTTCTTTTTAAATTGATTCAATGACGATTGATCGACGTATAATGTGTATGTGATTTTTTTTTTAAAATCTAATTAGGTAGTTTTTAAAGTCAACCGCAGAATTATTTTTTAAAAACTAAATATAATTTTACTATTAGTTGAATGTTAGTGACAAAAATAGTTTATATTTTAAATTTCAAACAAAATAATTTTATCTTTATTTTTCATTTTAGATCTTGAGCAGAGCGAAGAATGTATTACTTTATGTATTTTGTGTATATCAATTTTGTGTATTTTGTGTGTTCCAATCAAAAACTTTATAGGAACCATTTATGTCGAAGTTTTGATTTAGTTAGTGGATTAAGAAGATCATTTTATGATTTTCTTTATAGTTTTCTTAATAAATTGGAAAAACTAGCAATTGTTGGTATAATTTGTATTGATTTTGGCAATAAAGGAAAAAATAAGTCTACCCGGCTCAGAATCGTTTTTCGTAAGCATTGGTTTATCATTGCGTACAGATATAAATTAAAGTACTCTATATATCCTCACTTACAATTTCCTCCCTAAAAAAGTGGCAAATTCATCAGCAGTATCAGCCTTTTTTAAATTAAAACTGACAAATCGTTACTCAATTTATTGACATCACTTCTTCTACTCCTTTGCTTTTATCTTAACTTATTTATTATTGCCAATATAATTACGTTGATATGAATTGTTCTATAACGTCTGCAAATTTATTTGTAAAAAAATAATTATAATTCAATTGATGTAGTGATCTATAGTATATTAAGATTTTTCGAGGGGGGGGGGAGGGGTTATATGTAAAGTTTGAATTTCTATTTCAAAAATTCTATTTTAAATTTCTACAAACTAATAAGATTATAAAAAATTATTTAAGTACTTCGAAAAATGTGGTAGTGTCAAAACCCAAGTAACGAGTGATTCGCTTTGTTACAAATTCGGTTCACGTATTTTTAAATGAGAATAAGACATTTTATTTTGTATCTTTTATTATTATTTTTTTTTTGTGTATTTTATAGATATGTTATTTTTAATTTTTAGAGCATAGCGTATTTTTATGTTTTTCAGAGCATCATTGGGATTTTATGGAGCATTTATATTCCCAGTCTTAGTTTTTATATCTATATTACATACTTTAATATTCTAATCTGGATATGTTAAAGATACATAATCTCTGTGATACAAAATATATTTTTATTTTTTTAGAATACCCATCAATCAATATAAATTGTTGTTCACGGAAGTATCGTAACATAATGTATTCTTTTTGTATTATAATACATGAGTAAATATAGCTACAGTATTATATCGACCGTAATCATGCTTAAAATAATGCATACACACGTCCATGACTTAATATTATTATATCTATTACCTACTGTATTATTATTAGGTACGCACATGAACGAAAAGAATCTATGTGTATTTGTTTATATAGCCACGAGCATAAAATAATAATATAGGTACCTGTATTTTATTGTGTCACACCGAGAAGGTAAAAAAATCATTAAAATGTCGATTGTTGGTGTGTATGGTATCCACCTAAAATAATGAATAATGATGATAGTATAATGTATATATTTTGTTTTTCAAAATATTTTATACCGTTTCTTTAATGAAATTTAAATTTAAGGAGTCCCGTCACTGCTACTATTTGTTTTCTCTGTCTCACACGCAATACACACAATAATATACATTAATAAACAAATATTATTATAGAAAATGTATAATGCATATGTAATTATACCATTATATGACATATATATTATTGACACTATCAATCGAACGCTGCACAGAATCGTTTTTTCGTTAGCAATGGTTAATCGTTGTTTATAGATATACGTTAGATTACTTATAACAGTAGCTGCACCAGTTATTCTAGGACAGTTTTTTCTAATTGATCGTAACGATGAGTATTGGAATGTGATTTGATATAAACCGAAAAATTATTGAAATCAAGTTTGCCTACATATTATATTGCCATGAGATTTTTTTTTTGACAGATACGTTCAAGGATTTTTGAAAAAATACTACGCCTTAAAATATTGACATACATAATAACAAATAAACGAATGTCAATGGCATGGATATTATTATAAATACTGTTAACTTTTAAAATAATAATGATGGGATGTATTTATGCAGTAAATATTGTACAGCGAAAGTTTTTTTCGATTTTATATTTTTATCAATAATCTTGTTCTGGAATTCAAGTTTAGCCTCTTTTTTAATAAATATTTTGTCTGATTGGTGCACAGGAAGGAATTTGTTTTTATTTTCTTTGTAGTTTTCTTTTTGATTGAGAAAATCGGAAACTAATTTTACATAAATGGGAATTTACGGTGTCATAATTTTTGATTTCGTTTTTCTTTGTTTTAATTCTAAAAAAAAATGAAATTTTCACAGGATAGTTAAATTGACTATTTCTAAACATTGAATAATTATTAAAACATTTTGGAGATTTTTAGAAATTAATTGAATTTTCAATTTTTTTTTTTTTACTTTTCATTTGGTATGTATTGTGCGTATAGAACTGTTTGATCAAACATAAGCTAACTTACTAATCTGAAAATAGGCGGAATGTGATGCTAATAATTTTATGTATATTACCTTCTAACTTTTTAAATGTTCTGCGTCATTAAATATAAATTAAATAATAGTATATTAATCCTATAATTTATTTCATATATATTTTTAATAATCTCAAGTATAACGAATCAGTTTTGATATAATATTGAGGTACATTATAATTTTAAATTTATAGCCCATCAAGGTACCCATTCATATTATGTAATAGAACTATTAGTTTTGTATTCAAATGAAAAATTAATAGTTGATTTCATTTATCTATTAAAAGAAAACATAAGATTAGATATAGGTATATCAAGAATGCAATTATGATTATTTTTGAGATTTGTATCGTTATTAAACGTCATTTTTTTTTTCTTGAAAACAATTTTCGGTTAGTAAATTGAATCAAATTCTTTACATTGTATTTAAACGATGTGGATTTTTTACCCGGAAGTATTTTATTTTCTAGGTGTTCGACGGATATTTTTTTTAAAGTAAAATAAAACTGACAAAAAATACGCGATATACGTTGGTTTTATATTTGTAAATTTCTGCAGGGTTACTTTGACGACGAGGGGAAAAACATGATTGTAATACTATACTATACAAATTCACTAGGTTTTGAGATCCGCTCAGAATCGTTTATGGTTCTAACTATTTATCATTTTTGTTAGTATATGTAAACTTGTATTACTGTCCTAAATTCTATGCTTTTCAAATATATAACAGTAACCCATGGATCAAAGTTTTTCTAAATTTTTTTAAACTTGTTTATATGAAATTGTACTACTATTTTCACTAAATAATAAATTAATACCGGAAAAAGATATTAATTTATTCTATTTTAATTTCTGAGCTGAGTGAGGAATTTATTGGTTTTACAATGATGTTTATTATGTATTTTTTTTTTATCTGTGAACAACTTTTCTACTAGCAATTTTGCTCCAATTCTTCAAGTACAGCACTTTTTCTGAAAGGAAATTTAACTGGAGTGGTACTTTAAGGGCCATGCCATACTTACCGATTCAAACGCGAGTGATTAAGATGTGGCATTTCAACCGCCATGACTAAATGTAATTACACTAGGCGTTTTTGTCACGCTATAAAAATAAAAATAAATTGTTCTAAAAATGAAATATATGATGACTTGTATGTTGTCTTATAGTATCATAATGATAAGTGAGTGTTACAACGCTAGTGTGTTACCATTCATTCAAATGTGTTTCGATAATAATATGTATTTTAGGAAGTACGCAATTCAGCGGTTGAAACTGGAAAAAAATGAGAAAAACCGGGGTGTTTTCGATTTTTTGTTTCATTTTATTTTGATTTAGTTAAAAATATTTTTTGTGCATTTTCCTTCAGACAGAAAATTTATATTTGCCTTTTCTTAAAATATTGTAGCCATTTTTGCGATATTTATAGACATTTTAATTTTACGTGTTTTTTTAACGTAATTTTTGTTTGGTAGGTACTCCGTGGATAAAATTATTATACCAAACAGAAATACTAGAAAATTTAACAAGAGGTTTATTATAAATCGCATACTTTGTGGTAAAATAAAAAAAAAAAAAAAAAATTGAGTGTAATATAGAATTTTTTTATTAGAATTTTAATATCAAAGTTTGATGAAAATCGTTTTAGTAAAAAATTAGTAGGTATTTTGTAATGCATGACCATTGTCCATTATGTAATACATCCAAGTACAAATGACTATTATGCATATGTAATTATTTTACCATAATATGACATGTATAATATATATTGTGGATAAAGCAATTAATAAATACTAATAACCAAACTGCTCAGAATCGTTTTTCATTAGCTATAGTAAATCATTGCGTACAGATATACATTAAATTTCCCTCTACCTTCCTACATTATCACCTACTACAGTGGCCCACCCATCGTGCGAAATTTGTCCGTATTTTTTTCTTTTTCTTTTAATCGTATAACAAGGACAAGGGATTTCTATAGTTAATTTTTGAAACAATCGAATATTTTGAGTTTCATATGGAGTCGATTTAATTTTTATTTACCTGTATTAAAATTTATTGAATGTGCTGTTTACGCACAATATTTTCTTTAATACCTTCTTTATCGCAATATTAAAATGTTGAACATTTCTTTGTAATAATTGTAACTTACATTTTATAGCTATAGGTATATACGTGCATATTCCCCCACATTAAAATACACAAACGGTGGATATAATTTAAATTTATATCTAACGACTAGTGTGTATTTATACTTATATGTGTATTTTTATGTAAATATGAAATATTATTACATAAAACGTTTTATTTTACTATTTTTATTCCGAACAAACTCTTAAAATAGGCTTTATAAGATATTACATACATATTGTTGTTAACTAGGAACATTAAAATAGTATCAGAAAAAGTCCGAATTATATATTCGGTGTACCTTATTTAGGCGGACGTATTAAATTCAAATCGGATATTTTTCCAGTTGACTATAAATGATATGTGTTGGAGTATAATTTGATTTAGATTCAAAAATGACTCAAATCTACTATAGGTTATACATACATATATTGCCGTGGGATATTAGTTTTTTTTTTTTGGCCAAAAGTACGTTCAAGGATCTTCAGAAAAAAAAAACAACTACGCCTTCAAACATTGAAAAACATAATAACAAATAAGTAAATGAACGTCAATGACGTGGATATTATTATAAAAATAATATAACAAATACAAATTGTTTAAATAAAAACGATGGGTACTGATGTGGTAAAAATTGTAAAGCAAAAAAAGTTTAAATTTGTATAGATTCTGAATGGAGCGAGTTTTACAATTGTGTTTTTTCATTTGTGAACAAATTTTCTACCAGAAATTTTGTTTCGATTTTTAAGTGCAGCACTTTTTCTGAAAGGAAATTTGACTAGAGGTGGTATTTTAAAAAGGTCGTTTTTCCCAGGGGTTTTTCATAATAAATGGGAAAAAATGTAGGAAAAACTGGAAAATTTACGAAATGTATTATTTCAAAATCTTAAATGTTACGGCCTTTCAAAACATGTATAATCGAACTCGGATCAGAATCGTTTTTCATTAATCGTTACGTAAAGATTAACACTAAATTTCTCTTCTACCTTCTCAACTTCTCATCTACAGCAGTGGCCTACTTATCGAGTAAAGTATGTCCATTTATTTTGATTTTGATTTTCTACCAGAAATCTTGCTCTATAATTTGTGCGTTGGATTTTTTTTTAAAAAAAGAATATTTAGTCTAATTGGCGCTCAGGGAGATCTTTGATTTTCCTACAGATTATATTGAAATAATTAATAAAATATTAAGATTTCCTATTCTATTAAAAACCGGGAGGAATAAAAACGTAAGAAAAACGGGAAAGTTTACAGAAATAACCATATTATTATTTTCATTGTATTTTCAATTCATATAAAACGACGGTCGAACAAAAACATCGTATACGGGTATTATAAACGAACGAATGCCAATAATTTTGACGGGACCAGACGGCTGTAAATATTATTAGCATAATAATAATAAATAAACGACACCACGCATGGTATAATAATAATAATATATATGTGTTCGACACAGTCCGAGCTCCGGGCGCGAAATAGAGGTGATAACGATGAACGGCGCAGGCGATTACAATTAACGACGGCCCGACACAAATTAGGATCAATTGGCGTTGGCGGCGCGAAAGTTCACGGTTCAGGTGATAGGTGACCGTTAAAAAAATCGTTTCGGACGTTTAAATTCGCTCGGTTTTTTTTTTATCGTTCTATTGTTCGCCAATTGGTTTTCATTTAAAATAACTAAACGTGCCAATCCCGCCCACCACCGTTACCGTTTATGTCGATAATAACGTCTAATAATATTATATTCAATAATAATAACAATGATATACGTATTGGAAATATAGCGTAAAACGATCGGTACGTCTCCGGGGCACCGATGCTGCGACAGTCGTCAATGTCGTCGTTACGCGCGCTTGCAGTTTGTCATTAACGGACACCGGGAACATTGTCGGTACTATTGCGACTTCCAACCTCGCCTAAAACCTAACGTACCTACCGACTCCCCCGTAGTTTTACGCTCACCCCGTCGAGACGACGACCCTAAATCTCCGCAAAACTTTAGATTTCCTGTTTGGTACAATAATAATATATACCTTACAAGACCGCGCGCGTGCGCGCGTCATCTATCTCGTCGGACACGTAAGTTGATGTTTTTATTATTTGTACTATTTCCTATACCGAATTCGAAGGTACTTGTATATAATATGATATCCGTATGTATCAAATGATGATAAATAGGCGTCGAAAACGACTTATGACGGCCGTTTTATACGACGCAATATTAGTCATTGAAGTCAACGTTATCATTACGCGCGAGAGAAACGGACGAGATGCGGTTTTTATGGCACGAAAAGAATTTATATTTTATGTTTTTTTTTTGACGGTGATTATGTAAAAATTACTATACATAAAGATACTGGAAATAATACACTCGATAGCAGCGACTCGGTCGATTTTTCCTATTATGAATACGAATTATCACAAGATGCGAAATCCCTGTTTTACTTATCAAAAAACTGCCATATGATATTATTAAATATATTAGTGCAGCGGCATACCTGCACTGAACTAGTTGAGAATTCGCCCCCCCCCCCCCCGTGGGTCGTATAATTATATAACAATGCACACTTTATTTGTTTTTAGTGTTTCTATAATAATTTTTAATTTTTTTTTTTTCTTGAAGTAGTTAATAATATGAAATATGCTAGGTTTTTTTTTAAAAAAATCTTAATTTTTGATAAGGAAAACATTACTTACACCAGTCATACCATCAAATGTGTAGGTGTCAAATCTATAGTGTAAATTATATGTGCTACTGTAAACAAGTGTACACTTTTTGTTAAAACGAACAAATAACAAATATGACCAAATCCATTAGATATTAAAATATTTGTATTATTTATGATCGAACCGGCCAAGGCTGAATATTTACCAGAAAATAAGTATACCAGTGGATGATTTAATTGAAATTTATATCATATTCTCTTCTATGAAAATTCGAAGACTTTGTATTATAAATTTACAACGTGCATTATAATATTGTATTTAATTCAATAAAAACGTTTTATTTTATGCATGTTATATTTTACAAATATAAAAGAGTCTAATTCCCGTGTTTATTAAAACTGTTGTAGCTGTGAGGTTAGTTTTTAAAGAATTTTTTATTTTAACAGTGAGTGAAAATATATTTCGCTTCTCCCTCATCTTTTTTTGTTTTATATGGTATATCTAATCTGAACTTTATTTATCTGAACTAATCCTATTTTTTTCACCAATTTTTTTAAGCCAATTATCAGTATAAATAATGACTCAAACGTATTAAATAGTTTTTTATTGATAATAGAAAAAATCGGAATGATGTTATATATAGATAGTGTTTGCGAGACGAACAAAGATGGACAGTCCCCACCGATCGTAATATGATATGCTATGATTATTTAATACTTGAAATTAATATAACATAGGGTGACCATATTAGGAAAATAAAAAAAGAAAATGGGATAGTTGTTCACCCCTCCCCAAAGAAAAACCCTCTCGCCAAAAAAAACCTCATTCATATAAATTCATATAATATATGCACACAACTGTAGAGAGTAAAAGTCCAATTAAATTCTTATTACTTAACCCTTTTTGAGTAATTTAACTTAAATAATAGGTAAGTGTTTAAATGTTTGGGAATATTTTCTTTTTGTAATTCACTAAATAACACAATATTGCTTTTCAAAACTATTATAATTAGATAAATTTACTTTTTTAATAATAATAGTTTACAGTTAACCATAACATTTTTTTTTTTTTTTTATAACAAAATAATAAAGTAAAAATAAAATTATTAAAATGGTTAATACTCGTAAATTAATATAGTAAAAAAATGTATATATAAAAAAAATTAGAGATTAGGTATTTAAAATGGGTTATTATTAGACATAGATATGTTAAGAAATATAAATTATTTGGTTATTATTTATTATCTAAAATGTATTGATATTACGAGAAGAATTATATAAGTACACAATGAAATAAAAAATAATAATTTTTATAATATTTTAAATGTATAAACTGATATTAAAAATAAGATCTTATATCAATACATTTTAGATAATAAATAATAACCAAATAATTTATGTTTCTTAACATATCTATGTTAATAATAACCTATTTTCCCTCAACAAGTAAATCGATATGGTTTTCATAAATTCGTCATACTAAATCGATTCAAATTGGGCTTACCGGTTTAATGTTGTTTGAACCTCGTGACTAGATAGTTTAAAGTTACCAATTCTTATTTACTTCCACCGCATAAACTTGATCGTTCCCTTTAATCTATCAACTATGATGGTATCTTTACCGTCTGTTCTATCAATTTTTAGCGGAAATTAATAGAACATCCTGACAAGTTATGTCCTGTAGTATTATAGTGGGTGGATTAGGTTTTAATGCCTCGAATATTTAGCTAAACGGTGATACCGGGATCGTTGTTAGTGCTTTTTATCAACATTTCTCGTGATCATTCTTCGATAAAATACTCATTATCTCGAAAAATATTTAATTTTAAAAATTTTTTTTTTGACAGTTTAAGAAACAAGTTCCTGAAAAATGTTACACTCTTTTTTCACCCTTATTAAGAACTAATTAAACGCCACGCGTCACTACTCTCCCCTTACCCAAATTTAAAATTAGGTTAGGTTAATGGGTTTGTTAGGGTTACCAACCGTCCTACATTGGGCTGGAGAGCTTTATATTTGTTGATTTGTCCTACGTCCAAACCGTAAATTTTATGTAGGCCAATCCTAAATTACAATACACAGACCTTGTAGTTAATGGTATAAGAAAAAAACATATTTATAAAGATGTTTCATTATTATATATACCTAGGTGTAACAGTATTTTATTTTTTTATTCAAGCTTGTTTCTTATTACATTACTATTGTCAATTATAAGTTTTATTTTGTATCATTATATTTTGTAACATAATAATATTATTATTATTATTAACATTATATACATTAATAATACATACAATATTAAATTTTGGTTTAATAAAATAAAAATATAGTCGTTCCTAAAAATATGTAGTCGTTACCAGAGCCAATGAAAGGTAGGAGGATTATTTTAAAGGAAGGTTCGGAATTCAATTAGCGAATTAGTAAAAAACTCCTTTTGGTGGTGAGGGGGTTTCACGAAAACCTTGTGTTGGAACTGTCCTACATTTAAACAGTTTGCAACCCTAGGGTCGACAGATATTAAAAATATCAACATCAAAATGTATTTGAACTAAAACTTCAACTAATATTTATGGAATTTGTTAAAATCGGAGAATTAAAAGTGGGTAGTGGTTTCACTCTCTAAAATAACGGTGACAAAAAAGAACGGTAATGTGACATTTTAGAGCTACTTGTTTTCAAAGTCGTCCCCAAAAAAAAAAAAAAAACAACTAAATAAAATTGTGAGATAATGAGTGTCTCATTCGAGGATTGGTCATGCTGTATATACGAACTCGTTAAAGAGCGTGTTCGTGTGCGCTAGACATACATATATAATTACATCTTTATATATGCATATAGGTGCTGTTTTATCGATGTTATCTGCGTACTTATATTATATATGCCCCGCGGAATGTATAATATTTATTTCATTCATCGAGTATACACTTAAAATATCATTATAATATAGGTATATGGCAAACCCACCTGATCGGAGTCGAGACTAGTCGAGTTTGAAGCGGCCAGGATACGTTTTTCAAAGCGTGCGGCGGAGGCCGCTGGAGGGGGGGTGGAGGGAGGACAATCATTAATCATGGAAACCGCGTAGAAAAAAAAAAATCCGGCAACGAGAAGGCAGGCAGTATACATTAATACTTCCTATACACGCGTTATACTCGTATTATTATTTTAGCGAACGAAATATTATTGTATGATTCGGATAAAGAATGTTGCGGTGAGCTAGGACCGCGGCAATGATCGCTATATCATAATACCTACCTAATATTATATTAATCGTTTCTTAAAAAAATATTGTTACAAAAGCGTAAAAAGAAAAAAACCGGATTGGTTATAATAAACGGGAAACCCGTCATCGAGTTTGCTATTTCTTTACAATAATTATCATACTGTAACATCGTGCGAAATTGTATAGGAAGTCGCGTTTGAGAGTTTTAGTTTATGGCGAATGAACCTAATCTATTCGTTTTGCCAAGGCGCGCGTAGTTATCCCCTTAGATAACTAACACATTTTCGATTATGTAATAGATGTATAGAGTATAAAAAATGTTCCGAAACTTTCACACCGTACAAGGTACACCTATCAAAAAGAATAGGGTTTTCTGTTCGGCGGTATTCTTTCTTTGAATCATATTTGTCTACACATAATTCCCAACAGTTTGATTTTTTTTTTTAAATTTTGTCTACCATTTTTCGGTTTTGGTATAAATGCTTTAAACTTTCACACCGTAGTAGGCCTCTTGAGAGATGCAGATTCTTTTCCCGGCGCGGCTTGGGTACTTTATTAATATTGACATGTTTTTCTATAGACTTCCAAAACTTTTTTTTTATATTGAATTGAATCAACTTACTTATAGTTGTCAAACCTACCCGGTTAACCGTGAACTCCATTCAAAATAGAGTTTTTGTTTTAAATGATTAATCATTGATTCAGTAATAAACTTCGACAGTTGCCACTTGCGCTTACATATGGCGCAAATTATGTCTGCCCTTTTAAAGACATTTGTAATTAATAATTAATATTATACTTAACATTTTTCCTACACTCGTATACTCATATTTTAATAATACATGAGTACGATTTTAGAGGTCCGAAATTTAGAAAGACTTTCTTATACCTGAGTTTTTTCCATCTTGATAAGACTGCAGGGCTATACTCAAAAAAGTCGTTTTTTCACGTACAAAGCTCAATATTTTTTATATCTGGTGTATATATTTTAATTAGTGTAATGAACAACAAGATGTACGATAGTATTACAAATCGAAATATGAAAGGCCTATAATATAGCGTGAATCGTTGGTATAGATGGAATACTATTGACTATTGAGTAAAATTAAGAAAGAAGCCTTTATATTTTACAGGTCTCATGTATATCATACATATTTTAACTAAAAGTACAATATTAACCGAGTTATCTCGTTTACGTAAAATCTATATAATATATGTTGCGAAAATATGAGGCCCTTTATATGTGTCAATCCCCGGTGAAGCCTTCAGTATACTCATTTCAATCCTGGTTTCACCACAAGGCGTGCCGCTGCGGGTAGCGTGCGGCGTCCAGAGTTCAACTCGAAAAGCGAATTATTCGCCCGCTGCTCAAAAGCCGACGGACTTACGTACTCGAGCGCGTAATTCGATAAAAGCGGCTCCTGTAATCACGGTCGTTCATGCGCGTTCGTTAATATAATACACTAGGTAGAGGTATATTACATTTCCGAAACCACGTGCGTAGCCGCAATATTGAAACGATACAAGTGAAATTTTATTTTAAAATTAAAAGATTTTTTTTTTTTTTATGAGATGCGAGAATTTTAACGAAAACATGTTAATAATACACGGCGATTTATGGTTATAGAATATACCAGCTAGGGCTTAAATCAAAAATAGAAATATTGTTTCAAACGGTATAAGTAATTTAGTGTTTAACGTTATATAAATTTATACGTTTAGACAATTTTTGGACAACTAGTGTCTACTCACTCGTCACGACCACAGGTTGAAATTCAAGGAAATAAAACATAAATAATAATTATAAACAACGGTAGACGGAAATATTATTTTTAAATTTACAAATAAAAATGACTAATGTACTATTATGTGATATTGTGATATTAAAAACTACACAAATGTGTGTGAACATTTATCGATTAACGCGTTATAACGAGTTATTTTATTCCAAATATTGATATCAACACTATAACCTTAAAACTTAAAATTGTATATTGTATTGATAAAATATAATTATTAATATTTTCCTTTGTTGTCGGATAAAAATTAAAAACTAAAGGATGATTCACACTGAACCGACACTCGCAGACCGGCACCGGAACGCACAGCCCCGTACCAAACCGACATTTTTTTTTCACATTATATCGTTTGCGACAGACACAGATCGTCATAAATTAAAAGTAATTTTATGTGTACAGTTAATGAGTTAAGTAATTAAGTTACCGATTTCGAATTGTTTTTTGAATCATTTAACGTTATAATAATAATGTTTTAAAAACGTGTTGAAATCGTGGAATATACTCATTATTGTTACTATGTAAATACACGACGACGGCGATTATTATTTTAATCATATATATTTTACTATCTAACCGATTGTAAAATTATTCGCATCCATATAGGTTAGGTGAGGTTATGGTTTACTGACATGGTGTGCCAGAAACTTTCATGAAAATGAGATACACCAACTCCCAACGACGATAACATGCAATCACGGAGTACTTATGATAAAATTATATTGAACGGTTCCGACAAAATATTTTTCGACGAATTATTTTTTTGAAAAATAAAAACTTTTATATAATATTAATATAAATATTTTCCAATATTTTACGCGCCCCCATTGAAGACGCCCAAGCCAATAGTTTTGGTGGGAAAGCTTGTGCCGTGGCGACGAATTGACTGCGTCTCAATGTGGCGGTAGCTGATAAGATATTTGTAAAATATGGATCTAGTTTGTTCACGGATGGAATCTATCAAAGTTTTGGGGACTGCCAAATTTAAAAGTATGACATTATTTCCTTAATAATCGGGTATTACATGACTCGTATTAGACTTGGATTTGGGGTTGCGCTTACGGCTGAATACGACTTCGATAATTTTTAAAGCGTTTATACGTTATACGCTATTTACTGGACCATTCTCAGATGTTGAATGAATTTTCTTCTGAAGTTGAATAATGTCAATTTTTGAGTTTTGGTTGCTGGTGAAGAACATCGTATCGTCAATATCGATTCTACTTAGTGCCTTTGGAACACAAAATATTTTATCAATTATACCATGCAATAATGACGTCACTTGGTTCAAATGAACAGTGGTGATTGGGGTGGGTACTCCCTTCGCTATACTGTGCGTGCGTATGCGCTCGTTCCACCACAGAATCGGGCCAAGTGATGTAGAAACCATTATGCGCACGACTTAGTTGCTCAGTTAGGTATAATTCTACTGTTTTGTATTACGCGACGTTGCGTTTTTGTTCTTATTTTTTTTTTTTTTATGTGTACCGAGTTGTAAAAACGTATTATAATATATTGTATATTATGTACATGTTTGATCATATTTTATTAAAACTCAAAAGACCGTTTACCACTAACCGTTTGTTTGAAGTTAAAAGACGGGTTTTTTTTTTCAAAAATCTGCAGTCTGTTACTATGCTGAAAACATGATACTATTTTTTTCTAGCTTTATTTTACCTTTCACGTAGGTATGAATTATTAAATTATTAAGGGGTGGGGAGGGTATCATCTGTCTGACTATCAATTATTTGTATTAGAAATGAGTTGGACGTAGACAAAAATGTAGAGTGTTAACTCCCTTTCTCAACTTATTAAAAGCTCTTTTTATAACTTTTTTAGGCTTTTAACTGCTAAAAATGAGTTTTATATCATTTTCCGTCAAAATATGATATGCTCTAATATTCATTTTTTGAGAATGAGTATAATAGGTTCAGTCCATCACATGTAAGTTTTCGGACACTATCCGTCCATCTCCTGCGTGGTTTTGTTTTAGGTTTTGTAATCTACAGTTTTCAGTAACCCCTTGTCCATTCGCCGTACATAATCAGTTAATTTCAGTCTTATGTTTTCAATAAACTGGTCCAATCTAAGAGTTAATGTTATTTCTTGTCTCTTCTTCGGTATTAGGTAAAATATGTATTATATTGAACCATGTATCCTTCTAAGTATATTCCTCTTAAATCTTCCAAGTTTCTTTCCTTGCTCTAATTCGTAGACGAATTTCACTCAGATAACATAATAAAGTTACTCTTTTATGTTGTTCAATATTAGTTTAAATTTAATAATATGATGACAATAGTTAATAATTGTAACGAGAATTCAGTACCAACTTTTGGTGTTCTATAGGGTTGTGTGACTCAGTTTTATACCTAATTTGTTAGTTACGTTAATAAATCATGTTGATGATGAATTTTCTAATTAAAAAACTAAAAGTTTTAGCTAAATAATAAAAAATAATATCAAAAATTAGAAAAATCTTGAATATTATATATTAGATAAATAATAATCGAGATGTACTCTATTATTTACGAGCTTTCTTAAAGTTTTCGATTTCCAACTGAACCCTAATCATACAGATCATTTAAGTTATTGAAAACCCACACATTTCTAATAAAATATATTATATTATCTAATATGTTATATCTATAACAATTTATTTATCGTTTAAAATGTCTACGTTTTATTTCCAGAAATTTAGAAAATTACTATTTATTATTTTTTATGAATTTAATGAATATATGTTACTTATACTGTCGTAAATTGTATACAATATTAGGTGTTATTTTTGTCATGGTATCAAATAAATAAATAATAATTAGCACATTAACAAAACGTATACCCTTTATATACCTAATTAATTTAATGGTTTTTTTTTAACCACTTTATTTTTTTATGGTCCATTAAAACTCCATTGTTTTAAATGTGGAAATATTATTTGTTTTTTTTTTTATAGGCTTTTTTATTTTGCGCAAAATTACTTGATAAACATAAAATATTTGAGATTAGAGAAAATCATATATACCTATATATTTTTTTAAATATAACAGATTTCGATTAATGGCTGTGGTTATTATAAGTTAGTTTTATCGTATTTCCAATATATAGAATGGTTGAAATGTATAATAATTGATAAACAATAAAAATATAATTGTTATTTCAACGTATTATATATAGTGCATGGGTATGCTCAACAATTAGAAATAGAAAATATATAAAACCAAAATGTGAATCTCTTGGAATTTAATATATTGGCATTTCGTTGGCCAGTTCTTATGTTTTTATTTATTTTTTGTATATTTTTTTTTTGAAGTGTCTACTTGATAACTTAAATTTACAGGTATTTAAAATGCCTCTTATTTTTTTTTAAACCGAAATTGGCATTGATTTATACAATAATACTTTTTCTAAATTTCCTGTTTTTAAGTAGACGATACTTTTATTTTTTTTAAATATTTTCATTCAAACATTAAATTATATAATTAAAAATTGAAAATATTTTTTAAATAAAAAATACAAAACTGAAATAATCTAAAAGAAAAACAATAGTTTTACTATTATTTAAGTAATTTGTCAACAAATCGACTGCAAATGAAAATAAAACCTGGACATTTTTACTTATAACGATACTCGTGAGTTTAACTAACAATCATAATTAATATTACATGCACAAATATGTATTTTTTTTTATACAATTTTTACGTTTACAAAATTTAAATTTTTACCCTAAAATAAATTACATCTGATGGGACTGTAGTTTATATAATTAACTTAAAATTTTATACATTTTTCATGAATAAAAATATCTTCAATTAAAATACCGTCCTTTTATAATCATTCACAGTTAATCCTTGTCATTATAATTTTATAATATAAAAGATATTTAAGAGATTAAGAACGTCATTAACAGTCACTACACCCGAACGCATTATTCTACGGTTCTACACGATGGTTTATCAAACAGTATTACTTTAAATAAATTCTAATTGTTTAGAAAAAATAAAAGACTTTTGTGGAAAGATTTTAATAAATATCAAAAAAAAACAAATAATCTACATTTTTTTCATATACGTTGAACATTTAATTAAGTTTACCTTTAAGCATTTTTTTAAAAGAAAAAAAAAGAAATATTCGAACTTTGTCAATTTATGTGTTGGGTAGAGAAATGTTAAATGATATTTAGAACGGGTTATTAGTAATGAACCGTATACATGTATGTTTTGAGTTTTGTATGCAAATTGTGCGCAACATGTTTCGCATGGAATTTTTATCTGTGGGTATATAGACATATTAATAATAAGTGTAAGTCCTTGTATATTATTATAAATGATGATAACAATTCCTTATGATGTGTTTACTCGGAGAGTTTTTAATTTTATTATAGGGAAAAAACACATAAATTCGGGGAAAAACCGACCTATACCGTGATGTAAAAACATTATCAAACACTGGTGCAGTGCACATCACAATTACGCACAAAGAACCAGAGGTCTCTTAAATAAAGAAATAATAATAATATACCTAAGGTATAAAGTAAATAATCGTAATATCGTTATACACTCTGTTATCATCTGTTGTTAGGTATGAACAGGTTCAACGTTCTTTGAGATCCGCGTAGTCTCTATAGCTTAAAAAATCGTATTGAGAATAATGTTTAATAACTTTTTTGTTTTCTTATTTTTGTACGCATATATTATTATGTTTGACTCCTCTCTCCTTTTTTCTTGCTCTCTCGATAACTGTATAAATTATTATGGTATAAAAAACCGCACACTCCAGCGATATAATGTGTATAGGTGGAGGTATTTGTGCGCACTGTGGAGACGAAGGCTATTTGTTTTTTTTCTATTACTCGTAAGTCGTTCGAGCCGATGATTACTGAGCGCACATGCCAATAACCGGATTCTTTCGCAAGTTCTTTGCCATTATACCTACACATATTTGAATTTGATATCGCTTATAATATACCTATACATAAAAAGCAATGCGTTTATACCATTAATACAGTATTATATATATATAGTTATTATTAGTCAGACCACGTGGTTACCTACATAATATTATAGTGCCCCATTCAAATACTATGCGAACTTAGCCGCTGCGCGCACGCATCATCAGACGTTTTAAAACTATCGTATATTGACCGCAGATTTATCATCTGCTATTTTTACGAGATATTATAAATGTATTTTTTTCGTTTTTGCATTTGTAACGCGCGCGTTTAATTCAAAATTGTAATTGTTCTGTCCGAAATTAATACGTGCATATAGGTATAGGTATTGTCTTATGAACAGTGATGACTTATTATCTACTAATTTCATCCAAGGATCTTTTTTTCTTTTTTTTTTTTGAATTTAATTGTGTCATCACGGCGCGATTAAATATACTTATGGTACTAATACTTATACGTATTTTTAGTCCAAGAACACATAATATATTTACCTTTCTTCGCGTGTCTGAAATCGTTCAATTTTTTGAATTAGGTTTATCCACTTTCAAATATTGAAACGTTTCGGGAGGACGATCTGGTGTTTATCTTTTTGTTATTTTGTATATTATGAATAGTATCACTATCAAAGATTTGTCTTTTGGAATTTGGATTTCCAACCTCCCTCCCTACCATCATTATGATACAATTTCACTATTTTATCGGGTGTTAAAAATATTGAAGTTATGACACAAGGAAGTGGCGTTCTCGTCGTTCAGTGCACTAAAAATGAAGGGCTAGTTAAGGGTTAGCTTGTTGGAAAGTATTTTGTCGGAACTGTTCAATATTATTTCATTAAAAGCACTCCGTGACTGCATGGTATCGTCGTTGGATAAAAATTATTTTCCGACAAAATACGGTTCAGACAAAATATTATTCGACCAATTATTTTTCCGAAAAAAAAAACCTTCCTACAAAATACGTTTCTGACTAATTATTTTTCCGACAAAATATTTTCCAATATTTTGCGCACTCCCCTAAAAATTTACTGAGATTACCATCCCAGTCAGAAGTGATTAGGGGGTCTTGAATTTGAAAACTAAAAGAAGAGGAACTATAAGACTTAAACAAAATTAGGGTCCCATGTAGTTATTGAACTCTACCTAACGTTCCCGTGCGTTTTTTTCGTTGGGGGAGTCAACTTTAACTTAATGGTTTTTCTTTCATTATTTTGTATGCAATATCTTAAAACTTTTAACACTTAAATATATTATGTATTATTTATGGAACATGTTTTCAATTTTATATTATGCTCAATTATTTCACATTTCACAACGGCGGGGCATATACAGTGCCAGTTTAGTAATTGAACGAAAAGAATGAAAATCTAATTCTCTTTAGAGAATAAACAACTAATATATACCTAAATATATTTTAATATTATGTGTAAACACTTGTATATTGATTAAAAAAAACCATCGATACATTCGCAGGGTATAATATTTTATTACTACATAATAACGTTGTTAATAATAATATATTATTACATCGACGCGTCTATATTATTATATGCAAATAGTCATTGTTATTAGATTCAAGGGTAGAAATAAGAATATAATAGATTTCCGGCCACTCGGTTGAAAATATATACCTACCTATTTTAAAAAAAGTAATATTACATCAACCATTATATTAATAATTTTGTTATTTTATTGAGATTCATGTGATGAGTAATATTATAATATGTTTCGAATCTTATTTTACTGATATAAAATACAATAAATAACTAAATAACTAAAGGTGTACTATACAAATAATACGCAGTTTGAAATAGGTTAGAAGTACAATTTTTAAATACTGAAATTTATTGAATTTAAAAATGTATAACTCATGATATAAACGATATAAAGTGTTTATGATTTTATATTTTTTAATTAAGTTTTTGAGCGGAAAACCTGCCAAATTGTTGTTTGAACAATGACAAATATAAATAGGTACTTATAACTATACTTACGTGTCCTTGGGAAAAATATTATCACAGCTATCAAACAAATATTTGTTGGAAGTATATAACAGTGGGTATACACTCGTAATAAATGGTTTTTTTTCGCATTGCACAATAATCTATTTAGTTTATGAAAAAAATAAAACAATTATTAATATAATATTCTCACTCTATGGCCGCAAGTTTTTGGATGTTTATTTATCTGGAATAAAATAATAAAGTAAAATGTATGTTATTAAAGCACGACAAACAAATATATTTCCTAACTCGTATATTTTTATCAGATATATAAGTAGTAATCGCTGAAATATAAATAAAAAAATATATACATCTACTTATTCGTTATTATTTTGATTTTGTTACTTTTATAATTAAATTTACCTATATTTACCTATATATTATTCATATTATAACGAACAAATAACATCTAAAATATATATCCATATATATTATTTATATAACAATATAAATATGGGTATTGATCAACCTTGATATTGATAGATTTTGCAGTTGCATGGTTGCAAAATGCATAATCTTTAAAACGAATTGTTGCTGTCATCATGCAACTATAACTACATATAAAAAATTTCGATTCGCTAAGATTGCATTCGTTGTACGTAAAAAGTAATTTATTTATTAGTTAAAAATTATATTTATCAAATATCACTATAAAGAACGACTGGGTTTAAAAATTTAACATTTTGCAAATAAGTTCCTTCTATGAGTATAATGTAAATTATGTGCAATAAGAAAGGATTTTCGGAATTTCTAGCCCTAAAGGGTAGCTCAAGCATGAATCTGGTCATTAAAACACGAAAATTATATTTTGTATAGTTTATTTGTATAGGTTACCTTGATAGTAACACGACTAAAACGGACGAAATATAAATAATAACTTTTTTTTATTTACGTGCATTCAATTCGTCAAGGAAACTGTAGAATTTTATCTTAAAAATGTTTGATTGTTAGTTTTTAACTAGGTAGTTTATATTTTCGATGTAAAATCAGTCTTGCAATGTTATTCGAATTTTACATACTCGTATAATAAAATATAAACATATACAAATCGTACAAATGTATATGACGTATAGATATATGAATTTCAAAGGGCAATACAATTACTTTGTTCGCACTTATTATAATATCATATTAGGTACCCAAAGTGAGGCAAATACATAAAGATTATTTAGAACGGTAGCATAGAGAACAATTAACTTATTCTATCCAAAGGAACATAATATTATTGTAATCATCGCTCATGGACAGTATGTACCTATAGTATAATACAGGGTGTTACGTTTATCGTAGAACGAATAATTTATCGTAGGAAAGAGAAAAAGTGAAAACTGTATTTTGTTCAATCATTATGAAATCGTTTAAGTTTTGTTTTAACACTATGTATTTTTTTGTATACAAATATTTGTATGTATTATTTATACCAATATTGGATTTATCGTTTATATGAATTTAAATAATTTAAAATTTTATCTGGATACCTATCCACGTATTCACCGTATATGAGTTATACTAGTTTAACATTCATACCGGAGGGATGGGTAACCCATGTTTAGATTATAAACTGACAAAGCGTGTATAAACAGTTTAATAACAATTGCAAAAAATAGAAATCAAATTTCCTTAAAATCCTCCGAGAAAACTGATAGTTCATGCTAAATCACCCTCTATGGATCACTCTTTATAGCAGTTAGTGGTATACACAGGATATTTAAATGTATGAGCTAAACATAATAACCAAAAATGTTATAAATGCGAGCAAAACATATCTACATTTATGATACAAAGTCTTTTTTCATGAGGTTATTTTACAGAATAAACATAATCTTTTAGTACAATATTATTTATTAAGTACTTATAATTGAGTTATAGTAGTTCAAATTGTATGCAATTCAAGGACGATCCAAAGTCTATTTACGGCCAGAGCATCATAATATGCTTAATAATTAATATTCATTTTTCGAAATGTGTGGTTTTTGATTCCGAAATTATTGGATTATCGTTAACAACCCAAAAAGTAAGTGCGTATTTGCTATTTTAGTTGCACTATGGGATTATATGTAAAAAAAAATTCACACAAGTTAAAAAAAAAGCAATGGAACATTTTTTACAATATTAACAAAGTCTGGATGCATTTAAAAAAAATTGCAAATGTTAACGTCAAAAACACGAGTTATAAAAGAAAAGTGAACAAATTCGAATAGTACCAAATTGCATTTGTTTCTATTTATATTTTGTTTATTTATATAATATTTCTTTATCTTAAATAAAGATATTTCAACTTTTTTTTGAAATTAAAGATTGATATACATAAATATATATACATATTATATACATCTATTAAACCATAAAAAAAATATTTACTTAGATTATTTTCGCCGCCAGCGTCTCCCCTCTGGACCCGTTCTTGGTGCAAAGATTATTATTTTATTAATATATCACTAACAAGTTTTCAATGCTCAATATAGTTTTATATTATTATTGTTATTATTTTTGTTTATATTTTAATTCGGCCAATAGGAGATCGAGAACTAAATCCCTTCTAGGCTACCTCCCAGGGTACTCCGTTGTGCTAGCTATTATAGAGTATCATCATAGTATATGTAGAGTCATATACATTTCAACGTTAAAAATTTGATAGTAATAGTGATGATATTTGAATTACTTTTTTTTTATTTTACTAACCGAAATCAGAAACGACCCCAAGGTTATAATGTCGATGGGACGTGCGGATATTGCTGTAACTTTGTGCAATAAAGTGGGAGAGAAAAATAGAGCGACGCGCGTATAAAAATATAAAGGACGAGGAAAAAAAAGATAAAAAAACCTCACTAGAGAAAATGGCGTTTTTTTTTCTATTATCGTATCAAATCACGATATTATTAGGATGACTTGCAAGCCGACAACTATTTTGTTCTAATGTCGTTATTAAAATATTATTCTCGCAGAGTATTATGTTTCGCATCCGCGTTGGATCGGTAAATAAAATAATATTATAATACATAACCGAACAAACAAAAAAAAAAAAACGCTTGTGACACACGCATGTACGCCCAAGATAGTCGTGATCCTAATCCTCGACATATTTTATTATTATTTTTATCATAGATAATATTATTACGGGTATGCGTTAGGTTAGTATATTTTTTTTTTTTTTTACTAAACATTACAATCGATTTGCTTCCGAATAGTTCGTTCGTAAAATACCTATCTACTATAAATATTTTATACTATCTCAATATCAACTGTCCCACTTGCGTATTTCCAGACTCTATTACTCGAGTTCGGTCCGAGCCGAAACGCACATACAAAATGCTAAATAGAAGAATTTAATAAATTTTACAAAATATAATTTATACTTGTTGGTCCAAACCTGGCGATGCTCCAAAGAAATTACAGTGTCTTCAGAAGCTATGTTACCGTAACAGTATGATGTATAATTATAGTAAAATCCAGTAAAACCTCAGAGGGTTGCGTATTTACATACCTACCACTTAGGTTGAACTTGGACACGATCTATAAACATGAATCTCGTTCGGCGTTATCCGTATTAATTAATTCCCTTCCCTTTTTCTTTTTTAACAAAAATATCCATTTAAAAACAAAAACCAGTAAAGGAAATTTAATTGAATCTATTTTCCCGTCGCTCTTTTAATTTCATCCGTATTACCGAACCTAGAACCCAAAAAAAAGAATATATTTTCGTATAGTAATACTAAAATTCCCACATGAGTTTTAACCCTTGAATTTTGGAAATCCGGTTTTGAGGTAAACGTTCATTCGCTTCTGTATGAACATTTTCAGAACTCTGCATGTGTGCGATAGATTCGGCCGTGGATCGCACACAGACACGCAATATTACACAAACACTTCCGTTTATTACTATAAATAAATAAATAATACAGTATATCGAATATTTATTTAATTTCTAAGTTTTAAAGCACGTCCACCGCTTACAATAAAATTAAGTTTGTGTATGCATTGCATGCCGTTGGGCCATTGAAAATTGCAATACACAATACTAGAACACCCGGTACGATTGTATAACAATATTAGTATCCTAGTATCTAGATAATAATTAGGTAAGGTTCGAACTAAAGTAATCGAAATTTGAATCCATTTGTGAGTGTTTGGTATAATTGTACGATGGAATTTATTTTGTTTATGATTTTAGGGTACGAATTGTAAAATGTATACATATTATTTTTAACTTTTATCATCAAATCATTACTAAAAATCCGTAAAAGAGGACGCTTTTTAAGTGTTTAAGATACAATATATCGGTCTGAGTTTCCTCGTATTTCTCTAATTTAACTCCTGTATGAGGGAGAAACATATAATATTAATTTGTTGAAAATGTTTAAAAAATAGTCCCCTGTCCCTTTTAAATTATTATTATTTCACTCATTTTTTTTAAATTTTATTATTTAAAAGTAGTAATATAATTAATGAACAACACGTGCTGTACCGTATAATAATGCTATTAATTTGCATACTTATTAAAAAAGTTGAAAACGAGTTTGGAATTTCAAATCAAAAACTGTCCAATGAAAACGAAATTACATCACTATTCTTAAGACAGTTACTAAGACAATATCGTAATGTATACCTACTCGTATATCTTCACGTTAATGAATTAAAATTTACTCGACGTCTGCAATAATGGTGAAGTTATATAATAATATGTGTAGATAACTAGTATCGTTGATTAAATATAACTAAGTGCATTCAAGATAATGTATATTAAATGCGTACATAGGTATATATTATGTGCTCATTTTCGTTATATCGTATAATAAAACCGTAAAGAATTAATGTTTCGCATATTATTTTGAGTCATAAATATAATAAATATTTATGTAATAATATGATACTTGGACTGATTTTTCATAAATAATAAATGTACGAAATATATAAAATAATAGCGTGTGTAAAAATAATTTTCATAATAGATACACAGCGAAGGGTAGGTATATTTTTAAATTTAAATTTTGAACAGAATATGTAGCAAATTGAGAAACAATTTTGTGCTTTTGTATGTTATAAAGTAACAAATTTTACTTAAAAAAGGTTATATTGTTTAATAAAATAGTTTACAAGTAATTGCTTTAAACTTATTATTTAATATTTTTGGTTCAATCAATTTCATGTACCGCAAGGTGTTTAGTAGGTACCAATTGTATCTTTATAAACATATTGCTAACATCATTTTTGTATTGAAAGACCATTAATTTAATCCGAAAAAGTTAATTTAATAACATACATATGTCTGTTTTGTGATTTGCCATGTAAGTTATGAAAAAAGTTAACAAAATTAATATTTATAAAATGATTATGATAAAATCGGTATAAAAAAATCTAATCTATTCAATATAATATTTTATATTTCTAAACGATTTTTATACTTTTGTGAGTTACATGTTATTAAACTACATATACAACTACAACTACTAATACATGCAATATATTAAATTCATTAAAAGTTATAGGTAATGAGTTTTGGATTGTCAAATTTTGGACTTTTGAATGATTTTCAAAATTGTATGCTTTAACGCCTCTTTCTTATCTTTCGCTTTCATCCCAAATTCACAACCATTCGGTATTGGCCTTGATTAAGACTCACTCTCCATATTGTTTGACATTTTTTTACACTAGCTGTCTATCTGACGTAACCCCATTTTTCGCCTCTTACGAGGTTAGGTTAGGTCAGGTTGAAAATATCGTGGGAGTAAGTAGCAGATTTTCATCATTTTTCAGGGAGGTGTCTTGAAAAACCATACGTATCTATTAATAGATACTTCTTTTTAGACGACATTTTACTAAAATTAAACCGGTGTCTGGTGGGTTCAGACCCCTTGGACCTCCCCCGTAAATCTGCCACTGATGAGAGTACTCTGATAACCTCCCATAGGAGTATATTTAAACTAACAAGTAAATATAATGCTAAAAATAAAGTTTATACCCAGTGTAAATATTACATTTAATCTGTAATATTGTGTATTATGATGATTTGTTTTTATTTGATTATCGGCTTATTAAAACTTTGAGTTGATATTGTTTTTACTGTTGTTTTTGACTTGGTAGTAACTCGTTAGCGTGAAAATTAGATACTTACCTATTTACGAAATCAAATGGTGGTTTTTTCGATGAGTCAATTTATGAAGTTTGTATTAATTATATATTTCACGTTCGTTGCTGTAATATTATATTATATATCGTTTAGTCGTGTGTAAAATTTAAATTATCGCTGTATACCACTTTCTAAACTGTATTTTTCTTCCCGATTCGGGATGTGTGTTTTAACTACGCGTGTTCGGATTTTTTTTTCGAGTCGTAATAAAATCGCGATTATACGAATACTAACAATATTATTATTCTTCAATCCAACATAAACATGATGTAGGTACAGCTCATATAATACACGCGCAGACATAATATTAGGTTCGAAGATATAAATCATAACAGCACTTACTATATATCCTCGCACCTTTCTCTCTCAGATGTCTAGAAAAAAATAAAAACCTAACTATGTAGTGAAATTTTTCGCGAATCTCAGTCTCTAGTACTTAAATATAGATATCAAACGGTCGCCTCAGGTCACCAAGCTTATAAGTTATAATACAAGATAGCAATAGGAAATTAGGCACGTAGTTAATCGATTGATAACGTGTTCACTGCAAACACACACACACACACACATATATATATATATATATGCTAAAAAAATTGTTCTCAAGAAAAAAAAATAAATATCATTGTAAAGCCAATACACTATATACTACAAAAATATTCAATTTTACGATAGGAAATTTGTTATTTTTACATGTGTTTCTCTGTTAGCATCCTCGATTTAGCATTATAATAACGTATAATTTATTCAGAACCCACGATATTCATAATAGTTCAATTGAAACTACATAAATATCATAATAAATAAGCCACAAATTACCAAAAAAACCACTAATATAATAATAATATGCATGTCTTAAAAATTAGGTATTCTCTATTTTACTTCATTATTAATTAATATGTTATACTGTCAATTTTCTTCATCTTTATCAAAAAAATGTTACATACTTTTTTAAATGAAAAAAAAAACTAAATGTATGAGAGAAAAAATTATACACTTAAATCGAAAACTCTTAATAACTCGAATCATATTTTATCTAAAACTCGTGATGTAATGCTTACTAAAATTATCAGCTTACATGATATAAATTTAATGTATATTGTATATGCTTTAATAATGTATGAAGTCCTAAAATATATGCTATGTATAATAGTACGAAAAACTCAAAATATCCAAAACGAAAATTGTATATATAATGATTGTATTAGGTCATCATGAAACACGTTTTGGTACTATAAACTATACCCATTTTTTCTAACCAATAAAAATATGCAAATGTCATATAAATATATTTGCTATTCCAGTCCAGATACAATCAATATATTTATTCGAATAAACTGCTATTTATTATTTTCGGTATTTTAACGGTTTTATACTAATAAAAATTCACTTTCTGCAATGTACAGTTGACACATTATAATTAATGTAAAAGTTTTTATTTTGCAGTACGAGTATTTTTGTTTTTCAATTTATAATTTTACGAAAGAAAGTATAGTGTTTTTTCCTCTGCAGACGAAAAAAGGTTCCATCATGTATACAGTCGCGTAATTGTAAAATACAAAATATCAAACAAATAATAATAAGAATAATAAAAATTGCTTAACCTACTATATTAAGACTTATAGGAACAACAATAATAATATGAAGTCGAGGAGAAACTGTAAAAGTTAATCAGCAAAATCGTATAAGAAAAGAGTACCTATCTATCTAGTTAATAATTTTTAGTTAATAAGTAAAGGTTAATTAATATAAGTTGGTAGGTACCTCTTTATAATCAATATCGATATTATTTTTGATTTATGTATTAAAGGCGATGAACTGCAGTAAAATTAAAATTAATAGAAGGTTAAAGTTTAAACAATCTATAACAAAAATATAGCGGTCAAAACTATTTCGAATATTTAATAAAAAGTAATATTATTCTTAGTTTAAATTTAAATTTAAAAAAAAAAAACAAACTAACAAATAAAAATCGTTCTCAAAAACACTCACGCTCAGGAACATTAAAAATCGAAAACGTTAATTATTATTATTTTTTATCTTTAATTAAATATAATTGATTAAATAATTAAAAAACAAATTATAAACGATCATAATACATCAAAAAATAAAAAACGTATTTATCTGTTCATATGTTTGCAGTAGTACACTCTAATAAGATTTGTTTGTTATTTTTTCCCATAATTCTTCAGTTCATCATAAAGAAACATATTATTATAATAATTTTTTCAAGTTTATTAAAATAATAATGCACTTAGTGTAGTGTCCTTTGGAGGTTTATCATATTTTTTTTTTTAAATAATGGTAACTGGTGACGGTTTATCATCAATGTCATCACTTCAAAACTATAACATATAAAACATAATACATTATTATGGGACATCCCGTGTAAATAAATAAAAGTAACCCCAACTATAATTATAATACGCACTTATAGGACTAAATCATATTTGTATTATCATCTGGTAGAGAAACATTTTTCCCAATCTATTTTTTCCAATTTTTATTTTTCAAAAGTTCTTTTTTCCAATGAAAAACTAATCGGGAAAAATGGACTGGAAAAAATGTACTACAATCTCATCATCTACATAACGGATATAAAACACAGACGTTTTTATTTGATGCGAGTTGTAAAATTATGGGCAGTCAATATTTACATAATTGCCTTTTCAATACAGATTAACTACCGGTATTTAAATATTTCATATTATTATTAAAACGTATTTAAGTGATAAAGTTAAGTTGAATTTAAATATAAATTTAACCATGTTGTTACGTAAGAAGAGTGTTTTTTTAATTTTGTACAACCCTGCTAATCCCATAGGCGTCGACTTCACGATTGTCCTTTGATTTTAAGGGGTGCATAGCATCCGTACTTAAATTCTAATGGAGGTAAAACGTAAAAATAGTGTAATACAACAAATAGGTGGAAGAAATTCGACTCTAGTGACTGAGATTTGCTGCTCATGGGTATTTTTTATTTATACTAAATTTAAGTTTTTCAATTTAATTTAAGCCGTCTATATTTTTTCGTAGTTTTTGTGGAACGGTGGTGTCCAAGACCGCTGCGCTAGACATTCTGAAACCGCATTACATTGTACAAACAAAGTTTTACAGTTGTAAACTTTAAATGACCGTCGACCCACTAATGAAAAGTATGAAAGTAGTTTGACAAAACAGAACAAATAGTACAAAACAAAGTAAATATGATGTTAGTGTACCCTCCACTATATTATATAAAACAACGTAACATATTTGATGTTTCCTTGAACTAATCCCGAAAACTATACGCAGCATATTATACTGAAGTAGATAATATGTAAACAATTCACGATACACAAATAGGTACAACTATGTATTTAAATAAAATCGCATTTGATCGTTCTATTTCATTTTAAATTAGTGTCACATAAGTTTCATAAAGGTGGTGCCATATATTATATGTATACATAATAATATACTCATCAGACGTCACTCGTATGATGAAATGATAACAACCGCGATTAAAAAATATAAACATTGCCCACCACGCATACGTTTAGTATCTCTGTGTATTACAAAGTTAGCTTGATATTTAGTGGTTCATATCTATGTATCTATGTCTACACCGTAGAATAACATGCAGTATAATAATATAATATATATATTTTTTTTTTTTTTTTTTTAAGACGGCGTTTCGTGCAGGCAATTGTAATACAGATTTAAAATTTGTTAACGTAAATTGGGCGAGGGGTAAAATCGATGAGATAATATTTTTATATTTTCACATTATAAAATACATGTAGTGCGAGTTGCCAAAATCCACATATTGTAATATAAACTAATATTCGCGTATATTTTTGAAACTTGCATAACCACTGCAGTATAACTAGTAGGTACTTATATAGTTGGATAAATACATTTTAAAATATTTATAGATAAAATAAAAAAAAATTATTAAAACACCACCGAAAACGAATAAAGGGAAACACAATTTTTTCTAAAATGTAAAAATGATAATTTTTGTTTATTAGTTTGTTTTAAAGTTGTGTATACATAAATTGGTATTTACCTCTATACCTAGTTTATATTCAAGTTTTAATAGTAATAATATGTTTTTAAACCTCGTGAAATTACCAATTATAAAATTGTATGTCAGTACGACAGTCCACTGTGATCACACAATATATTGACATTCGACATTAATACGAGAAAGTTATTTTCTCATCGTATTTGTACCTATAATTGAAATATATTTTTTTAATACGCATAGTTTTTGTCAGATCTTGAAACAAAATATAATTTTTTAATTATAGTCTCATTGTAAACATTATCAAAGATCAAATCATATTTAAACCACATTTAGGTTGGAACACAGAAATTTAGTGGCTCCACCGGAGACCAAATAAGCTTAACACTACTTAGAGTCATTTTTATTGGTAAATTTAAGTGATGAAAATTGGATTAAATTTCAATATAAATTTCAGAGCGTTGATGTGGGAGTAGGTGTTTATTTTTTAGATTTAGGTACACCGTACCACAGACAAATGAAGCAAGATATATGAAATTTTTGTATCCGTATGGTTTTGAGGGTTTTAAGTTTCAACATTTGCTCCCACCATTTTTATGCTAAAATGTAACCAATTTTCTTTTTAAACAGTATTAACTTGTAATATACATACATATAGTACTGTAATATTATATTATTTGTATTCGGTTTCTTATTGTTTTAAAAAATAATGCTTCTAGACAATACGAAATAGGCGGGGACATTCGACGAAGATTTAGCTGTCTCACAGATGATTTTTTTTTTTAATATACTAGTATACACGCAGTTAAGTACGTTGATGAATATAATACATTTAAATCGGTTTACAACAATTTCAGATTGTTTTACAATAATATATAATTTCTATTATGTATATAATAATTCCTGTTGCAGTAATAATTATTATAGTTTATACTTAAAGAATTACATATTTTAATCCAAATATGTATAAATTCGTTGTAATATAATAACGCGAGTGTTACACTATATATATATATTAAACAGCAACTAATGATGATATGTTTTGCTGACAGAAACATTTTAAACGTGACTATTTTTCAAAAATAAAATGAAAATTGTACGGCGTCATTAAAATTATATTTGTCATTTTGACATCGTCTCCACTCGCTTTTGCAATTCCGGGCGTGGAAAAACAAAACTTTTCGAAAGTCACCTTGGAATGTGGGCATTTTTTTTTTTTCGTAAAAAACTCAATGGAATCGATTTTCACTCTATAGTGAAGGCTTCACTATAGATGACGCTGTGGTATTTTCGTTGCGAAATTAGACGCAAATTTTGTACAATTATGGCGTTAACTATACTTAGTAACTTAGATGATTTTTTTCCGGTCCGCCTTTTTTTACTTGTTTATTCCCTACATTTTAGGAAGACCGTTATATTTTTACAGTGGTCGGCTAACTTTTAACTAACTGCCGATTAAGCTAGTGTACAGTTTAAATTAGCGGTGGCGTTGCATGCGGAAAAATAGAAACGAATCAATAGGTGCGTTGCCAAAACGGCGAGACATTCGAATACGACTTAATCAATTTCTAGTTTATATCGCAATTACAATAATTTGTCCAATGAATGAATAATAATGAAATGTTCTGTTATACAAACTGATAATGGTAAATAATTTATTATTTCAATTTCTTGTCTACGCTTTCTATATAACGTCTTTCTCGTAGGGTTACTAAATACGAGTGGGTATATGATTAAAAAGCTACCACTAATGGTTATAGGTCAAATAAAGTAGGTATATCGGGACATTTTATAGGAACAAAATGTCCGCTAAATGTGTTCGCGGACATTGCAGCAACAAAACAGCCTTTACGCGGTTTTGTTTATCGTTCGAAAGTGCCGCTTATCGACAGTAATATTATTCATTCAATTTTCATATGTCTGGTTGCCGTTAACGGCGGAATCGAATGACATCGACGATGATCCATCGCGTCATCTGTCGTACCGCAGTGTTTCTGACGTCACGGAATCTCCGTCAGCCGTGGCCTCGTGTAGACGCCGTCACCTTGATTACCGCCGCCCGCAGCCGGTACGAAGCGGCGCGGTGGACTTCTCAGTGGTGACGGACGCGCGCGTATACGAGACGATAATAATATTATCGTGTTGCGCTGTTCACTACGCACTGCGGCGGTCTCCGCAATCTGATATAATATATTATTGTTGGAATCCGTTCCGCACTATCGTCAAACTGCGCACATTAATTTTGTTTCGCCGTATTATAATATCAAAAATCATGTAATTTTATTACAATATTTGTTTCACTCCGTTTACCCGCCTTATACAGCACGTCATGATAAAAAATATTATAACGTATTCCAATAATGACCTTGTGCCCCGTTGTTTTATCCACAGATGACAGCAAACACCACTGCAGTTAACAGATAAACGCTCGTTCGGCCGCTTGTACACCCAGAGTCAATCACAACGTACGACAAACGAGCGCGGACAACGAACAACTGCTGCAGATACCGCGGCCGACCATCATGTCTACGGTTTTGCCGGGCACGGCGACCACTTCGGCGGCCGCTGCACCCGCCCCAGCCGTGGTCAGCGATAACGGCGGCGGCGGCACGGATCACCGGCCGCCGGATGTTGTGGCAGCTGGCGTCAGTAGGCCGGGCAACAGTGCCAGCGGTGGTGGACGGCATGTGAGCTTGCCGCATGTCGATTCTCGCCCACGCCGCCAGGAAATGATGAACAGGCCATCGGCCAAGGAGTTGGTGGTGCACCAGCAGCGCCAGCAAAACTCCGGCAGGCCCAGCAGTTCGGCCGCGTCGGGGACAGCCGAGAGGGGACACCATCGGACACCCGGCGGCGGACGACGGTCGCCGGTGGTGTACGGGGGCGCGGGCGGTGGAAGCGGTGGCGGTAGCGTTGGCCTCGTCAGCGGCGGTGGCGGGTTCAAGAGCAAGTTGCGGAACTCGTTCAGATCGACCGCCAAGAGAATCCGGCAACAGCAGACCGCCATCGACGCACTGGCCAAAAACAGCCAAGTGCTCGGGCTGCATAATCTCCAGGAGAGCCCCAGGACGATGGCTGCACAAAGGACCGCTGTCCGGGTAAGAGAGTTTTACCAACGATTACAAGTATTATAATATATTGTAGTATATTGGTGAAAACCTGTATAAACGAATATTTCAAATTTTGAACTTCAAAAACCGATTTCGTTAAAGGTTTATCGAAATTTCGACGGGAAAGACGGGGTAGTAATATAAAACCGGAGATTCGGAGGAAGTTCCCAAACGCTGTAAATCTTGCGAGGAATTATCCATAGAACATTTTAAAAAATATTCGAAATAGATTAGGTGGTTTCGTTTTCCGATACAAAATATTTCTCCAAACACATTTCAATTTGCAGTTTTAATTGGTTGTATTATTAGTACATTAATTTTTTATTGTTATCATTAGCTCGGTCAACTCCCCTCTACGGGTTCCATCTCATCTGGACTTAAAACTTACGCTCGTTAAACATCCGATCTTATATCCGAAATAATATTTCGAAAATAAATCTGTTGGCAACTCTGCTGTCAATCAACAGTTAATTCCTCCCCTCTGTCTTTTTCGTGATGATGTAATATAATATTTTTACTATTCTATGTCTTTTTTTGAGGTCCCGGCACTAACGGTCCAAAAAGGTTTTTTATATATTAACTAAATTTACCAGACATACATGTATATGTCTTTCCAAAATAATTTATATAATTATTAATGATTTGTGTGATTCTTAACAAACTGAATAATTTATGTTTTCTATATAAGTTTTTGAAAGTACCATCCTAACAAACCGGTGTTGTATTAAATGCTCATCTATAGGTACTGCGGAATTCGCATATAGCAAGTATTGCGTTTGCTGTTGAAAAAAATAAATAAAGTCGAGATAAAAATTTAAAAAACAGTAACAATAATATTGCCTATAGATTTTTTTTTTTTTTCTACAAAACTAGATACCTTAAGTCCAATAGTAAAAATAAAATAATAATAATTCACAACTAACATTCTAAAAACCTGTGATGCCCAACTGGCGTGTGGTATGCGCATACAAATTATCATTTTCAGAGGCAGGTCGGATTATTTCTGTTCCGATATTTTGAATATTTTTCTGGTTTATGGGATAATAAATAACGGCTATAATTAATATACTTCAAGGTAAAGTTTATAATACGTAATATGTATCATTTACAAGGAAACGTCTAAAATCGCAATTAAATATAAATTATGATTAGATTACAGAGAATTTGTGAAAAGATGAAAAAAAAATCCTATATTTCGGAGAGATTACAACCATTCCGCAGGTGCTGCTATTGGTCGGTATAAAAACAAAAGTTTGGACACCACTGGTTGAAGATAGTTTTTAAAGCTGCTCGTCAACCGAATGACACAAGGTTTCGTCCGGAAGGCAATGTACTTCCATTACTGCTTTTAGGAATGTCGTCCCGTCTCGATAGGAAGTGCTGTTCGTTTTTTTTTTCCCTAGGAAGCCAGTCGTCGTGTAACGTTCTGACGATCCGAACAATTCGCATTGTATAAACGCGGTTGTTTATATAGTTGTTTGTCGATTTTTATTTTTCCAATGAAACTCACCCTTAAAAAATATCATTTGTGTAAAACGTAGGTTATTATTTGTGCACTAGAATTCAAAAAAAAAAAAAACCGGACTTAATACGAGCATATATTTATGAGAAAAAAACCGTTATAAACGTAAGCCTGCATACTGATGCATTTAATGAACAATCGAGAAAACTACGTGTTTTACGTCCATGAAAAATATATTCGACTGTTCTGTACGTTGAAAAAACATGATTTTTAAAAAGTATACGAAGTGTGTTAATTATATTTCGATGTAGCTATTGAAATAATAATAAATAATATACACAATATACATATTTATTTAATTCCCCACATTGCGATCCGCATAATAATTGCTCGGTGGTTATTTTTTTAATAGTAATTAAGTGTAAATAAAACACAATTATTATAACTTTATCTTTTATTATTATTACTATGTTATATTGCATGAGTAAACCCTCAGAGATTTTATTGTAATTGCCCAGACGTCACCGTTCCGCCCGATGTTGCCCGTTACCAAAAGAAATATTATTAATTTTAATATTTTTTTTTTTTCATTTTTAGTTTATACTTTTAAATTCGGAGTGTAGCGGGAACTATATAGGTATTACGATAATGTTATTTTGTTTTCTGTGAACAACTTATCTACCAAAATTCTTGCTCTGATTTTCATGTTAGTATCTTTTCTAAAAGGAAATTTTACTCGGGTAGTACTTTTTTGATTTTCCAAGTGGTATTCATAATAATTGGGAAAAAACTTTAAAAAAACTGGAAAATGTACGTACATGTATCAAAAAAACTTTGCTTCAATCGTTTTTTGCTGGTTTATCCTTGCGTATATATATACATATATATAAATTAAATTCCAACTTTTTACCAACTTTTCACCTACGACAATAGTCCACCCATCACTAAGGTAAACCACAAATAAACAAACTGTGTTAGCTTCTCTTTAGAGGTTAAGTTCGCGGAAAGAATCTTAGTCTAAAACTACTTTTATGTGACGTTTTAGATTCAATTCAATCAGTAGTTTTGACATAAAAGGGTAACATACATACATCCATCCATACAAACAAACCTTACCTAACCGTAGCATTTAAAATACGAATAGGATAATGTGCGTAGGTCTGTATTACTTACTGACTCGGTCCTTCTGGTCCGGTAGAGTCGTATTAGAGGAAAAAATATGATGTAGTGTACCACTTGACTTCATCGGATTGATTAATAGACAACAATATAATATTATTACTTCAAATTTAAATCAAAAAATGAATTTTGTAATATTTTAATTGAAACAAGTAAAATATTTCTGATAGAAAAGTTATAATACACAAAGATACAGATATATAAATAAAAATATATAAATTAATAAATAAACACGTATAATAGTAACATATTTCTCGTTAAGTTCAGAATATTATATAAAACAAATTAAAAATTCTAATATTTTATTTTATTAAGCAGCCTGATGTAGTTTCTTTTCAGCTTAAAATGTATTTAAAAAAAAATGGGTTTCGATGATAGATTGAAATATCCATAACAATCCATTCGAATTAATAAATAATACTTAATCTACCTTATCAAAAATCCGGATACTAAAATTATTGGTTTGCTTGATAATATTATGTATATCTTAATTATACTTTTCATTAAATATGTTAGAAATTATAAAATGTGTTATAAAAAATGTACAAATTCATAATATTATGTCATAAAGTAAAAAAAAAAAAACCCAAAATATGACAACATTGTCTACATTGAATTTATTTAGTCATGAATATTGTTAAAGATATACACAACAAATTTATAAGATTAAGTTAAAAATAAATATAATTAGGAACATTAATCTGGATAAAAAAAATAATACATTAAACATCATATATCGTTCATACTTTTGTTCTTAAAACAAAGTGTTCAAAGTATTAGAAGTGTAGATTTGGTACACATTAGATTATATATAAAGTTTTTGTGATATTATGTAAATTAATTAATTATAATAATAATAATTCAAATTGTATTTATTTAACCATAAATCGATTAATAATAAAGTTAGGTCAAGTTAGTCATAATAAGTGACAAAGTGTTACTATTAAATATATTAACAGGTTAACTGCCATGTGTACCATATATGGTACACTGTTGTATTGCCAAGCAAATTATAAATTATGCCATGGCAGTTAACCTGTTAATTACGATTTAATGATATAAATTAAATGATTCAATTATTTATTTTTGGTAATATAGTTCAGATAAATTTTCGTTCATCTAGATAAGATAAAAAATAGAAATATACCTATGTGGATAAAAAAAAAACCAAAACAAAATACAACAGTGGTCACAAAACATATTATTTCAACTGAAATTGTAGCTATTTTTGCAACCATCCAATAAAAATAATATGCAAAAGTATAAAAAAATATCTGCCCTACTAACAAAGTGAAATGGTTTCGTATGGAAAAAACACACTTTTCTAAGGAATCGGCTATGTACGCCACAGCTAGTGTACAATAATAATAATTGTGGGTCATGTCGTTAAATAATATTGATTTTTTTTTTCTGGACCATCGTCCGCCGGGGTAAAGAGGAAGAATATCCCGCGGCGTTCGTCCGGTTTGCTTTTCTCGTCGTATTTTTTAAAGCCGTCCGTTACTTTATACTTTTTTATTTTTTGTACTTAAAGTCTAGTCATTGTTTTGAATAAATAATAAGTCATAATTATATTTTGATACGCGTCCTAGGAATTTTCGGAGAGTTATATATTATAGTAGTTATTTAGTTTATCAATATACGTTTAACTAAAAAAGAATCTGACACTACTATAATATTTTATTGAATTTTTAATTTCAAGTTTTTTTTTTTATTACTATTTAATTATTATTTTTTTAATGTATATTCGTATAACTGCACGCAAATAAAGTCGGATACCTATTTCATTTAAATTATATTTAAATAATAATATATGTCTATATATTATGCTTATGGAATCTTATGATTTTACTACGATATGTTTTTAATGTGTGTGTTATTTCCGGCTCTACTCAGAATAGGTTTTTGTTGGCAATAGTTTATCGTCGTTTTCAAGGCCGTGATAAAGGTGACGGGGTAATTAGGGCATTTTTCCCGGGGCACCAAACCTTTTTAAAATCTATGGGATGCACGCCTCATTATAAATCTCGAAAAAAAAATTAACGATATCACTATTTTTATTGTGATTAATCTTCAAAATCATCCCCAAGTATAAGAATTTAGGAGGGGACGTTTAAAAATGAATACCACTGGACGTCAATTGACTTATCACGGTTGCTCTGGTTGCTTCGGTTAAAACGAGTCCATTAATTTGTGTTCCCGTGTAAATTTCTATTGTAATTTAAAATTCACATTTTTGCCATATTATACAGAAGAGGAAATAATTATCAAAAGTATGCAAATAAATATTAATGCGCATAATTCTAAAAGTCTTTAAAAATATTTTAAAAGACCCGATGTCGTCAAAATATACGATAAGTAGAAATTGAATAATGAATATGTTAAACTCAATATTGTATAATGATGTTATTTAAAAAATGAGAAATACGAGTCTGCAGCCATTAAAAATACATAACTCTCATCAGTAGAACAATGCACGTAATCATTTTACGATGACTCATCACTGTCGCTTTGAATTCAATTATTCTATTTAAAATATTAATTATAGTACCTACTCCAGAACTCGAATATTGCCGCTCGAAGTATAATTTCTTATACAATAAAAAATACTTCTCTTATAAGTATAAACGGTAAGTGTATGCCATGCAGGGGTAATTGTTAAAACTAAAAATGAAAAGCGTTTGGAAACTTTTATATTATATTAGGCATTTTTTTTCTTCTCAGAAACGAATCATTTTCGGTTTGTAAAACTAATCATACAACTACTTCGTTATGATTTTTGTTAACGTTATTTTCTTTTAGTCTTTTAGTTTTGTTTTGAAAATTGTGTTATCCTTTTTGTAAGAATTCAATAATATAAATAACACAATATGATAACACAATCGAGAGTAAAATATTATAAAACATAATTCGTTAATTATTACGGTTTTCCGTTTCGATGATTTTCGAACACGTCGTTTTCTACAAAAAAAAAAAAAACTTAAAAACCTTGCATTGCATCGGTACAGGATGTCCCACATTATACCTGAAAATAGGCAGTCCTTGTTGTTGTTGTTATTATTTTTTTAATAACGATAAAAATAATTATTAAATTGTTCAAAAAACTTATGACTGGTATTATTATTATTTTTTTAAAATTATTATTATTATTTGTTGATAATAATTTCGATAACATGGCATTTTTAGTTTCAAAGGATTTTTTTGTGTGTAAGTTAGTGCATCTGCAGGTTTCATTCTTTTTTGTATCCAATTCTACGATTTTCACCTCCCGCACACCGTTCTAAAATCAATCCATAGCAACCCACCTTGCTTCAGCACATGTCCAATCCATTAATTATTTTTTCTTTTTTCGATACTTTTCTTCTCCCATATTTTTACCAATACTTCTACGTTGGCCACTACATAACTGTCCAACATATTTTGAATGTTTTTCTACAGCGCCAAATCTCAAAAGCTTCTAATATCCTTTGTACTATACAGTGGTATACTTGATAATTATTTAAGGAGAGAGCCAATTGCACCCTCTCCCTCTAAAATACTCCAGTGCTATTTTAGAAATCATCCACGTTTCGCTGTCATTACAGCATTATAATATATACTCCAATTTTGAACGCTTTTAAAAGTTATCTGCAGATAAAAATAATATTATAATAATCGTAATTACCATATTATCTTGTCGTTGTTGTCATGCAATGCAAGACTCGGGTTATTTTCTGTTATTTTTTTTTTATATTTAATCGTGTAAATGTATACCGTCTCCGTTATAATATTATTTTAATAGTATACCTTATACGAGCTAATTTTTAACCTTTTTAAAATAAATTATAAAAATGATAAATAATTTACGAATACCGGAATTCCATCTCACGGAAAAAACAAATGTGTCGTAAACACCGCTTTACTAGAAAAAAAACCAGATTTTAGTAGTCAGATTAGTTATTTTTATCGTAAACAATATTGTATAATAATGATATAATGTACACGAACGTTTGATCGGGAACAGCAGCTGGAGCCACGAGTAGAATATAAATAAAAAAAAATCGTAAGAGACGGGAAATATTCGGAGACGACGTCATAAAATAAACAACAAAAATTAGGTATATTCCTAATAATAATATGTTCGACGGTTATACAGTATGATTATATTTTATCATGACCCACTGCGATATCATTATGTAGAATCGTTTAAGCATAATATTTTATGAGTTATACCCAGTGATGGTTTTGACCAAACTTCAAGGGGGGGGACGATTTAAAATATTCCCATCCCCTAAAGTATATATTATGCTAAATAACGCCGGCTTCAAACTAACTTAACTAAAAGAGACAAATGTATTATTCATACATATAATATGTGCCGTGCACCATTGACGATTTTTTTTTTTGGCATTTTGCTAATTAAAATATTAGGCAATAATCACCCCCCTAGGATACTTATACTTACGTATTCGAATTCTCTTACCTTTTGTAATAGTAATATTGATTTTTGCGTTTTTGAAAGATATAGGTAATCTAAATTAACAACAAAACAATTTAACTGTGGTAAATCATCAGCCATCAAGCGACAAATCGGACTAAATATATTTTTTTCAAGTTATTAGTTTTATTATTATCGAGAAAAAATTCTCTGGAGGGGGGGGGTGGTTATAACCCTTAAAACTCATGCGCATGGAATAGTTATCCAATATTATTGTCATATATTATATGCATATTAAAATAAAACAAACGTGAAATTTACTTGAATTCATCAGAGAAAATCGCTGGATCGTGATAAAATAAGAACCGCCCTGTATGTAGAAGCGGGTTTCCGCATTTCAGTTTCCGCTACATATTAACATCTCTCTAACATACCCAATAACTGTGTTTTTTTTTTTAACATTTGTTTATGAGCTCTTCGTCACTATGCCGTCGATCGAGTCGAATCCAATAAATCCGGTGATTAAACAACGACCGCGATGAGCGTCGTTTCTCACGGATAACCGGTACAGTTCCTATAATTTTCAAAGATTTCGTATTGGTACTAGGTAGTCAACATTCGAATTTCTGTCGAAAATCTCTCGTGTTTTTCTCGAAATAAGGCCCCCGAGGTCGACTTTTATAGTATTTACGTTTACCACCACGATATTCGTCCGCGGGTCTATTTTTTTATGATTCAGGAAGTCCGACGATGTGCGGACCAGATGTTCGATGATCATCGGAATACATGTGTCAATATTCGTCGTCGGACGCTATATCCATATCGTAGTATAAATTAAAATTTCATTTTCTTCTCGAACACTGCGGAGAGAACATTCGGACAATCGATTCGCTTCGGGATTGACGTAAAAAAGAAAAATAAACTCTACTATAAATTCGAAAAATCTCTTATATAATATTCGAAAACATGCCCGGGTCGTTGTGTCTGGTAAAGAATTATTATATCTATGTCCCGTTAAGATAAAAACTACCGACGTATAATAATATGTACACCGAAATATTTCGAACACTGCATGATTTATTAGGTTTGCTTTTTGTTACAGGACGCGGCCGGCCAAACGTCGAAAAGGCATCAAAATCAACCGACCGTGGGCTTTTATTCTGCATCGTCCGGAAGCGATAACAGTCTCGGGAGAGAGAGATCGCCGACCGTCAGCAGTTATCCTAAAGGATCTCCAACATTGTGGACGGGTGAGTAACCAGCGGAATACTGCTTTTTGAGGACAGTATCTTTATACTTTAGTTTTCAGTTTTTATTGATCAAATTATACTCGACCTATACCTACCATACGTATGGTTTTTTTATAATTTCAAACCTCCACTCCCGGTTACGATAAGAAGAAAAGTACGATTGTGTTTCGTGTTTGTATATATTTTAAAACAGACAAATCGTCACATAATTATTCATGTTCGCAAATATATAATACAGCATAACATTTTCGAAATGATATAATAACAGCGCGTTATAATTTTGTTTAAATTAATTTCTAATTGAATAATATTTAAATATAAAAAAATCTAAAAGACGAACAAACAACAACAAATAATAATTATGTGAATATTATATATTAATCATTATTCGTGAATTGCATTTATATAGGAATAGTTGATGTAGAGATAATAATTTTCCCCGCACGCAGTATAAATCTAATCGATTACCTAGTTAATTATTATTATATGCTTGAACTAATAAAAATAAAATTACGCGTACTCACCAAATTTAAATATTTATTATACCTATAAGCAAGGCTAGGCAAGTTAATGATTAATATTAACTCAATTGTGTTAAGTTAATTAAAAGTTTTTTAAATGGTTACTTCTACTAACCCTCACACCTCAAGTGCCATGAAATAAGTGATCTATAAACTAACCAACGCCCCTTAAAGAGTTAAACAGATTTAACACATCAAAAGTTAATGTTTATATCTTTTAACTTAACTAAGTTAAATAATTTTTTTTTTTACAATTATTATAGTAGGTTATAGTTAGAGATAGGCACAACCGACTAAGTCGATAGTACTCTGTAACAAATTTAGTTAACTAACGAGAAATTTTTAGTTTACTAATGAAGAATGACTAATTTTAAGTCAACTGTCGACTACCCATTTTTTTTTCTACCACCAAGTACGACTTATAATAACCTAACCTAACCTTCCTGTCTGTTTAGTCCAACAATTTTATCCACAGAGTACCTACCTAATAAAAATTACGTAAGAAAACTCGCAAAATTAAAAAGTCCATAAATAGTTCAAAAAAAGTTCAAATATTACCACGCCTAGAAAAAGCAAATATAAATACTCTAGCTGCCACCTACAACAGTGGCTCACTGTTGGCCTACTGTGCAAAGTATGTGCGTTTTTAAAAGTATTTTTTTTGAAATATATCATACTATCCCTAAACATCTGTCTCGCCGACTGACGCCACTATTCACTGCCGTGCCCGGACAACAAGCCACTTTGTGAACAATATTCAACTAATACAGTTATTGAAGAGAGATTAGTTAATTAATTTACTCAATTAATGACTAATTTAGTTTTTCAGCGAATAATACAATCTGTATTATTTGCTGAAAAACGACTAATAATTGATATTAATAAATAGTCAGTTGTGCTTACCACTATTTATAGTATAATTTATGTTTTATTTTATCAATATTCAATATTATATAAATCAAAAAAAAATTTAATTAACTTTGCATCTACCCAATTCAAATTTAACTCTTTGTTCATTAAGTTAATGTAAAACAAATACAATGAGTTAAAAGTTAATTTAAAGTTTAAATTAACTATAAGTATACCTAATATAGAATCTTTTAATTTAACAATGTCTTATCTTTAGAATTAGTATGCATAATATATAATATAACATATTATAGTATGATAATATATATCATATATATTATAGTACATATCTACAGATATTTATTATTATGACTTATTGATTTTTTGTTTACCATAATTTATTATTAATTGCGGTATACTATTAATTAGTATTGACCTGCAAAGTAACTGACCAGTTACTAATAATTGATAAATGTCATATTTAGTTATGTCGTCATTGTGAGTTTTTATCTCTAATATATGACTGCAGTTTTATTATCTGAACGATTTCCGAGTCACTCCTGACACGTAGATCTGTTTACGTCACTATATAATACTAATATCTATGATATATCGTTTTTGACGTAAATAACATTACGATTTGAACCGAATTTCTGATTAATCATCAGCTTTGCATAAATCTATAACAGGCTAGTTTTATTATTCAAATACAAATAATATGTAAACAAGAATGTTTTAATGGTTTGTTTGGTTTGTTTTAATTGTTTTTAAATTTGTTTTATGGGTTTTTTTTTTTTTTACCAAATTTGTATGTATGCACCGTATCGTATTCAGAACACTAATGCACGTGCTCACACTCTCTTGAATTTTTATTCCCGATTAATTATTTAGGTTACCCATTTTGCTGTATTTTATTTTTTTAAAAACAGTGAAGTAAAAATAAAATTTATTTGAGCTCTTTCCCTGATTACGTTATTTTTACATCATGTTGACTCTGATTATTTATCATAAGGAGTAGGCATTGATATTATTAGTTGGCTCATGTATGTATTATAGGTATAAGTATAAATATTTCTAATCTCAATATTGTGAGAGTGTGACATTGCGGCAATTTCGATCAATTTCAATTTACGATTCCAATAATTTTATCTATAATATATTAACCACGAAGATAAATAAATGGTCTCCGTAATATTTATACAGCTATTTATACAGACCTTTCTAGCTATATAATCGTAATAAAAAAAAACCTCGCGGAGTCGTATAAATGTAAAACACACGAATATCGAAATCAATATAATCAATAGTTGATGAGTTAAAATAAATTTCGAATCGCCCCGATCGGACGAGTATATAATATACACAAATAATAAATTGATCGTTTCGAATGGTTTTTTTTTTTTTTTTATCACCTTCAGGCACTTGCAGCCCATTGGGAGGTTCGCAATTTTCGTTGGCGACGCCGAGCACGTGCTGTTGTCAGCATGCGATCAACACTTGCTGTAACAACAAAATGATGATGGAGAACAATAACAATATGTGGCAACAAAATAATTCGTTCAAGCATAATATGGTGAGGTTTATTATTAAGCCACCATAAAGTAGAATATTTAACAATTCCATCTTTCCAATATATAATAACACTATCTAGTATTTCGTTTTCCAAAATTTAATATTTTATCTAATACATATAATATATTTTATTATATACGTCGTACATAAAATTACAAATTATAAAACAAACTATAGATTTATAGATTATTTTTCGAAGACACGTTATTTATTTATTATTATTTATTTTTTATTGTAATTTAATTCAAAATTATATTGAAAAAGCTTAAGCTATTATCTATTTATGGAGAATTTTCGAGCGTAACGTTTTCACGAGTTTATTATTGCTATTTTTCAGGGCAATAATTCAGGGGGGCCAAAAAATTCAAACGGAGAGCCGTACGAAGACAGCGATGGTTTAACGTGGAGGAGGTTGCACATGAGCAGAGCAAAACTCAAAGCTACGGCCACCACATCCGAATTGCTATCTGGATTCGCAATGGTAATTTTGTATACCTACCTAATAAATATAAGTATTTTATAATTTATAATAAAATACATTTATAAGCAATTTTATTCATTTACACAAATTAAGTACTCGTTACATTCACTATATAATCGTAGGAAATATTTGAAATTTTGATGAATGAAGACGTGTTGTATCATATTTTAGAGAATTATTCGAGTATTTAACGATATCTCGTAGTTCATGCGTAGGTATGTATATCACTAAATATTGAAATATGTGTAAAACTATTAGGTACCTGTCATATTTTGTATTATTATTATTAGCTTTTATAGTACTTGAAGAACCTACACTGCCTCCAGCTACTTCTATCATCTTTGCTATCATTTATTATTATAAATTTGAGATTATAGCGGTATACCTTACACTTATTATTGTAATAATATTTTTAAAAATCGTTTAAACAATTTTGAACTCAGACTTAGAAGTGTAAAAAATAACAACAAAATAATCACCTTTTTAGACCTAAACATTAAAGTTATTAAAAATAAATTTGAATTTTATGCATAGAAAACCTACATAAACAGACGCTATAATACCTAAAAATTCCAACTCGTACACATAAAAATTATCATATTTTAGATCAATGCTACATAGACTATAAAACATCCCTTTAAATAATAATAATTACAATCATGAATTAAGTACGATTAAAAAAAAATGCCTTAATTAAAAGATATAATTTAAAAATGATTAACAAAATGTATACTTTTGTTATTATTATAATGTTATAATATCAAAAATAATAAAAATAAAACTGTTCTCAGTAATAAAGCGCTCAGGGTATTAAAAATGCTATTAAAATGATAGTTTAAAATGCTCCAGTTATGCCGTGCAGTATAACTTACACAATACGAAATTTTTGTCCATTGGTACTTGATTTTCAAATTTTTTTCTTTTATATTTATATCGACTTTCAATTTTATTTATTTATTATCCTTTTCTTCTTTAGAAATTCTGATTATGCAACCGTTTGAGATATATAAAAATATTTTTTTAGACATATATTATAGATAGAACTGAGTTAGTAGCGGCAGTGTCAAATAAATAGTCAATAATATTCATTTGAATAAAACGTTTGTAATTTTCTGAAAACGCGACGATTTTGTACCGTTAATAAATTTGTTTTTTTTTTTTTATAATAGTTGTCAAGTAAATAGGTATGCACTGCAGTATGTTCGATTTACAGCAATTGGGGATTTTGCACGTACCGCACTGATATTTACGTAAATTGCATATTTTATGTAACGCGTACCCATAATATTTCGTTAAATTTCTATTGTTATCGATATTTCTTCTTTGATTTTTTTGAATCGTACAATTTTACCCCGGATTTTATAATTTCATTTGCTGCGCCGTGGTTCTGTCGGAAAAATCGTTCAGACACTATACTATATGAACAATATTGTCCGCTTAATATACGCTCCGTGTGGGGTTCAGAGATTATCAGAGAAAGAAAAAGAAGGTTAGGGAGAGAGAGAGAGAGAATGTGAGTTTTAATGGACAGACTATATAAACCCTTTTAGCGACACACATATTTTATATAAATGTACACCTAATATTTTATTAGGTGCAAGAACGAAGAGTGGTGCTGTACTGGTAAAATAAAATTCATTCGTACAAAACGTCTAAAATAATATTATATTATATTATGGCACGTGCAGTATATTATTGTTATATTATTATATTGTGTTGCATTTGCGTCGGGAAGACCACCCGTTTTGTTTTTTTAATTAAAATACATTATGCACGGCTGAGAAAAAAAGAAGAAAAAGAAAAAAAATAATGCGAAAATTCGTCTGACACTATATTATTATTACGTACAGGGTGTGTCTGCTGCAGAATTAGGCGTGTGAATTTCCGATGTGGTTGCATAATACAGGCAATTTCGATACAGTCAGATACACTCTGTATTATTGTAGAAACGATAATTCAATAAAAGACTTGTAACTTATACGACGACAACGATGACGTCGTATCGCCATCGTCATTGACCCATGTGACACGAAACAATATCCACAAAATAATATTGTACTTCGGAAATATAATACCGAAAATAGAGCATTTATTTATTTATTTTTTTCGAAAAATACAATGGGAAGTGTCAAAAGCGATAAAAAGCGACCACATAATATGTATATATTACAGAGGTTTTAGCTTTTTATATTAGGTCGCTTAAGTATATATAAAAAACATTGGGTCTTTTCGAAAAACGCCCCCCAAAAAAATGTATTGATACGTTAGGTATACATAAATTGTGATAACCGTAAAACATCACTCTCACAATAACTATACAAAACTACAGGTATAGTAAATGTTAAGGTATTCGTAATTTCCTGTTTACCGTTTGTCGTTGAACCTAATCGGTTTAAATTAAAATCCAAATGTGACGCCATTGGCCATATTGAGTCAAATTCCAAAGGTTATGAAAAATATCTTTTATGCTAACGGTCATGTAAAATATTTATTCTTAACGAATTCCTACGTTTTTTCCCGGTTTTTCCGATTTTTATGAAAACCGCTTGCAGGAAAGTCAAAAATTAACCTTGAAATACCACTCAAATATAATTCCCTTTAAAAAAAAAACGTGCAGTTTACCCTTGAAAATTAGAACAAGGTTTCTAGTAAAAAAATTTGTTCACAGATAAAAAAAAAAAAAACAATAAACATTGCAAAACCAATACATTCCTCGGTACGCTCCAAATCTAAAGTAGCATATCGATGATTTTTGTTGTGCATTTCTCGTTTATTAATATGTTAAAGTAAAATTCAATGATTGTTTTTCACTTTGTATATTATTTCACAAAATATAATATATCGTTCAATTTCGCTCCTACATAATTGTTCATCTCTACAATTTTAACGCATTATACACTGATTGTTCCGCGGTTGATTCTGCTCCTCCCCCGCAGGTGGCGATGGTTGAGCTGCAAATCAACGAGCCGACGATGGTGCCGGAATGGCTGTTCATCATGTTCGCGGTGTGCACCACCGTGCTGGTGGCCGTACACATATTCGCGCTGATGATCAGCACGTACCTGTTGCCGAACGTGGACGCCATTAGCAAGCTGCAGTGCACCAAACTGATCCAGGAGTCTCCGCACGAGCGCATGCGCGGATTCGTCGAGCTGGCATGGGCGTTCTCCACCGTGCTCGGGCTGTTCTTGTTCCTGGTCGAGGTGGCCATACTGTGCTGGGTCAAGTTCTGGGACCACTCGGTCCGGGCCGCCATGGCCGCCACCATAATCGTCATACCGGTGCTGGTCATATTCGTGTTCTTCGTGTTTCACTTCTACCGGAACCTGGTCGTGTACAAATGTAAGTCCACCGTGTCCGACATCAAGGAGCTAGAAGCCATGAAGAAGAAACTGGACGACGCCGGCAGTGGCGCTACAAACATCGTCTGACGACCGCGCGCCGCCGCGTCGGGTTTAATATTATTTATTTATTTATCATTATCATCATTATTATTATTATTATTATTGCAATTTTTTTGTCTCTCGTAGGGTATTCCGCGTTATTTACAACAAATAATTATTTAATAAAATATTATTACTACTATATTTTTATGCCCAAAACGGAAAACGGTCGTCCCCTTCACCACCCCCGCACGGTACGTTTCCCTGCGCGGCAGGAAATCCATTTCCGTCCCTCCCCTCCTTCGTCCCCTGAAACTCTGAGTGGAAATTTCGCCTTGGGATCGGACGCGGAAAAAGAAAATTCTACTGTATTATACGCGTTTGTCCAGTCGGTGCACTATAGCATAATGCAACGTCGTAGGCGGGCAGAAATATTACCGCCCCTCTAAAACGTTTTATCCCGTCTAACCCGAACTGTATACTGTAAACGTATATATATATATATATACGTATTTATTTTATTAACCTGTCGGTCGTCGTAACGCGCGGTATTTGTATACGGGGCGAGACGATCGACCGATCCGGCCCGGGCCAGGCGGCAGGCAACAAACCCGCACGCGCCACGGCACCGGGGCGCTTCCGACGTTCACGGGACGCCGCCGCAGCGGTCCACAACGTTTTATCTCTCGAGATTATACGAAAACAAAATCTATTGCGGTTCACGTACATATATATATATATAATACCCTACACTATTATAATGACCCGGTTTAAACCCGAACGGTTTTAAACCGCGAAAACCCGAACCGTAATGGCAATTTATAAATCCTTAAAAAATAATAACCGGATAGGAAGAGACTCGCGAGACTACTCGCCGACCGTTCCGTTTCGGTATGGGTGTACAATTATTACAATAGGTACACGTTTTTCGTTTCATTTAATATGCATATATAAACATAAAAGCGCATAACTTGAAACCGCTATAAAATATAAAAATAACAGCGCGCCCGAATCGTGGTCCCGCAATAACGAAACATAATTGAAAATTCAATTTTTTTTTTTTTTTTTTTTGCACGTCGGTTTTTATCATTCGGCCACCTGCGCTTAGCTGCGGCGCTTATTATTTGTACGAACGCCTGTTCCGTGATAACATTGTAGTAAATTCGATGCTATATATTTTACCGGCAGATTCATAAAGATTCCGGCGGAATGTACGGAGGGTTATAATGTGGATTCTAAAGGTATTTTGGAAAAACGAAAACGCTACGTAGATAAAACGATTAAAACTAAACAATAAAGTGTTACAAAATATAAAAACGGACCAGTCGCAAATTGTCCATTAAAAATTGTCTCGAAAGAAGTTGAAAATATCAAAAAAACTATGCATGTATTAGGCATATATTATAATATTGTATATTTTAAAAATATAAAATTAGCCGAAAAAACTAAAATTCCGTACGGAAATTACAATGACGTTTTAACACAACGCACTAACACCCAAAATCGCCAACCTCAGTCAAAAAAAAAAAAAAACGTAATAATTTAATTTATTTTTCTTTTGTTTCTTCTTCTAGACGCAATTTTTGTACGAAAAAAATATCATTTTATCGAATGTCGCTTTTATTGGTATTTTTTTTTTTTTTTTATTGGTTTCTTCTCGTTTTCTATATACTATTATATTATACCTATATGAATTGCAGTCTAACTACGCAGAACCAACCGCATCACGCGATATTAATCGGTTCACCAATTTTTTCGATATATATTTAGTATATCGGCATGTTACGCGTGTGCACATCACCGTGACCTTTGCAAAAAGCGCGCTGTTCGCGTGGCCGGCCGCGAGGGGGGAAAAAAACACCGCCAGTATGTCATGCCAAAAAACGGATGGCGGTAAATTCACGAGACTGCACGTGTGTGATGCCATACTCGAAATTATCCAACAGTAACGAAACGACGGGGGAAAATGAAATTTTACCTTTTGACGACTCGGCCTGTATAATATTCCCATGTGTGTGTACCCGTCTCAGCCCACAAAGTGTTGAGGTTATCCGTAGATAAAATCATCTAAAACACCATCTAGAATAATATAATCTTTTATCTTTTATCTCAATATAAAACCTACATTTTTTTACGATATTTACCCTTTTTTTTCTAATTTTTATCTCCTTAATTATTTGTTGTATAAACGCGTAGATTATAGATACTAGATTGAGGTACGTATCCTGATACAGTTACTTTTGGCGACACGCTACATAAAGTTATACTATTCGCTTTCTGAGCTAACGGAAGCCAGCAAAACCATAACGGGACTATGCGTTAATGATCGGATAATACGAAATGTATGGTTTTGCCCAAGAGAGCTCAACCTAATTTAAAAGTGCCGCATATTAGTGTTGAAAAAGTGAATAATTTCAAACCACGTGGGTAATAAAGATATTAGTTGTAACGTGTATGTATAGAGAAATTAACCAACGAATATCAAACGGGAACTATACTATAAAATTAACAAGCTTTTAAAATCAAAACTACTATCAAGACACAGTTCAAAATAACCATTTACGCATATAAACCTCGGTCTACGGCAAATGAAGACAATGAAAAAACTCGTGGCTCGGGAAATATTTAGTCCGGTGTGTAACTTGGAAACCTATGAAAAAAAAACGGACAACAAACTGTATCGCCTGTGTACAGAAGACCTGTAAATTCCTCCCAAATGTTTAAGGTACATAAACGTTTAGAACAATTAGGACACGTGACGTGGAGAGCAAACGAGGATATTCTAAAAAGTGTTCCGAAAGGGCGAATAAACAACAGCCACTTGCAGGAAGACCAAAGACCAGACGTAGAGACGCTGTAGAAAAAGATGTATGCGACTGTTAGACGGGAATGAAACAATATTATGCTGATTGTTGGACCGAGTAAAGGTGGAGGAGCTTATTATAGTGGCAGAGCAGATGCTTATAGAATTAGGTTAGGCTAGGTGACTAATTATGGACCTTTAAGGTATCGCGGAAGAAGATAACGGGCAATAAGATATAAACTGAACTGTGTTTAATTAAGCAAATCGAATTTTCACGAAAATACGCAGCATTTTATTGTTGTACACGTTTTATTAACGTTAGTTTTTTTATATTTTTTAGATTGGTTTATACCAAAATGTGTTTCACGACCGCGAACAATTCTACATGCGAAATTTAATTTTGTATATTTTAGCAATTTAGATTTTTAGAGCACATTGTAAGGATTTCGTACATTTTTATGACATTTTCAACACGATTTTTATCATTATTATTGTACATATATTTTATTTTGTTTTTAAAACTCATATTTAAAAAACATAAATATCTGCTCTGTTGATAATATTCTTATCTTCAGTAAGCTTCTACGCGATGCATATTATACATACATACGTAATTCGAACTTTCGCGTCATTTATCATATTATTTTGCAGAGTAACTGAAAACTATATTCCAACAAACCGCACCCCGCCGCAATTGTATAATATATATGTATATAAATTTATTTTTTTAATTATATAGTGCCGCCGGTGCGCTTTTTTTCCAGTCCCTTTTACATTTCCATATTGTATATCGTCTAAAAAAAAAAAAAAAAATGATAAATTAACTTTTATAATAATATATGTATATTATAAATACACGCTAAAACACGCAAGCGTGTACAAATTACGCGCAGAAAGTAAAAAATCAAACTATTAAAACAAATTTATTAATTAAACGCGTGTGTGTTCGTGTTTTTCCTTTACTTTTTTTTTTTTTTTTTTTTAGCAAAAATATTCAAAAGGTCGAAAATAACGGCGTATTATTTTGTTTATGTTACATCGCTACAGATATATTATGTTACATTGACTCGAGCCTATTTTGTTAGGATAGGTTATAATAAAAGGGTTACCGTACTGCACTCTGCAGTGTTGCTAAGTCGAAATGTAATAAATTTCATGATGAACAAAAATGTCCTTAATTTTTTCTATATTTTATATAAAATTACTCTAAGTTATTTTAGAATTTCATTTTCTCTGCATCAAACAACTTTTACCTCTCCGCATTTTCGGTGTTTTTCATCAAAATTAACCTACTTATAATTAAACATTTTTTTTTTTTTTTAAATACCAATTTGTTTACCGACACAAGTCGTTAGGAATTCAAATTATATGAAAACACATCACGTGTCACGATGTCGATACCAATCTTGTCCAGACTTATCTCAATTCATAATTGTAATGGGGGTGACTGCCCTCGTTGCCCTCTTAAACAATTAAAATTCAAATCATTTTGCTCATTTTCGAGTTTTTAAAGTATTTCCATTTGGATACAACTTAATGAAAACCGTAAAAATCGAGGTATTTAAACCATGATGTTTAATCGAACTGCGCTTCTCGAAAAATCGTTTTTTGTTAGCAATGATTGTTGTCATAAAACTAAAATCACTCTACATTTTGATTTTTATGTGTTTTTTTCTTTTTGAATTCCACGATTATAGCTGTTACAGTTATATAACATAATTGTTAATACCGCGCGATTGCTTTTCAACAAACCATTTTGTCTCAACAAAATAAACGAATGAAAAGATTAACAGAAAAAAAAAATCGATCGATTTGCATTTGCATTTTTCCACCTGTTACACGCGTAAATAGATGATTGTAATTATTAATTATTTTTAATTATTTACTATAATACAATATAATATAATTGACCACCTGATGCAAAGCAAACAAAAATAAAAAAAAAAGCTATACCGACCCGTTTCAAATAGTCCCTCTATAGAGCATTTATAACGCAATTGACTTACGGGTAAAACTGCAGCGTGTTAACGCGCCGTGTATATTGTTATCCATTTCCACCGAGCTTAAATAAAAGCGAAACTTTATTAGATACGTACTCGTTATCCGACGTGTTCGTGAGAGGGCCACTATATCGTAAATTGATCGTTATTATTTTTTACGGAAAGTTTTGCCGTTCGTCATACCTGCAGACGGAGACCTATCTGCATTCTACAATATTCATCGTTTTCATAAATTTAATAAAAAA